GAAAGTTCCCTAGCGATATGAAAAAAATCGGAAAAAGTCGCCGTTTGAATTTTCGTTGGTGTTTTTTTCATACCACCAAGTCTTTGGTTTCCATTACCAAATTGATCAAATTTCTTTTTTTCAAATTCTCATGACTAAGAGAGCATCAGTAAATCTTTAATATCAGAAGTAAGCAAAACCGTTTTTGAATGTTCGAGAACAAAACTTATCAATACGTTCCTGGCTGAGCAAGGAAGGTAGTTGGGGCGCTTAGTTGAGTTCCTATCTCTTCAATCCGGCTTACCCACTCTCCAAACGTGCAAATCGGGTTTTTTTTTCTTTTCTGTTTCTCGTTTTCGTTTAGTTCTTGGCCATTAGTGTTCGTTCGACGCTGCTCCAAATACCTCATCAACGGGTGGCAACGCCTTCCCATCTGTTTCGAATTCCTTGTCCGCCATCGCTCGTCTCAATTGCCCACTTACCATTGTTTCCCATTACCGTCGTGTCTCCTCGCTTCCATATTGCTTCCCGCAAAACGTAATTTTTTTTTCCAAAATTGTGCATCTTTTTCTTTTTCTTTTCATCTATTGCGTTTCTTTTTTCATATTCCGACTCATTTTCTCTATTCTCCACTTATCGTACATGAATTTCAGAGAAGCCGGAAATCTTAATAGATTATCTGAGATTTTGGATAGCGTTCTTTTTTTTTGAGGATTGATAGTAGTTATCTCAGCAATTTCAAGTGACTGGTCGCAAGGGGGATGGCTTGATATATTGCAAGGTTGATAACCTAGCAGCTTGCTATAGTTTTTTTCATTGGCCCCGCGCGCAAGTCAGTTTCAAGTCGGGCGCGTCTCAGAACATCCAATTTCCAGCCGCTACGTATCAACCCGTTCAAATTTTTATCTCAAATTTCACCCTTTAATAAGTTTCTGACACTCAGGACACTCATAGATGTTACCAACCAACGTTTTCGTAACCAAAACAATTAGTTTTGAGTTTTAAGGCACAAAAATCAAGAAAAGGAAAATTTCAAATGAACTTACTTTTGTTTATCGAAGGGAATTCAGAAATTAAAATCGAATTTTTCATGGAACATGACCTATCTTGCAAAAAAATTTTTTTTTAACTAAAACCTTCTTTCTGATTTTTTTTTTTGAGTACTTCACTAGTTGCAGGAAATCGGAATATTTTTTTCTCACACGGCCAACATCGAAAAAAAATTTGTAAAGCTCTCTCAAGCCGGCGGTTAGAGAGTTATAACCAAGAAACGCAGAAAATTTGACGCTGCAACCTCGCGGCTGATGAAAGCCGCCGCGGTAGCATATAATCCAAAAAAACAGTTTTCGGTATGTTGCAGGTGTACAAACAGCTTCTGTCAAAGCACTTTTCTCGACGCATTGCGTTGCCTTTTCAATCGGTCTACGCGCCTGTCACAAAGCGAGTCAGCCCTAGGAAAAAAGAAACTGACCTTCATAGGAGCGCTGTGAGTAGCACTTTGGAAATAAAAAGGTAAGGTCTCAGTAAATAGTCATTGCGCGAACGTCACAACTTGCTTATTCATTGAGACGGGCGGGGGGCAGCTGGCAGAGCCTCTTGACTTTTCGCCAGTCATTGTCGCTCGGTGCACTCCCACCGCAATATCCAATTACACGGCCGGATTCCGCGAGGCTTCTCTGGATCTGCCCATTTGCACCAATTTGTCTCCCCCTTGTTTTGCTTGTTTAATTAATGGCGCATCTTTAATCTTTGTTCTCTGCAAAACTTTGGACGCTCTTTCGATTCTTTGGGGCATGTTATCTTCTAGAGAGAGCTATTCTCCAACAGCTGGCTGCGGTACTTAAGGGAGAATGGGAAAACTGTCGGTGCGAAGACGTAAATCACCTATAAAAACTGCCCTGCGAAGGCTTTTTTAAAGAGGTTATCGCTACGATTTATTGAGATTTCCTAGTTTGTTCTGAAACTTTCTGAATCCTGTTTTCGAGGGAATTTTTTTTAGAGCTGCGCCTAAAAACTCAAAACTTGAGAGGCTTTAGTCTCAACCTTTTCAACGATTTTTTAAAATGTCAAATCTCAAATGATTTCCGTTTAGGATCAGTGCTGGAAAAATTGGAATTCAAGGACTTTTTGTAGGATTTCAAGATCTTCACTTGACACATCAAGAAGTTTTCAGTCAATTTCCATCTGCATAGTGAGATGATTTGCTGAATTGAAAGGTGAAGAGTTAACCGCCGTTCTTTCACCCTTGGTTGTAGTTATTACACTATGACTGAACTATCTATTTTTTCATATTTCTTTTTCCATTTTTTAACTCATGACTCAAAAATCTCTCAATTCGATTTTTGTTTGATCAATCTGAGCTATCCGTTTGATTTATTTTCGAATTTAAAAAAAGAACCTTTTGTCTTTCAAAAAAAAAAAAATAGCTGTCGGGTATACTTTCATTTGCTTTTTTTAAAAATCATTCATAACTAATTTTTGATCTCTCTTTTAAACTGAAAAAAACTAATCAGAATGAATTTTTTTCCCTTTTTTTGGTCCTGGGCTTCAAAAATGTTTATGTCTAATTGGCACGTTTTCTATATAACCCTTCAAACTAGAGTTTTTCTCGTCTCAAAAGCAATTTGTGGCGTAACGGAATGGAGACCAACTGCGTACATGTTAATCAAAAATGAGGTAAACCTTCGGGGGAAAACGGGTTTGCGTTCGAGGTCAATCTTCCTGTTTCTTTTTCCTTTCTTACTTTTATTGCAGTTTTTTTCTGAAGATGTTTGTGTCATTAGGTATGTTGATTTCTAGTGTTTGTTCTCTTCAAGCAGTTCATCAACTTTCCTCATCATTCCACCTAAAATGTCGCTTTTTGCTCTCGCCCCCTTTGTTTTGCGTAACTTCTGAGAGAAAGAAGAAGCAATCAAGAAATGTAAAGTGTTTGGATACACGGCTGTGTCAACTTTGCACCTTGCCAGGTTCCGGACGGCCGGTTTTTGAGCGCGTCTTCGAGATGAAGGAAGAAGTTTGTCTATTTTATTGACACGCGTGTTTGCCCTAAGATAAAACAAATTCCGACACGCTGTGTACATTTTGATGCCGTCGGTGTTAAATTTAACTGTGACACCGCTTTTTTTTTTAATCTTTGCTTTATCAAAACCTCAAGGATCAATTTCGAAAAAAGAAACTTTCTGTTAGCAAAAAAGATTTTGTGTGTTTTGTACAAGAGCTGAAGCCCGACAAAAGGCCTCGGCGATCCCTTTGCACAGTTGCCACTTTGGACCAATATTTTCTACCTTCTCTTTATTGTTGTTCTTCCGTTTGCGTAGATACCAAGTGAATAGCGTCCTAAATGGAGCTTTTAGACGTACTGTTTGAGTTTGTCCCACTGGTGGATATCTTTTCTTCTTGTAAATTCTCCCCTTTTATATCGATGTTTTGAATTTGCTGAAAACTTCCTCAATCTTATACTATTGATACTAAAAGTTTTCACAACTGTTCTTTGGAATGAAACATTGAATTTTTTTCTTTATTTTTTTGGAGTCCTTCAAAAATGGAATAACTGCAAAGAACAGTTTTATTTCGTTTATTTTTTTCTCGACTTTGATTATGAAAAATTTTTGAACTAGAAATAGGAAAAAAATGCAAAAAAATCCTTGTATCACTTTTTTTCTGTCCGTTGCTTTCATTCCTTTCTTTTTTTGTCGTGCTTTGAATTTAATCAAGCGAATTAGTCATAAAAAAACTTGTTTCTCATGAATTCCGGTCAACTTTTTTTGAGAAATCGAACTTTCAAACGGAAAAAAATTATGATGAGATTAAATGGAAAAATTGAACAATCAAATCAAAAAAATAAAGCATTTATTTTCGGCTTAGGCAAAAAAATTTTTGTTATGAAATTTAGGAAAAAAGCCAAAAAACTGGAAGATGAAAAAGATTTTTGGGAAGCGCGATCGGGGGCCATCGCCTATTGTAAACGATATATGCACATCTGGCAGATCTTGAATTTGACGAGTCATCCATCTAAGCTCTCGCTCGACGGCCTGGAGCAGTGCTGCCTCCACCCTTTCAATCACTCAATTTGTTGGCCTTTCGCTGTTTTGAAACTGCTCTTTCCTTTTGTACTTTTTTTCGCTGTTTTTATTATTTTTCTTCTTGATCAAGGTTTTTGAAGTATAACTTCTGATTTCTAGTTTTTTTTTTCTTTATGTACCCCTGTGTCCGTACTTTACAACAGGTTTTATCTATGACGGGAAAACTGTCAGTAACGCTGTTGCTGCGAAAAATTCCGCCTTTTCAGAATCTGATGTGTTTGTTTGTTCGTCCTCTTTTTCGATTTTTTACCTATTTTTCAATACATCTAAAGTTTTGAAAGACAAACAAGATACTACTTTTTACTTAAAAGAGAATTGTTCTGAAAAGCCACTATCTTGAAGTATTCACAATACAACTTTCGGATCTTACATAGAGCGATTTTTGCAACTATAGCGTTCGTTTTTATGTCAGTGGATCTCGTAACTAGAGCTATAAACTTTTTCGTTCGTTTTGTTTGTCGGCGTCAGTGTAAAGTGTACTGTTTCTCCCTGCTCTGAAAACCAGTCGATTTGTCCTCATTCATACTTTTTTTCTCTATACCAAAATAATAATGACGGTGAGGGGACTCCAATTACCGCTAGGTCCGAAAAAAAGATATTTTAGAAAGTTTTTCATTGTTATTTTTTTGTGTATTTCGATAAGATTTTTGCGGGATCGATTCAGTTGAAAAATAAGGTTAAGGATTTTGGAGCTATATTTGAAGGTCGAAACCAGATTTTTTCTCCCGATGAACTTGAATCGGAATTCTAATCCAATCATGTGGGTCTTAGTTCGAAAATTGCCAAAAGTTACTTATTTTTCCTTTTTGCCTTTTGTGATTCATCCTCTTGAAAACCAGTATACAGTCGTGAATCATATTTTTTTTTTGGAAACTACTCGCTTTTAAATGTTCGTTTCGATGTTTTGAAACGTTTAAAGTACCCTAACTTTCAGTCGCGATGGGAAGCGAGAACGATATCGTGTCGCGTTTTGACATAGAACTCGATGCAGGACCTTCCCCCATTTTCAAAGGTGAGAGAAGTTTTGTTGAATATCAAAAATTGCTATTCAAAGGGGCTTCGAAAATCATAACGTTCTAATTTTCGAAAATTTTGAAGACATATTTAGAGCCTTGGGACTAGAAGTATGAAAACAGTCTCATTTTTAGTCATGCAGTTTCAAATTGATTCATTTTTTCCGACATTTTTTTGACAAGGAAATAATTACAAAGAGTAAACTTTTTAGGAGGAGAGGTTATAACCGGAAAATTGTGGATCGAACTCCGAAAGCCCATTGTGATCAATGCAGTCAAGCTTCAGATGAAAGGACGAGCGGCTTGGCTCAACGACCCTTTGAAAAAGGATGACATTGAAAAGGTCATTTTTGAAGCTTTTCTGAGAATGGTCAGAAATAAAAAAAAAGTTCATTTTTTTTTTTCAAAAAGCCGCTCCAAAATGATCAAAGAAGTATTTTTCTGAACAGAAAACACTGGGTTATTTCAAAAATACCATTCCAAATCCAAATCAGACCCTCTCGATTAGATGATTCTCTGAAGTAACATATCTTTTAAGGTTTACTTCGATCAAGATTTCACGCTTCTGGAGCGTCCGCCAGGTAAACCTGAACCAGGTCACTTCACTTGGATCGGAGACTTCACCTACAGTCTTCCCTTCGAGTGTCCACTACCACGCGTAAGCTCATTTTTTATATTTCTTCATACTTTTTCAAATTTCAGGGATGTCCATCAAGCTATGAAGGCCCCCATGCGTTCATCCGATACTTTATCCGAGCTAGCGTCGTTCAAGAAGACGAGCACGAGAAAATTGTTTGTTTTTTCTCGACTGAGCAAATTTTTATCAGAATTTCAGCATGAATACTATGTGAAAAAAGCGCTCACATTGATCGCACCGTCTGAAGGACATCTTGTCGCTGGGGAGCCTGCGAAGACTAACGATTCTGCAGCTTTTGGAAAATGTTGCTGCAAATCAAAAGTAATCGGGAAGATGAATGAACTATCAGAATTTCAATAAATTCAGCTCAACGCAGAACTTTCTCTCCCAAAGACTGGATACCTGCCTGGAGATCATGTATACGGGAGTCTAAAAGTCGGCAACAAACACCCAAAAGATATTCTGAGTCATGTTGGTTTCAAACTCTTGCCTAATCTGGTTCTTCTGCACTCTTTGACTGCTTCGAATTTCGCCTAACCCAACCCGAATGAGTTTAGATGGAAGCCAGATTGGTGGACAGAGTTCGAAGGGTCGGAGCTCCAGAAATCGCAGCAGTTTCGCCCTACCGCACCCTTTTAGTACGAAAGTTAGAGCCGACAAGCTCTTTGCCCAAAGGAAAAGGAGAAATTGAACAGAACGATCTCCTACTTTTGACCATCCCTCCGGTTGTTGCAACAACAAAAGGTGAGTAGGAATTTATGAAAACGACGGTTTGAATTCCGTCCTTTTCCAAGTATTCTGCTGCAGCATTGATGAAGTTTTTCTGCAAGAAGAAAAACTTGAAGTATCGCGTCTTGCCAATGGAATATGTTTTGATTTTGTAAGGCCTTCATACATGTATCTGAATATCTTTATGACTAATTATGCAATAAGGACTTCAAAAAACAAATCGAAAGGGTCACTATAACTAGAAGGACTATCTCCAGAATTTTTCATCAAAAACTCTTCAGGCGACGCAGAAGACACAGCCAACAACCTCCAAAGTTTGAGTCCTTATGGAAAACTTCAAGAAAGCCCATCAACGGCAACATTGAGATTCAGAAAAATTCCATTCCTCAAGATTGAGTACGCCATCCAGGTTACTTTGGCATCGAGTCAAATTCCGAGATGACAAGTGAATCATTTTCAGGTTACTCTCGGCTCACATCTGCTCCTCGAAATCCCCATCGAAATTGGAGAGCACTCCACCCGCGATAAGTCCAACACTTTGGAGCCTTTCGTGGCCGGACCTCAAGCAGTCGAAGAAACCGACGAGAAGGTGGGCGACCTTTCGAAAACTGCTCAAAATAGTTATTCAGGGAAAAATTGCTGTGAATGGACCTTTCGTCTACACTCCAGTCTACCCTTACCGTGAATCGAAACCAATTGGTTAGATAGTAATAATCGAACTTTTTTCGAAAGTTTCGTTTCAGCCCACCAAACAACGGTTCAAACTCGTTTACCCGAATCTGCAGCCACCGCCAACGGACATGCCGACCATCTATCTCCAATAGCTGCTTCTCCTCGAAGCGTTTCTCCTACACACAGCGAGGTAGATTGGAAAACCTCTTCACGAGTTTTGAAGAATAAAAAATCAGTTAACTGAAGAAAATTTCGTAAATTTTAATGATGCGCTTTTTTCCATAGTTTGGAAATTCTCAGCTTTATTGTGAAAAAGAAGCTTCAGAAAGCCATTTTGACAACAACCCGTACAATCGTCACTCATTCCGACGGCCATGAATCGAAAACCATGGAAGAAACGGTCATGGAAAGTGAAGGAGAAGTCGTCAGGAAGATCGAAGAGAGCGTCGTAGACGAAGAAGGAATTCAGACTCACCGCACAGAAACGGTTTCAAACCAGTTCCGTTCCTATCAATCTATCATATCTTTCAGACAACAATTGATGCATCTGGAAACGAAACGACATCAGTTGAAGAGACAAAAACCCGTGTAGCGGAAAGCGCCCACTTGCCTGAAGCCATTCAAGAAGCTCGAGAGAAAATTGAAGAGCTGGAGGAGCAGATCAAAAACGACGTTTGTAGTTTTTATTGGGAATTCGGAAAAATAGAATGTTTTAAGTCAAGCCCGAAGGAAGAAGGACGGCAAGACCCGATTGTGATCCACACACAATCCGACGGAGATGAAACAACTGTGTCTACCGAGGTCAGTCCAAAATTTTAGACGAGTTCTGGGCGGCTGAAGAGTGCCCCAACTCTTTTCTGAAATTTTTTTTCGTCTTCATTTTGCTGCTAGAAAACGAAGAAACATTGACGAAAGCAAAAAAAAAAACAGCTTTAGGGTATTCATTCTAGTCAATTTGAAACGATTTTCACGAACTTCATACTGCTTAGAGACTCCAAAGTGGTCCCTATAGGGGTTCGGGGGAAATAACCCTTATAGGGGCCGAAAAAGTGGTCCCAACAAGGGTATTCTCAAGGTGGTCCCTATGGGGGTTCAGAGATTGAGCCCTTAGAGGGGACCCTTTAAGGACCCCCAAAGTCTGACCCTGTAAGGACCACTCTGAAGCTCCCAAGTGGTCTTCCAAGGGTTCTCCCTTTGGATTGATAATAATATCATAAGATACTAATTTTCATGATCAAAACCATTTTTTTTTCCTCTTTCGGACCATAAAGTGAGTTGACTTTGATGGTCGTTTATTATTATTTTAAAACTCATTGAAAGTACTTGGAATTGTATTAAAAACCAGCCTTTTACAGGTTATCGAAGAAGGAGGAACAAAGCTGGTAAAGACTGTGACAGTGACGAAACACGCAGACGGTAGTGAATCCACACTGATTCAAGAGCACTCGACTACAGAAATTGAAGAAAACGAAGAAAAAAAGCAATAGATTTGGAAATCACGTCTCGTCTTCCACTCACCTTATTGATAGTTCTAAACTGCCGAAACATTATTTGAATTTCGAGAGCGAGTGAAGCCCGTTGAAGGTACTCCCGCTCAGACTCCTTTCCTTTTTACATTTCAGAGTATTCTTATGCTTTTTGAAAATTCTTTTCGTATGGTGTCACAGAAAATATCCCTCCGTGAAATCCTTTATCGGTTCATTTTTCTTTTTATTCATGTTCCATATCTTTCTATTCATGCAGTATGTTTCTATATATGTTTTTATCTGTTGTTTGCTTTTTTTCGGTTTGGCGATAAATTCAGCTGGATCTGCGATCATTTAACAGTTTTATAAGTTCTTTTTCACATCATCATTCAAGAACCTTACTTTTCTTGGATTCGGCGAAAATTTCTGCATTTCGCTTGTGATAAAAGACGATTTCCTTCATGTTTGATGTGAAGCATTCGTCGATAGCCTTACGACTCTGCAAGTAAAAAGGATCACTAACTTGAAAAAATAAATTGAAAAAATTCACCTCGATTCCTTCATTTTCATAATACGGGTCGCTCCTTTGTATCAAGTAATCCGCACACCAGCGCAGTTGATAGAAGGGGAAAAACTGTTTATAACAATCTTCCAACTGTAAATTACATTTTTTCTCGAGTAATAGCGGATTTTCGTGATTTTTAGCAGTTCTTTCTTTTCAGTATTTTTCGTCATACTTTTCGACTCTCCAGCAAAATTCCAGAGGAAAAGCTGGTTGCTACCAAAAAATTTCCTTAGAGAATTTTTGTAAGACTGATCTCTTCCAATTATACTCATAAAAAAAGCATGAACCTGCTGGTAGGTGTAAGGAATTCTGTCGCTTCCGAACTCTTCGCAGACGAATTCATGAAAGGTTCGTAGATATGATAAATTTTCAAAAAAATCCTCTCCGCGGGGTGAAAATTCAGTTAAATACTTGAGAATGTCGAGAGCCCCATTGGAAACGCACAAAGTCTGAGATGCAAGATTGTTTCTGAGAAAGTGCTTTTACATGCCTGGTAATCGATAATTCCGATGAATTCGTGTGGTGGTTCTGTTTTGAATAAAGTGTTGCGTATCGACAAGTCGGCATGACACAGCACGTTGCTCATACCTGGGTGATTCAAGTTCTTATACTTTTCATTCACAGGAGAGGTCATTTTGGCAAAAATGGGCCAGAACACTCTTTGATAAACCAGATACTGGTCGTGTAAATCTCCAACTACACAGCTTTTTAGTTTTTGAGAAATGAAGGCCTGATTTTATAGATTTCCAGGATCCTCACTTTTAGACGCCTTTTCTCAAAAACGAGGAATTCTAGCAGATTTAAACCTTCAGAATCTTTTCCTGGTACACCTAGGAAAATTCTGGCCGATTTTCAGGAAAAATGCCCTTCCTTTTCAGAGCTATTTTAATGTTTTTACAATACCTGCATTTTCTGGGTATTGATCAAAGAACTGCACAAAGTCAGGGGTCATCTCGTCAATGGCAGCAATGACTTTGTCAATCAGATCTTCCCAGTTGTTAGTAGTTCTCCTTTCGAAGAACTTGTTTCTGATCATTCGTAGTTCCTGGTGATTATTATTCCTTATTCAAATCATCAACGCTTGGAACCTTTGGAGTTAAGTGATAAAGCCACCAAATCGCCGGTCGATAAGCTTTTGCTTTCTCAGCATCCGATAGGGGAACGGCTTGAAGTTTCGCTAACGCTCTCAGAGTCTATATAGATGAACGAGTGGACAACCCGAACCAATGAACTCTTGGAACCTCTGTGAAAACCGCGCCAGGAACATCACCCCCATTAGAGAAATGACAATCTTCGATGTACTGCATCACGATGTAGCCCAGCTCAACCTCACCGTCTATCAATTCACTCGCGTAGATCTGAAATATGATGCTCAATGGGGCCTCTTTTTTCTCTCACCTGAACTTTGTTGAAAGTGTTTATTTTTTTCTCTGCGAAAAAGCGTAGCCATTTCACCTCATTGTTGTGATACTGAAATCCACAATTTCATGTTGAAGGGAGAGACGCAAAACCTGTCCCAGACAGCGTCTTGCTGCGAATCGTTCTTCTGGTGTTGCATATTGGCGGTTGTCTTTCAAACTTTCAACACGATAGACCTTAGGAAAAGTTTCTTTTGATGTGGTTGACTCGGTTACCTTTACAAGACACATTTCAGGTAATTCATCTGAGGGCTCGTTTTGCCAGTCAGGATATAGTGAAAAAAGTTTTGCACCCGAAAGCTGAAAAAAGAATTGTTGAAAAAGAAAATCACTTAAAATCACCCCAGACTCAAATCCAGTGAGTCGTAATTGAGGTCCAAACGTGCTTTTTGTAGAAAAGTAAGTTTGAAACTGTTTCTCAATGTCTTCCAGTGGTAACAATTCGAGAACTTCTTCGGGAGTCATGGGGGTTTGAGCCATACCGAGCAGAGAAGACCTAAAAGTCACAAATACAGAAATGCGAAAAGGATGAGACAAACGAATGGCGGAACGCCACGTAACAATAAAAAAGCAATCATCTTTCTTCACATCATCACTGATTGAAATTCCAATGTGTTTCCCACTCAAAATTCCCACAAGAAACGTTTTTTTTCTGACTTTTTGAAACATGAATTTGTACGAAAAGATCTCTTGATGTTTGAGAGGAAAAAAAGTGAATGGATTCTTGAAAAAAAAAATTGAAAAATAGGAAAAGTTTGTAAAAAAAGTCTTTCTTAAATAGGGGAAGTTTTTTACCCCCGGTTGAACTTTTGATGGTAATTTGCTGAAGTGTACTTTAGGACCTTCTGATTGCAGAAAAAGAATTACATTTTTTGCAATAGATCTAGTTTTCGAGTTAACACGTTCCGAAGGCTTGAAATAGCGGTTTTTTGTCATAATTTGCGTATTTTGCGGCCTTTAAAGCTTAATAAATCAAAAACAAGATCTATTGCAAAAAATTCTCTTTTCGTTTTGCAATCAGGAGGTCCTAAAGTACACAGCAAAAATTCATCAAAAGTTCAACCGGGGTTAAAAAACGTTCCCTAGTAAATTTTTTGACTTTTTAAATGGTTGATAAATCTTGAAAGACCAAAGGCAACATCACTTCTCTCATGTTCCAATTGATATTAAAATTTTTCTTCTAAACTAATAATACTTTTAGTTACGATCTTGTTTGGAATTTAACTTTCAGCAGGGTTTTTTTTTCCCAAAGTCTTCATTAATGCTATAAATTTTTTATAATAAAACCAAAGGTGGCACAAGAACTTCAATTTCGTTTCTCGAATCAAAACAATGACAATTTTTTTCTAAGCTTTGACTACAAGGCCGCCAGCATAATATCAAAGCAGTAATTTCAATCGATCAAGTTCTCGTTTCCGAATCCAGAATCGGGGAGTCCGATTCATCCGGATCAGATTCTGAGGCCGTTGAAAAACAGAAACGTTTATTGATGATTATTTTCAGAGTTGCGATAAATTTCTGTGTTCCGCCTGTGGTACTTTATGATGTCTTTCATCATTGAGACTACGGAGTCCTCCAGCTTTCGACGGAACTAAAAAAGTTGAATTGGGAAAATAAATTCAACTAATGAGTCTGAGTCTGAGAGCGAAATGAAAATTGGTGAATTTCCCTAAACGAACCTCCACTGTTTTGTTTTCATAGGAAGGAGAGTTCTTCTCTTCCAATAGATATAAACACCAGTCGAGTTTAGCCATAGGAAGCTGCTGTTTATAACATTCTTCTAGCTGAATTTTTTCTGCTTTTAGTTTTTTTTTTTTTTGATTATTTACCTGTTGATAGGTGTACGGAATATTGTCGTTCGTAAATTCTTGGCAAACGAAGTCGTAAAAAATTCCCATATACACAAATTCCTTCGAATGACGATCATCGCCGTAAGGCAAACTTTCCGTGATGTAATGCAGGAAGTCGATGACCCCGTTGGAAAGGCACAAACTCTGGAGTTGGATGATTTCTCGCTTTCAAGTTTTTTTTTTATTACCTGGAGATCAATTATCGCGATGAATTCATGCGGAGCCTCTCGTTTATACAAGGTATTGCCTGCGTACATATCTCCGTGGCACACAACATCTCGCATTCCTCCAAATTCAAACTTTAAAACGTTTAGAAACGTGAAAAATTATCATTTTTAGAAAAATACTGAACATCAGATTTTTAAAAGCAACAAGAATGCTTTGAGAAAAAATCCAACCTTCTCTGTAAGGATACTCGTCGAAAAATCGCAAGAAATCTGGAGTCATCTCGTCTATCACAGTGAGAACTTCTTCGATCAAATCAGCACAGAAATCACTTTCCGACTTCAGTTTCAAGAATTTTTCTTTGTGGTTTCTCAGATTCTACAAAAGTTTTTATCAATAATTTCGACCTGAGAATCAAACCACTTCCGTTAAGTCGTAAATCCCCATTATCGGCCTTTCATAAATTGTTTTCTCTTCAGATTCTGGCAAGGACAGAGCTTGGAGTTTCGCCAAAGCTTTGAGAGTCTAGATAATTAATATTTGATTGCTCAGAAATGAAAGGAAAACCTCGATGATAACACTTTGAGGAATGGTTTCCAGATCGGCATAGCCACATCCTTCAACGAACTGCATGACAATGTAGCCTAGTTGGTTTTCATCATTCATGAAATTACTGGCATACATCTGAAAAGTCTTCCTTTTCACAAAGTTTCTTTTTAACCAACCGGAATCGTTTTGAAATCGTCTTGCTTATTTTTGTTGAAATGACGTAGCCATCGTACTTCGTTGTTGTGGTTCTAGAAAAAGAGTAAAATCTATCAAAGATAGATAAAAAACCTTTCTCAAATAGCCATCTCTCTCTTCAATTTCTTTTTCTGTCAGCGATTCACCATTCCTTTTGTTTTGGCTCCCAGTTCGAGTAACCTAAAGAGTATTTTGAAGCTTTAATGAAAAAGAGCGAGTCCCTGACCTTCAACAGGCATTTTTCGGGAATTTCGCTAGTAGTTGCCTCTTCAAAGTCTGGAAAAAGCAAGAAGAGTTCAGATCCGGACCACTGAAATCGTACAAATTGAAAAGAATTATCTAAAGTTCAACCCCAGAAGTGATGCCAGTAATTTTCATTCGAGGGCCAAACGTTGCAGAAGTAGAAAAATAAGTTCGAAGTTGCTCCTCAATTTCTTCGAGGGGAAGACTTCTCAGGAGCTCCTCGGAAACGATGGAAACTGTACCCATGTTTTCAAATCTAAAAGAAGTTGGGAGAAAATCAACAAATTTCTTCGCTTAAATATTGAGAGCTGCGATAAACAAACAAGATTGCACAACCTTATGCGAAGGTGGAAAAACGTCATTTATTTATTTTTTCGTCACAGTTGGGTTTTGAAATGTTTCACATTTTGACCTTTGAAAAATAGTCTTACAATCAAAGATAGACAGTCAAAGAGCTTAAATGTGACATTGTTTATTTATGATATCAGGAGAGATAAGAAGTGAAAACTTTTCCCAAAGAGACTGAAAAGTTGCTTCGAGAAAGTGTGCCTGGAAATTTTGGAAAAAAATTCAAATAAAATCGGAAGTGATTTGTTAATCATTTCATTCATATTAATTTTATCAATCAATCAATCATTTTTTTTGTTTTAGTCATAGATGTAATCGACTATTTGGTGAACAAGAACTTTGAAGCTGTAACTAACAGCCGCCTTTGGCGAACTAGAAATCCAAACGTGAAGTTGATCAAGTTGAAAGCATGGTCTTGCGGTCATTCGCCTTGTGCTTCTGCCTTTTTTCCTTCCAGTTGGGTTTTGACAAGCTCAGAATGTAAGGATGTTGATGTTGGAGCTCGGTGACCGTGCTCTAGGTGGAAGCCTCGGAATGAGAGTAGCCCCTTCCAGTTAAGACATGACAATTAGTCCTTCGAACTTCAAGCCTCGTTGTTTTGGGACACCTGAAAATTGTAGAAGATGTTTTAAATAGCCACTCAAGCAATCAAGAACTTCAAAAAGTTAAGTCATTAAGGATAAATATGAACTTTGGTGTTTTTGTTCTTCTGTTAAAAGTTCGACCAATGCTTCTTCGCACAGTTTGACTTCAATTAGCCCTTTTCCGAAAAAAATTACACGTTTCATTTTTGAACGTTGGAGATAGCTAGGAATAAATGATTTTATACTAGTTTTCGATAGCTTACAACAGAACATGAGATTTTCTTGTTCATCAAAAAAAGAACCTCGCAAAAAAAAAGAGAAAACGAAAGATTTTCTGAAATCTGATGGACTTTCTAGGTCTCAGACAGAAAAAACGCAGCCGTAGATCAACCCTCAACATGGTGTAATTAGTTTTGAAATGCTTCCATTCTTTTCAGGGCTCTTCTCATTCTTACAAGAACGCAATTCGTGTGCGGCCTGAATTGAAGAAACTAAATTTCCGGCGAAAGAGTCATCTTTCGGGTTGCCCCACAATTGTTTCTTTGTTTTTCTTTGGCTGCTGTACACATTTAATTGCATTCTTCACTTCGAATAATGATCTTCCACGACTCAGAGAGGATCATTTTCGTAAATCGAAATAATGGAAGTTATTAAAAGGAAGTCGAGGTCGCGGCCTTTCATTTTTCCTTTTTCGATGTTTTTTTGAGTGGTATAGTCTTTTTTTCGGTTTTTGAAGGTGGTATACATTATTTTTCCGTTTCGGGTACGCATACACAAACATTTTTTTTGACTTTTGCGTGATTTTTTTTTTCTCTATTACTGGTGAACTATTTTCTAAATAATGTTAAAACTTAGGAAAATTCTCATTTTTTGTGATGAAATATTTTTGAAAGTTACTTGACTTTACTTGCTTTCAAATAAAAGAGAAAAAATGGGGTTTCTTTTCAACTGCAAAAAGCCAATCTTAAAACGTCTCTAAAGTATCTCGAACCGTTCCAGTTTGTCAAATACGTCGAGCTCAAATCGAAAACTTGCGTCAAAGAGCCAATCTTCACGCAAAAACAGAATGTTGTTGCAAAACTTGGCCGCGTCCAGACATACATCGTTTACGCAATTAATTGTGAACCCAAAACTCGAGCCGGACGTCACACTCGCTGTTCCCACCTATCACGACGTGCCTGAGCCGCTCAGCCTCCACCACAAGTGAACGACAGTTGGTGTGCCTGCGCCTTGGCCTGTCTTCTGCCATACTCCTATCAATTATTCATCGCCTCGACTCACTATCGAAACACGAAAGTCGGGCTTTTCATCGAGGCGCAGAGAAGGGTGGACGTATGTGTTCTGACGACAGCGCCCAAGGGCCGGAGGACGGAAAGAAGCAGAACCGCCTGGCCAGTCACAGACAATTCAACAGGAGGATAAAGAAACAGCAGAGTTTTGGCTGCTGATCCGGCACCTTATCATTGTCCAACACGCTGTGTACCATGTTTTCATATACCTCCACACTTGGAAAAAGTCACTTTTTTTGAGTAAAGCTGCAATTCTGCGCCTAGGTTCATGCATTAGTTCATTTCCACACTCGTTCGAATTTTTTTCTCCCTATTTTGCAGAAAAAAATTTTTTTTGTCTTTTCACTTCTGCAAGAAGCTTCATTTTTCCATCAATTTGCAAGTAGAAAATAAAAACTGCGGAAAAAAAATCAAGTACCTTCGGAAGATAAGTATTAATCGGCTTTCTCAAACTTTCCGGAAAGATTTTTCAAATTGAAATGAAATCCGGGCAGTTGGAAAACATTTTTTTCATTAACTTTCCGCCAGTGAAAAAGATGCAGTTTCTAAAAAAATTACAGAACTGAAAATTTCTGGCGGTTTTATTCAGTATTTTCAATTCTTGATCCTTTTGATCATTTTTAAAAATATTAAAAAAACAAACCAAAAACTTTTTTTGCACATTGTTTCAAGGTTCAAAAACAGATGAAATACATTTATAAATAGTTTCAAATTCGATAAAAAAACGTATTTTTTTGTCTTTTCTAACCTTTCTCACTCTCTTTTCTATTAATAAAATAGAACATCCTTATTTGAAAAAAAGTAATCAAATCGATTTTCAATAATATAATACAGGTGATTTGAAATAACTAAAGTTTTCATTGCAAACTTGACTTCTTGAAAGCTATGAGAAATCAAACTGCCAGAGTTTTTTTGACGAGTCTCCCATATCCGCACAATATCTGGATGTTGAAGTTGTGTTGAATCTTGCAAGATTGACTCTTTGACTTTTCACTCGAATTTCCATCTCGCGATTCAACCCTTTCTTTTGCTGAATGAAACTCCATGAATTTTTTTCGCGATTTTTCAATTTTTTTGCTTTTTTTCGTGTTTTATTATGTTCCAAGGAAGTTTTGCAAAGTTTCAACTCGGATTGATTTCTACCATCCCCTTGTGCAATTTTTGGATTTTATCCTTTTTTTGAAAGATACTTCTGAAAGTCAAATTTCTCTCACCTTTAACTATTTTTTTCCTCTTTTGTAGTATCCATTTTCGTTAGTTCAATTTTGAGATTGCTCTCTTATTTTTTTCTCAAATTTATTGAAGTTAAAAGAGACGTAACAATTCTTCAAAAAGAAACATTGAAGTTTTGAAATGTTCTTGTTCTTCGCCACATTTGACTTGTTTATATGCACTCCTAATCCTACGCTTTTTGCGTCTTTTCATCATGTCGTTTGATTTCCGGCAGAGAGTGCTTCCAATAGTTTGTCGCGAATTCCTTTGGGTCAAAGTTCTCTGAGCTTTTCCTCGCAGAGATATGATGAGAAAATGATCGAGTGCCTTTCAACGTGTAGATTCCTGAAAAACTTTACTATGTCGAAACTATAGACACAATTAGCAGAACTAAACTTTCGAAATAAAAACGGAAAATTCTTCTTTCAAAATTTGGAATGAACCTGTATTAATATAAAAGCTCAACATTAACCGCTAGATCATAAAATATTTATTTTCAAATAAAATCTGCGAATTTCGCACAAAAATAGAGAGTCAAATGTTGGCCTTGACTTCTCTGAAATATTTTTACTTTTTCTTAATTTTTTTGCGACTTTTTGTGGATTGAAAAAAATAAGAACAATACGTATTTCGTATGAAAAAGGAAAAAAATCGATTTTAACGATTTTTTTATCATCTGTCAAATTTTTTTTGCCTTTCCCTACGAAAAAAATGAATTTTTTTCCTCAAAACCTTGATGTTTCAGCGACCTTTGATAAATCCATGTCTTTCTTTCTTTTAAGATGTTGATAGTTTTGTGAGATTGAAATTCAGATTTTTGCTGAATTTTTTTTAACCAGCTTTTCAAAATTTTCGAATCATCTGTTTACCCCAAACTTTTTGCATTTTATCACGTGGAAACATTCAAAAAACTTATTTGAACCCCTCAAGGATTATTTTGTACCTGCTGTCGACTTTCACAGTAGGAAATCGAAAAGCCGTTCTCAATGTGATTTTAATTCGATTAAGGCTAAAAGTTTAGAAATTCTTATTCGGGGCTCTTTGAAAAAAAAAGGCATTTACCTCAGTGGATAAAAAATCCGATTTGAAAGGAAAATTCATTTGCTTATCTCAAATGATTTTTTCATTTTATGAAGTGTTCTAAAGTGTGAAATTCAAACTTTTGAGAACATATGTGCAAAATCTGAATGAATGTCAATAAAACACCTCTTTCCTTCACTTTTCCTAACAAGAATTAGTCCTAAAGGTTCTAGTTTTGCAAAAATTGAAATATTGATTTTCTTAGAATTTCACAGAAAGCGAGTTATTTTTCGCAGAAAATGAGAGATTTTAAATATAACATGAATACTTCCTCTTCTATAAATCACACAACTCGACCTGCAAGACGCTCAAAAGTGCACTAACATATGGAAGTTTGTAGATCGAGAAGAAATGTTAACCGATCAGTCATGTTTCTGCATTTCATCCCATCATGTGTTGTCCATCTTGCGGCTCTCTTCGCCGTAACCCTGCTCGTTAATTTTTAAACAACGCTCCATTCGGAAGAGCTCATTTCCTTTGGCTCACGGCCACTCCTTCGAGACCATAAAATTACCATTTGTTGCAACTTTAGAGCTGCCTGAGTTACACTCAGCCGAGCAGTCACTTGAAGTATAAGTTTCCTTCGATTTTTTTCTTTTTTCTGAGTTTTGATGGTTTCCAGTTTGATCACATTCAGTTCAAGCAACCTTTGGAAAACGCTGCGGTGGAATGTTTTTTTTTATGAAATATCGCATTTTTTTCAAGACATAACTTTAAAATTTATCGTTCAAGTTCAAACGGTCTATTTCAAAATTTTTGTGATCCCGCAAGAAAAGTGGAAAAAAGTTGAGCTTCGGGTCTTAATGAATCGTTTTTTCCAAACTATCAAACTGACTAGGAAACTTTTTTTCAGCGCCGCTAGAGCTTTTGAATAAACCTGAAAGCCTCAAAAAGCTCAAAATGGCGCCTTTTTCATCATAATTTTTCGTATTTTGCGAATTTTGTAGCTTCAATTGATAACATGATTCAGTGGAAGAAATTAAAAAAAGTTTCCTTGTGAGAGAAATTTTCTGTTGTTCGTGGTTGATTTTTCACTGTTGAAAAAAATCGATTTTTCTCAATTCTTTACATTTTTTTCATCTACAACTGTATAATAATATGCAAAGCGCGTTTTTTTCACTGAAATTTTGAAACCTTCAACAATCATTTTTTTATTGAATAAAAGCCCCTAGAACTAAGACTAGAAAAAAATTATCTCAAAGATCAGAAATCTAACTTTAGCATGAACTTTAAAAAGCTCGGCTGTGAAATTTATCATCGATCTCGTATCCTAAAAACTTATATTTTTTTCAATAGAAAACCTCGGCATGAAAAAAGAAACCAATCTCAAAAATGAAAACTCCAACCTTTGCAGTGACGATATAAAATTTAACCTAAAAAGTTTGCGAAACCAAGCGATACTGAGACAAAAAACCCCGACCAGAAGAAATGAATTGAAGAGAGCAGGCGTTGTTCGCGAATCCATGGAATGTTTCAAAAAGCCTGTCGGAAGATTCGTACGTGCCGGCCCACAGGCAACGCTCCGCAAGGCTTAAAGCTCCTCGGTCAGGGACATAAATCGTTGTTACATCCCGAAAGTTAACTGACAAATAGCAGTCGTCGTCGTAGCCGAGGCAGTATACAAGAACACTGATTTCGCCCATGTTCCCACCCTCGGAGCTCATGATTGATCCGTCAATTGCTTGCTCTTTCAAGTTTCATTTGCTTCCGAGTTCATCTCACTTCGGTTGGATTTTTTCTTTCAAGTGTTAACTAGTACTGTAGGTACAGCCTTTTTTGGGTCGGGAAACTGGTACCGGCCCATTTTACAAGAACAAACCATTTCCAAAAAGATTAAGTGAAATGATTCTGGAAGCATTTGTTTTTACTCAGAAGTTTTCCCGAAGCGTTAAGCCGAAACACTGGAAATCATGAAGTGGTTGGGTGAATCTCACTTTTTCACATCTCAGGCCAAAGGTCACCTGGATAAAAATGCATGAATTTTCAATTTCTCAAAACCTATTTCTCTATTGCTCACTCTATGGCCTTCAAACTATTTTTTGAGCTCTTCTCTACTAAGATTCCCCAATCAATTTGAATCAGGAATCTTATTTAATTCGACCAAAAGCAGTCATTCCCATTTCAAGCCTCGCAAAAAAATTATTCCAGCCGTTAGCTTTTTTCAAGCGGTTTTTATCCTTCAAAAAGATTTTTAATATTTTTTCAACTTCAACCAAATCTCAAAAACAGTAATCTGTGCAAATTATTGGAAAGTCAAAAAGTCATAAACGTCGCACCGCTGTCATTTTCAATAACTTCAAATCTCTCTCTTCTTTTCAGATTTTTTTAGATTTTGTGTTTGTAATGCATTTTGAGTTCAAGATCAACGTTTATCTGAAAAATATTTTTGTACATACTTTTTTTCGTTTTTCAAGAGTTCCTGCAATTAATATCGATTATGTCTCTCGTACTCCGAAAATCTGACTTGAATACATTACTTTGCGCGTAAAGTTCAATGCAGCCCGTGCAGTACAAAAACAGCGGAACTGAAATAAATCAGTTAAACTTAGTGTACCCTTTATCAACAGAGAAGTAATTACTATACAGATTTATTTCGAACAAAAGTTATTTGCCTCTTCTTTCCATTCGTTTCATTTCGACGCATTTGCTGAATTATTGAAGCCTTTCTTCATAATAAATTAGAAGGGTCCTAGAAAACAGAAAGAAATTTTGAATTTTTTTTGTCCGTCTAAAAATTTTCATTCTCATATCCGCAAACATTTTTTTTATCAGTTGACGAAATTTTATCTGTCTCTTTTTAATCTGATATTCGGAAAAAAAGTTCAAAAAAAGTGAAAAAAATCTTGTGTACAGAATCGAAAACTGTATTATATTTTTTCGTTTCGTTATTTTGATTTTTGACTCTTTTTTGGAACTTTGTGTGAATTTTTTTTTTTGAAATTATCACGTTTTGGGTTTTCGTAGCCGTCGTCATTACTTTCCAGAATCCAAATTTTTCATCGTCATAAAGTTTTCTAACAACCTTATTTGATTTTTTTGAAGCATCTTTTTTTCGTTTCCAACAAGTCCGTTTCATTTTTTCCGTTCTTATCACGCGCATTCGCTAAAAAGCTTCATATGACTCAATTTTTTTTCTCTTACTAGATTAAGGAATTAACTTCTCATTTCCTCTTCTGCATCATAGCTTTTTTTTGTTTCGATCCAAGATTTTTTCCTGCTACGACTCACTTTACTAAAATTTGTACGTGAGTTTTTTCTTGTATCTCGAAATGTAGAGGATTGGAAAATGTCTGATGAGATCTTTCCTATTGAGTCAAGTGATCACTTTCACGATTTTGTATTTGTATTCGTTGTTTTCTGAATGAGAGCTTCGAAAAAAGACTATACAATATTTGATACAGCCATTACTTTGACCATATAATGTGCGGTATCTTGTAGCTTCAGATTTAAAAAAAAAAATTGAATCGAACGATTTTGATTCCATCACATATTCGATCTTGTTTACAAACAAAAAATCGTATTAAATTCCCAAAAAAAGGGCATTGCTCGTGGTTTGTGAAATATCGACTTTCTCCCAAGTTTTAGAACCCTATTGACGTAATCGCAAATGAAAAGCCTCCTTTGGGGTCGACAAAAACGTAAATTACTCTAATTAGAAAAACGCGTGCAGCCGGAAAATAAACAATGGCGGCGTTGCAAGGCAAGCCTGTCAGGCCGTCAGCCCATGGGCTATCATGACGATTGTTTTTTTCCCGCTTGTCTCTCGTTATAATTGTCTCTGACGATGGCCACAAAAGCAAGTGCAAGACGGGCCCGAGTAGTGAGGTCCTAGCACAGCCAGAGGTGTTAGCTGCGTGCAGCTATCAATCAAAAGTCGCTCGAGCTCAACGTTGCGCGAGACTCGACGAGCAGTTCGCGGCACCTGCAGCTACTCGACTTCTAGGTGATAACTCCTTGGCGGCTCCAGTTTCCGCTAGGTGTCATCTCTGACCAACTTCCGCCATCGTTTGGAACAAGAAACATGGAATTATCTCAAATAAGATTCATAAAATTTTGGTTCCAAGAAAGAAGGAGATTCTCGCTTTTAGAATCTGAATTTCGCCGTTGAATATCTTGTCGTTCAATGACAATATCGAGAAGCATCAATTCAAAAGATTGGAACTATCAAAGACTCAAAAATCGTCAGAAAAGAAAGCTCGCGAGAGTGAAAACGAACGAAAAACAGCATTTTGATGAATTTTGTAACTGACTACTGTGTGAAAAAAAATCAATAAGTTTTTGCTTCAATTTTCATTCCGAAGTCAAAAACATACAAAAATCGCATATAAAGAGAAGGTTTGATAGTTTCTCAAAAAGGGCGTTTTAGTATTTCATCACAAAATCTTTACGTAATTTGACCACCATATTTTTTTCGTGACGGTTCTTTTTTAAACTTCGAGCTTTTTTCAGTGATTTGGAAACTTTATCGTTCCGTCTTTGATTTTTCCAAAAGCATATCGTTCAATTTCCCTTTGGAAACACTCTCGAATTTTGCTCATAGTCGTTAAACGCGAAAAAAGTAAAATTAGTAAGATTCTTATGAGATAACTGCAGAAAAAAAGAGTTGCTAGCATGTTCAGAATCGAAATATTTGATAACGAATCAAAATAAGTTAGTACGAAAAAAGTAGTTTTTTTTTTGAAGATCGAGATCATGATCCAAAATGATTCTCAATCAAGTTTTTCAAACTTTCATTCAAGTCCAAAATCAACACCAAAGGAAGAAAGTTTATCATCAGGAAGAGTCAAAATAAGTCGGTCCGAAAGCCGAAAGCCATCATCATCATTGCTGACATCTCTGCTCACAAGCACTCGGGACTCACATCGATTGAACAATTGGTTTTTCTCCAAGTTGGCCGTTGAACTTGTTTACTTATGCCACATTTTCCTGTTTCTCGTTACTTTTACAACTCATCTTATCTTCAGGCCCGTGCCTAGTTTAATGTTATTTTTCAATGCCTTTTTTTCGAAATTTGATCTTTCCGTTCGCGTCTCTGATTGTTTCCGAAGCGAATTTCGTTTAATTATGACTTTTAGTAGCGCTTTAAAGTTTTTTTCGTCCAGGCAATGGCTTTCAAAATGTTTAAATCATATTTTCCGGTTTTTTATTCGACTGACAGAACGGAGATCTGAATTAAAAGTCGTCTCCAACCTGAATGGACTATAGCATTGCACGCTGCGGCGCACGGTGTACAATTAGCTCACCTTTCAGTTATGGTCGTCATTTATCATCTCTTTTCCCACCATTTAGCCTCTTTATGTTTTTATTTATAGTCGACAAAGGCCATTCCCCGAGATTTATCCATTGAGAATAAGCGGAAATTGGTGAAACGGCAGTGAGTGCAAAAGCTTTTAGAAGATGTTGGCAGTCCAAGAAGCTGTCAGTTTCTCTTTTTGTTGGTTCTCCAGAAGTTTTTTGTTTCACGTGCTCTTCATAAAGGAAGGAAATTATTGCTTTGTGGAAACTTTTGAGTTTCCTCGCATTTTTTTTCCAGAAGTGGTTATTTTTCCAGCTTACAAGTCGCCTTTTTTCTTTATTTGAATACATTGTGATGATAAAAACCTGACTTTTTTACTCGCAGTGCCGTCCGAAAATATACGAACATTTTTTTGCTCACAAATGAAGCTCAACTTTTGGAAAATTTCTAGCTGCTTTTTCTATTATTCTTACCAGATTGATACAGTCATCAAACTCTAAAAGATCTTAGGAAGACCAAACTCTATACAAAAAAGTTATTTTTGTTTATTCGTATCTTATATCACCTTGTTTCAGCAAAATGATTGCTGTTAATTTTTCTCTTGCCTTTTTTCGCCAGAATATTTTCATAATTTCATCCTTATTCATTTCCTAACTGTTGATTTCACATCATTTCTCGCCAAAATTTCGAATTTCTCAACTCCTCAGCATCGAAATGATACTTCTTCAGAAAATTGGAAGAAGAAGAACTGACGAGAGAATTGTCTCGTCACTCTTTGAGTACGCGACTCTCGTACATACTTAAGCATTTTGGTGCGCAATCAAGCGCTTGTTGCTTGTCGGAATTGCACGCCACGAGAGGCGAATAAGAAACAGATAGAAGCTCAGATGTGCCGGTTTTGAAAAAGACTTTTCATGGATTTAATCTCATCATGCTGTTTGATTATTTTCCACTTCTCCTTTCAAAGTTGGTCAGAACCATTTTGACCATCATTTGAATGTTTTTGTTTTGGGTTTCTCTAAAAAAAGATGAATTCAATAAACATGTACAATAATTAATTTTTACGATTTTTAGTAGAGTGGTTAAAAACTTTTTGCCAACATTTTAAAGCATTAAACTTCATTCAGGATTTTTTTCAGGCTTTGAAAAGTTGACCTGTTTTCTCAATGCTCTTTTTTTTTGACTTTTATTGGCTTCAAAACAAATTGATTGAATTTTCCAACCAATTTGATCAAAAACTTTAATATAAGCCTTGATGTTTTTGTACCTCTTGGAGAAGTACAAAAAAAGGAACTTTTGAATTTTTTTCTCTGTTTGAAATTATCAACTTCATGTAAATTATAGAAGAATGAAAGCTGAATTATTCCCATCGCAAGTTTTAGAGATACTTTCTAAGGATGAAAATTTTGTTCCTGAACGCTAAAATGTCAACTGTGATTCTACGAGAAAAGCTAAAATTCGCGGCTGGAGAGCAAAAATTCACAATTTTGTTTTTCACTGTTCATTTCGGATTTCAAATTTTCTTTCCATTCTTCTCGTCGCGTGTGCCCGTTCCTTTCCCACCAGATGCGGAAGTCTGACCCTTTGCAAAGTTTGCTCGAGGATTTCTCATTTACTCATATGTTTCACATTGGAAGCAAAAAAAATAACATATAGACGAGCTTCTCGGCACATGGCGTTAACCTAATTCTTTTACCTCTAGTGCTTCTCAACGGCGCGTGCAAGCTCATGCCTTAAGTCAATCAGCTACAAGTGCACATTCTGAAATCACAGCTAATTGTCTGACACTCGGCGCGATGCTTTCGTGCCTACTTCATGGACTTGAAAGGAAGGCCCATCCAAAGAGGCGGCGTTTCCTTCCGCCTTGGGCTCTTTTCTGTACCCGAAACTCCGGACTCTTCTTTTATGATACGTCGTTTGTTTCAATTCGTTTTTATGTTTCAAGATCCTCTATCCAAGAAAAAAAGCTCCAAAACTACATGTGTTTTTTTTGATAGCCTCGAAAGCTCCGCAAAAAATTTTTGCCTAAGATTTTTGTTATTTCCTACTAGGATAAAGTACACTTTGGATACAATTTTCCGTGGGAATTTTCACAGTCACCAATTTTTATAGCTGAAAAATCGCTACGAAATGATTTTCTGATTTTTTTCAAGATGTTTTCCCCTCGATTTTTGACATCTTGAAAGATTTGCAAACTTTCCCAATACAAAGGTTCTACGCACGTTTCTATACTTATCTCATTATCTCATTATATTCTCGTGAAACTCTAATATAAGCTTATTTTTACTTTTCCCAGAATTCAAACAAATAATTGAAAATCATGCTGGTTGGAGTTGCAGTACAAGTTAAAGTATATATCTTTTTCTTGATCATTTTTTCGATTTTTTCATTGATCAATTAGTTAGTCACTTCTTTTAGGAACAGTACAGCTAGCATTTCACACTGCAAACAAAAAAAAAAGTTTGAAAACGTTCTGAACTACCTTTTGTATAAAAATAGGCATTTTTTGGCTGTTCCAATTGGAAAAAATCAAATCTTCAGGCACTTGGTTTTGAGAAATCAAAGCACCTTTTCTTCTCCAATATTTTCCAAAATTCCAAGCGAACAATTCAGAAAGTTAAAAGCTATTGAAGTTGTCATTATCTTCATCTTATATTTTTCAAGTTAAACTCAGTTTACTGTAATCAATTTGCCGCTATTTCAAGACTAAAACATATTAAAGTTTTCTAGTCTTTTCCTTAAAAAAGTATGAATACTTCTGTGAAAAATGTTCTCGAGGTAATGAAAAAACAAAATATTCAAAAAATCCCTTCACAACCACTTCCTAATAGTTCTGTACACTCGTAGCTCCTTCTCCATTTCCCAATTACCTATTGGAAGACCAGTGGGAATTGAACCCCAAATAGGTTTACGGCAAAAGTCTGAAGCGAAATCATATTCCTGGGAGGTTCTTCTCGGTTAATTTGAGAACAACTGGACGGCCGCTCACCGGGCCGGACCAACATGCCCCTTGGGATGTGCGGAGCCATCATGCGTTTTGCAATTTTCCGCAGCTTCTTATTCAATTTCTCGTTCGTCCTCCGCCTGCCCAACTTTTGCATCTGTCTGCTCAAAGGCAAGTATTACCGTAGATTCTTGTTGAGAGCTCAACTTTAAAGTTTATCGTTTTTTTTTTTGGAATTTGTGAAGGTTTTTCATTTTTTGGGAAAGGATTGTCTTCTGACAAGGGAGGTCATTTTCCTTTGTGGCTGGGATTTTTTTTTAGATTGGCTAGAAAACTCCTTGATGTCCCAGAAAAAGATTTTGCAAGTTTCAACCTACACAACTTCCCAGTTTTCGAGAAATAAGGGCCCAAAGTCTCAAAATAGCCTGTTTTACTGGAATTTTGAGAGTTTTCTTCAATTCTGAGGCGTCTTTTCTCAAAAATAAGGACATTCTGTGGTTTGAGATTTTCAGGTTGTTTTTCTGGTACATCAAGATGCGTTCTGACCAATTTTCAGGGGAATCCAAACCTCAAAGTAAAATGACCTTCCTTATAATTTTTAATGACCCTCTCTGATTCCATCTGTCTGTAAACTTTCGCCTCTGTCAAAAAAAAAAAGTCAACGATATGGTATTCCGACTGTTTTTGGTTCTTCTACCCTCCATTCCCCCGCATTTCGGGGCAAAAGGAAAGCTTTTTTCGTCTGACTTCTTCCAACCTATTTTTTTATTTCCTCTCGTGCTTCGTTCTACTTTTTTTTCCAATTTGACTTCGGAAACTATTAGAAACTTTCAGCTTGCGCCCAAAACGGCTGGGTTTGTGTCATGTTCAGCTGTTAGCTGAAGTCCCCGATATGCAGCAGAAGGTGAGCCTTTTTATATTTGAAATAAAAAGTGAACCTGTGAATCCTGCACCAATATTTTCTCTATCGTTCGGATACCGAAAAAATTTTTGAAAATGCGATTTAAGTGAGAAAATAGTATTCAAGAGAAAATTCAAAAAAAGTTTCTACAAAAGATCCAAAATGAACTAATTCATATGGGAGTTTTCATGACTTCGCCAGCTAGAAGATTGAATGAAATGGGTTTCCAGACGTGAACGATAGAATGCCTGTGCGGAAAAAGCATGGTCCGTACGATATAATAGCAGACGACGTGTACGATTGTCGCATTCCGCTTCACAATGAGCTCGCCTACCAACATGGCATCCACTTCGAGGCAAAAGTCGGTTTTCTCGTCTTATTTTTCATCAAAACCTATTAAAATCAGTTTAATTGGAATCGGTTCTTGGATATCAGGTTAATCTTATTGATTCTTTTTTTCAACTCTCCTATTGATGGAAATTCTCAGAAACTTTTTTTGAAGTCTTGTTAGATGATAGCAGTTTTGTAGGCGTCCTGTACAATTCTTAGTATCATTTTCAGAAAAAGAAACCTAGGTAATTTTAAAAAACTCAGCTAAAAGTTGAGAAGCTTCTGCTTTTGGTTCCTTGAAAGGCGTTGGGAAGATTTACAGCACCTTCCGGAATTTACTTACCTTCCAAAAGTCTGCTGGAAGGCCTTTTTGAAATCATACTCAATATATTACCTTCCGAATACCTTCAAACTACTTTCTGAAAGCCTTTCCAAGACCTTCTAGTTTCCATTTATCTTCCAATCTCCTGCTGATTATTACCCAACACTTTTTCAAAATTCGAATGTTTTTTTGCCGCGGTTGAACTTTTGATGGAACTTGGTTGAATCGCACTTCAGGGCCTCTTAATCCTGAAACAAGAAAATATATTTTGCAATGAATCTTGTTTCCAAGTTATGAGCCTTCGAAGTTTGCGAATTACACGAATAATGGGAAAAAAAAAACGTTGTTTCAGTAGTTTGAAGCTTCTTATTGGGAAACAACAGCTATGGTCAAAAAAGGAAACGTTACCTAGTGGAGGGGTTCGAAATTGAAAGGAAAGGAAGAGGTATTTTGATTCAATTAAAAGCAAAAAAAGGCTTATTTTTTTTAAGAGTGCAATATTCTCAAAATTTTTCCATTTATGCTGCTTTGAAGTCACTTTTCCCGATCAGAAAATCAATTTTTCTAACAATTTCTAAAGCTTGGAGCATCCTCAGCGACAGTTCATCGCTCAAAGTTTTTTTTCTTTTCTTGCTCTCTTTGAAACATACTCATGTTTTTGTGTATGAGCTGCCAGGCGAATTCATCACAGACATAGAGGCAATGAAGACGTCGGAGCGAGAAGCGCTGAAAGGCCTTGATAAGCGTCGCCCCAGGGGAAATGGCTCTCCCGAAATGAATGTTGACGGGCTCGCGGCGGCGTGTTCTGACAGGCTGCCATGAATTATGCGCATCACATCACAAACAGACCGAAATGTTCAGCTTCTGTTCATTGAGAAGGGTCGAGTGATATTCAGATAATTAAAACAGCGTTCATTACATCTCAAAGATTAAAAAAATAAAAAAATAATCGACGTATGAAGTTAACGGAAAACGGCCGATTGAACTGTACCTCAATAGAGAAACTCTTTCTGAATAAAAAAAGTTTCTTGCAAAAAGATTTTTTTCGATTTATGAAGTCCGCAAAATAAACAAATTATGATAAAAAGCGCTGTTTTAAGCTTTTGAAACATCTTAACTCGAATATGAGATCTTTTGCGAGAGATTTTTTCTTGTTCTGCAATCAGGAGGCCCTGAAGTACATTTCAGCCAAGCTTCAATAAGTTATCAACCGCGGTGGTGCCGATTTTTGATTTTCTCTCATTTGACTTCATTCAACACTAACTACAGTACCTCATTTTTTTTTTGGTTAATTTTCTGAGATCTTTAGTGGGTTCCCCCAAGCCCGTAACGAATTTTGTTACTTTTGGTCTTTTTTAAATTTGTCATTTTTTTTTATCTACAAGAAGTTAATTGAAATTTCTTGTGTATGTAATTTTGAATAATGATGACAAGAATAAATGGTGGAAACGACTATTTTCTAATCAAGATCTGATTAAAAACAGGCATCACTGTCCTTTCCAAGAGCCAGTCGTTTTAGCATAAGTTCTTATTCCTTCCCCTTTATTTTTTCAAGTTCTTCTCACTTTTTAAACTTTTTTTTTCCGATAAATTAGCTAGTCTAAAAAGTTAGGAGTTAGTTTCAGCATAACAGTCATAACGCACCAAGAAAGTATTTTTGGGATGTTGCGCACTCGGAAATCCTTTGGAGTTTTTCGATTTTCAGTTAATTTACGGTCATGCGATATAAGCTCCTAAGGATATCTTTTTTATCAATTTGATCAATTACAACATTTCATGCTAACTCCAAAACTCTGTTTCAGTACGTGGGAAGTATGGAGATCCCGCGACCAGGAACTAGAATCGAGATTGTCGCCGCCATGCGACGAGTCCGAGTAAGTCTCGAAATCAACTTGACGCAAATCCAATCATTTTATCTTCTTATTTTTGATTTATATGATTTCAGTACGAGTTCAAAGCTCGCGGGATCAAAAAACGACCTGTGGACATTACCGTTTCAGTGGACGGGGTCAAAGTTGTTCTTCAGCGGAAAAAGGTTTTCTCTCTTTTTTTTTTGCTTTAAAAAACAAAGTATTTAAGCAAAAAGAAAAAGGTTTGTCATGGGACGAATCGAAGCTGCTCGTTATGTTCCATCCCATATACAGGTTTTTCTCAACTTCATGAATGTTGACCGTCATTTCTGGGTTTTTTAGGATATTCTACGTGTCCCACGATTCCCAAGATCTCCAAATCTTCTCGTATATTGCGCGTGACGGCGCTAGTAACACATTCAAGTGCAATGTCTTCAAATGTTCCAAAAAGGTTTGGATTTGATTTAAAATGTTGGGATTGATGGAAAAGGCTTGGACTGAAATCTTTTACCGTCGATATTTGCATTCCTGACTGCCGCTATTTTGAACTTCCCGTTGAAAATAGCTTCACAATCAATAATCTTGAACATTTATTGGTTTTTTTAACGTCGAGATTGAAAATCAGGACTATTACTTCATAATATCGCAAGGAAAGGCAAGAGAAGTCGTAATCACCAGATCTCACAAGCTCCCATTTATTACACGCTGTATTTCATCGTTTCGAAAAGCGACAGACGTCACTGAGAAGAAAAAAAGCCTGGCTCGATTCAGATCTGAGAGAAGAAAAAGAAAGAACAAGCGATTTCTCTTTTTCGCTCCTCTGCATAACACTACTGACGCGTGTGGCCGTCAATAATAATTAGAAACAGTTGGCTCTGTTCACCTCGATGCATTTAAACCAAAGCTTCTGACGTCAAGCATTTCCGATTCGCAACAAGGTCCTACCATATCTCTGAAAACAGACGCTTGATCGTTTCTTCCAAAGTTCAAAAGCAGAAAAAAAAAGTTTTTTTAGAAAAATTTTTTGGTGCAATGAAACCAAAAAAACGGCTGAAAAAGAAGATATCAGTTTTTTTAATGAATAGAAAAAAACAAAAACCAAAAAGATTCATCAGAATTCTTGTGATTTATTTTTTTGGATTTTCCGGCCACGAATCGGCTCTCAGGGAAGGTAATCCATTTCTACTTCCCAGAGTATTCTGTAATTCCACCGAAATACTCATCAATGTACTAAAGTAATTCAGAAAGTTTTGAAAATTCAAGAGCTTTTTTAGTTTTTTGAAGTTTTTAAAAGTCAAAGTTCATTGTTTTTTCATTCATTAGATCAGGGGAAAATTTTACAAACCTTGATTAAAATTTGAAGAAATTCGGGAAAAAGTGACAATTTTTTTGTGAATACTTTAGTTAAAAAAATTCCTTTATTTTTTTATTTTTTAGAAAGAAAAAAATGTTTTTTTAAGAAGTGTCCGGTAATTTTTATAAGGTCATTAAAGCTGAGAAATCGTTTTTCTCTTTTTTTCCTGTTTCATTTTTTTCTGGCTCTTGTCGCTAGGTTCTGTGATGGAAAGCTGTTCAGAAAGTGGATATCACGAAGTTTCGAAAATTTTGTCTGAAAAAAAAAATGGTGGGACTGCGTGAAAGCTCAAAGTGAAAAGAAGCCGAAAATTTGTCGCTCTTTCAATTTTTTTTTGAAATTTTCAACCGGTGTATCCATAGGGGAAGATAGTCTGATTGTGATGATTCCAAAATCAATATTATCTTTTTATCCTGTTGCGCCCAAATTTCACAACCCGTTTTCGTCCCATTGCGCCCGAATTTCACAGTCTTCAATATGAATCGAATATCTAGAAGATTCCTGACGCCCTTAAAAAAATAAAAAAGCATAAGGCGACGGTGAAAAAGCTGAAATAAATGCTGAGTTTGAATCGCTGAAAATCGACATCTAATCACAGTTTCGTTTGGACTAAATCTCTTAAATAATGTTATTCTGGGTGAGGTTTCTCACTTGCGTTTGTCCGACTTGTAGACAAAACTGTACTATACTAGCTATTACTGACTCTTCAAAATCGTTCATGGAAATGGAAACGAATGCTTTCCGTTGCTAACTTTTCCAAAGGTTGCCCTAATTGATCCTATCAGTTCGAGCAACATCACTGGATCAAAAATTGAAAAAAAAAAGTCGGAGTGGTTCATGCTGAAGAGAGATTCCTCGCAGGAGTGTCATGAACTGGATGGATCGTTCCAAGAGACAAGTTGAGAAGTGAGTGATAAGCCATAAGCTGTTTTAATAGCTACTTGCTCGTTGCGCTCGGCGAGGCTCGAGGCTGGATTCCCTCGGATTGCCGTGCTTCTCTGCTCTGGGGCGTCTCTGTTTCCAGCTTCTTCGGCGGGTGAAATGTCGTCAGCTGCCACAATGCAGTGAGTTGCTGCCGCATCGCCTCTTGTTCTGCACCGCCTCGTCGCATTCTACCTTTCTTTGCCATTGATTTTATATTTGTTTGGATTCGGAATTGGAACCTCAAGTTTCGCTGAAGAGAGAGGATCTGGCGCTGTTTTCGCGATTATGCGGCGCTTCATGCCGTGAGAAGCCGACAGTAGGCCAGCCATGATTCGTTTCGACCCCGAGGAAAGCTCGGAAATGAGCGAGGAGAAGCGCTTTTACTATCTTCGTCTGATGGCCAAGCCAGGAGGCAAACCAATCAAAACCAAGTTTGTCACCTGGTCAAAGGACGATGAGACTTCTTCCACTTCTCGCAATGATCAACAGTTAGAGGTGATTTTTCATGATCATCTTTCCTCCGCGTAATTTAATTTTTATCGTTGTTCTTTGTAAGCAGAAGATTAATTCAACGAATCTCATGCTATTCAAGCTCTCCACTGAAATTTTTTTGCTCTGACTTTTTTAAGTTCATTTTAGAGACCATATTTCTTCGAAGTGTGTAGCTTGTTTGAAATGAAAGTTTCGAAAGTTCATTGAGTTTTTTAAATAAAAAGGCCTGGTATATGTTTGTTATTGAACGAGATGGCTGATTTTCTTGCAAAAACTTGTTTTAGAGTTGCCAATGGCTTCTTGCTTCTCGTTTCTTCTTGATAATCATCCTGCCCACTTTTTTGAACTCTTTGTATCTCTTCCAAGACAGCTATATAGCAGAATCTCGTCTCACTTAAATTTTGATTGCTCGTGATTCATTCAGCGATCGGCTCAATTTTACGGCATACTGCTTTTATCTGCCCATTTCATTTACGTTTGTTGGCGATTTTGTGTAATGCTCTCCCGTTTTCTCGATTACACTTCAATTTATTCCACAAAAAAACCTGTTCAACTTTTGAACCTCTTTTAGTAGTAAATTCTGAAAATTTTGGTTTTTATCGGGTTATTAACTGAAAATAACTCCTTGAAATAATTTTTTCCCTGCGAATCTAAAATCAGACGTTTTACTCAATTTTTGGGTTGGCGTGAGAAATAAAAGTGTTTTGACGGGGTGGCAAGAAAAACTACCAAAATAAAATATTCTCTTTGTTTTTCTCACCGTCCCGATGTTGATTCTTGAGTTGATGAGGAACTTCGTTAATCTTTCCTTCAACAGCCGCGTTCTTTTGAAAAGACAATTTTGACGGGTGCTCAAGAAAAAAGAAGAACAGGAGAACGAGAAAAAAAAACTTGTAAAATTACAAGTTTCACGCTTCGAAGCACTCGCTAAAAGCTCGAAATGCTGCCAACCCCGATTTTCGAGGAACACATGCTCACCTGTGGTGACTGTTCGCTTAGTCCAACAATCGCGCTTCATCCATCAATCCGCAAAGCCGCCGACCCATTAGTTGTTGCAAAAGAGACAAACGGTCCCAATTTTTTTGTTTTTTCCCCTTGTTAGCGCTGATAAATCGGATCCTGAGATGATTTGTGTGCAAAGCCCCGTGGCACCTATACAACCTGGACGTATACTGAACGCCGGACTCCGATTATTGACACCGTAGGCCAAGTTATGGGTTGCACCGCTACGAGTCCCGCGTCGATCCAGAGACGTTAAAGTCAATAGGAATAGCAACCATATGTCCGCCAATCTAATTTTAAACCGGGCCTATCTGAGCTTTTTTTTAAAGAAAGCTTAAACTTACCAAGTTTGATATAATAGAAAAGGAAAATGGAGAAACTTCACAGCTTTTTGGCTTCTACTAGTTAAAACTAGTTTTCGCAAACAAAAAAATTTTTGATGTTTTTTTTCAGGGTCAAGGGTTAAAAATCGGAAATATTCAAGCTATATTGAAATGAAAATATATTTTCCGCACTCTTGAAGTTTTCAAAGCAAGTCAAATCAAATCAAAGATGTGAATTTTGTGCAAGTATTTAAGCATATCCTTCATCCCGGAAAGAAATTTGAATTTTTTTTTAAACTTTCATTCCTGTTTTTGAGTTTAGTCGAGTCACTGTATCGCTCGACTACGAAGACAACCCAAAACATGTGGTTTCACAGACGACAAAAAAAACATTTTTCTCAAGATTTGACATTCTCAAAACTTCTATTATTCCAGAGCCAGGCCATGCGGGTAGTACGAACCATCGGTCAAGCGTTCGAGGCAAGCTTTTATCAGAAGTCACTTGAGAAAAATCGCTTTCAGGTGTGTCATAAGGTGGCGCAAGAGCAGATGCAGGAAAAACATGAAGATGAGGCTGCCAAAAGCAAAAGTTAGCCATTTAGAGCACTGGTTGAAACAGTATTGTGTTTTAGTTTCGATGGCTTCAGACGACGAAGGAGTACCGGCGTTAGATGTGATCGAAGAGAAAGGGGTTAAAGAAGAAGGAAGCCGAAGTACTTCTCCGATGGAGCCTCCTGCCTTGGGAGGTCCGCTCTACGGAAAAAGAATGTCTCTAGTGAGTATCAAGCAAAAAAAAATTTTCCATTTTTGAACTTGTCGCGTAACAGTTTTCTCTATTATTTTTCATCCTTTTCTTTTTTAAAATGCTTCCCGTAACTATTTTCAAAACTGCATCTGAAAAAAATGTTGTGGTTTTCATTTTGATGTTTGCGAGGGTTGAAAATCGATGTTTCAATGATTTATTCGCTGATTCTTGAAGTCCTGAAAGCAACTAATCTCTACTTATTGAAGTTTCTACCATTAATTTCTAGACAAGCCGAATAACTTAGGGAATCGGTTTTTCCAATATCAAGAGTTTGACCAAAATTTCAAATGATCATCTTTGTTTCATCTGGAAGTTTCAAAGATTTTTTTCTATTGTATGAGGACTTCCCTGGACCATTAACCTAACCAGATTGAAGTCTTGCGTTGTTTTGAGGAAGTATTAGGCTTAAAGTCTGCTGTCATCCGATCTGCTGCATGCATCGGCTCATAATACAGCCGCGTGGAAATTCGAGTAAATCCTGTAGATACAAGTACTCGTTGCAGTTTCAACCGCGAAAGATGTCGACTGGGAGTTCTTCGGCAGGCACGGCGATCGACACCACCGTCGTGCACGTCGAAGCGCAAGAAGTTGCCAACACGGGGAATCCCATCCTCCAAGCAAAAGCTACGGAGATCGTGCCGCAACTTCAGCCTCAGATGGCCGTTCCATTCAGCCAAAAACAACAGGGGTGCGGGTTTATGTCCTGTTAACATTTTACGATATTGTTCGACTATTCAGTTTCAATGGTACTTAAAAAAAATTGAGCTCATATGTTACCATTTTTTTTTTCCTGATTCAATAACATAAAGCTGCGCTTTTGAAGCGTCTAGTCATGTAAAACTATCGCAAAAAGTTGAATTTCTTACAATTTTATTTTTCGAATACTTCTAGACTGAAAAAGCTCACAAGAGAGGTCATTTTACTTTGTGATTGGAATTTCTCAAAAAATTGGCCAGATGCAGCAAAAGAAGATTCTGAAATCTCAACCGGCAGAACTTCCTCGTCTTTGAGTGAAGACGCCTCAAAGTCAAAGAAAACCATCAAAATCCATAAAAAAGCCATTATTTTTAGATAACTAGGAAGTTGTGCAGGTTGACACTTTCAGGATCTTTATCTGGTACAGTAAGAAGTGTCCTGGCCAATTTTCAGCAAATGCATAACCAGAATGTAAAATGACCTCCCCTTGTCAGTTCAATCTCTCATTGTCCACGTTTTTTTGGCCCTTAGAAAATCAAATTTTCTTAAATTATTGATTTCCTGATTTTTTTAAACTGTAGGTCTCAAATGTTTTTATACAAAAACCTAAAGTTTTAGAATGTCTGGCCTGAGTATCCCCCAGCAGTACAACACCATGCCGGCGCAAAGCAGTTATACTACAGCCCCACCTCAAAATGCACTACCTCATGATCAAAGCCAAGTGATTTTCATCTCAGTGAACTCAATAATCGAAAAATTGTTCAGAGAATGATGCAAATGCCAAACATGCCTTACTCGGCGACGTTACCGCACAGCAGGACTTGGGCAGCACCTCATATAACGCAATATCCTCAAGCCGTCCAGTCGTTAGATCAACCCCTTCCTATGTTCTATCCGGTTAGTGGCTTTGAAAATGACCAAAATTGAATCCATGAACATTCAAGTTTGTTTCTACCGCGCTGGCAAGCTTTTGAAAGTGATAAAAATCGAATGAGCACTAAGACGAATGCTTATTTTCAGCTTTTTTTGAAGCTGAGATTATTTTTTAAAAAATTTTTCTCCATTCTCAGAGTATCGATAAAAAACTCATTGGAAACCAATTCTTATACTTTAATCTACTTCTTACTTAAAAAAATAATTTTTTTGACTCTGATATTTTTTTATTATTCAACTGTTTTGAGATTATTCAACTTCAGAAAAAAACAGTATTTTTCATCTAGCGCTCCACCAACATCAGAAACCTTTTTTTCTCATCAATCAATAGGAAATTTGAAAGAATAACCAGACTGAAAAACTTGAGAAAGGGGAGAGCTAACAATTTTTTTAATGAAGTTTTTTTCAAAAATTTCAAACTACCAAGAAAACTTTTTTGAAATTTTCCTCTGTGAAAAGTCTTTCTTGTCCCTTTTTGTCGCGGTTGAAAAACCACCAGAAAAAAATTCAAACTAACTGCCTATCACAACTCACCAATGATTGAAAATTGGTTCAGCTATCCGGAATGATGCCATCGTCCTCTTCCATGCCATTCGGACTGTCACCACCGGTAATGGTGTCGCCGTACGCAACTTTACAGCTGAACAACATGCCCACAGCCCTCGACCCAAATGATCCAAACGCGATGACACTTGAGCAGGTGTCCTTTTTGCAGCCCGACAGCATTTATCTTCCGTATTCAGTACAACCAGCAGTTAATGCGTTCGCAACTCGATCAAGCACAGCAGTCGGCGCAGGTCGCCGGGTGCCAAGTGCAGTTGCTCAGAGACCAGCTAACATCCGAAACAACGGCGCGTCTAGAAGCTCAGGTTTGCATGTTTTGCAAAATTGATGAAACTTGAGAAACTTTGAAAAATCGAAAATCGATTTCTTGATTTCTTTTTCAACATTCAATCTGCACGATTCTGTGTGCATCAAGTTCGAATTCCTGTGGTCAATAGGGTGAATATTTTGAAGCACAAACAGAAACCCAGTACAACCCTGCTGAAAATGACCATAGCTCGCGAAAGAATTAACAAAAATTTTCAAGCCTAACTCATTTTTCTTTAAAAGTAGTCGCGTCAAGAGATCCGGACAAGAGAAAACAAATTCTCCTCAATAAAAAACTTCTCTTCAAGACTTTTTTCAGTCACGAACGCATCAGCTTTTATCTGCCAATCGTGAACTTCTCGAACAAGTTCAAAATTTGGTGCAACGGCTACAAATGCTCGAAACCAAAATAACGAGCGAAATTCAACACAGCACTGGGGTACAAAAAAAACTTCTCATTGAAATAATTTCAAATGTAGGACTCTCCAAAAGCAATGTTACCGAAATCATCAACATTCGACAACAGAGATTTGAGGGTACCCGCAGGTTCTTCAGTTAAACCTAATCTTCCTTATCAGGTGAACAAAATGAAGTTTTTTTTAATCATTGAGCGTTCAGGTTCAACCGTTAGCTGACCTACGTGCAGGGTCTCTACCACCGGCCAAAGAAGTACGCGAAAGAAAACGAGACGAAGGAGCACGAACCGAGCCTGAAAGCAACAATGACGACACGACAGACTATTCCAGTAGCGATCAGGTAATTTTTTCTTCTTTTCTTTTCAAATACCGATTTTACAGTACGAAAAAACTTCGAATTTGAGACCCTCACATTTTAACATTTTGATGTCGAATCCCCTAGCGGATATAAATGTTCCATCAACAACGGCGCCGATAAAACTTCAACAAGAGGTTTTTTTTAAACTTTTATATGAAGATGTGGTTTTACCCGGATCTATGGATCTGTTCTATCCTCAGGAAGGTGTGAACTTTCCGATAGAAGATTTAAAAAAATGCGTGGTTTTGGCTTAACGTTGAAGTGGAAGAAATTTTGAGGAACTGATCTTTGAAAACGGAAAGAGGAGTTTCGCGAAGATTTCAGTCGAATTAATAAAAAAATATAAGCCCTTTCCAAAAATGACTTCTTTGAAATGTGTTTTGAAATGAAAAACTATGATCTTTGCAGTTCCAAGATGACGAAGCGCAGCCAAGCGTTTCCACCTCTCCAAGAAGAGAACGAAGAGGAACCAGCGGAATCTTACGAGGAGACAAGGACTTTGCTCGGATGTCTTTCAATCCTCGGTACCAAAAACTCCGACTTCAAAAAAACTTTTCAAAATTTCAGAAGGTTAATGAGAGATCGTGACGTCATAGAAGACGCCGTCGACGAGACGCCGCCTACGCCGGAGACTTCTCGCAGAAAACCAGATGAAGACAATCCACCAAGTCCATTGAGACGGGATAAAGTCACTGTTGAGTCTCTGTTCAAGCCGGCTGAGGCCGATTTGGGAGAGCGAGAGCCAGTTGTGTCACCCAGAAAAAATACGGTTCGTTTAAAAAAGAAGGAATTTTATCCTCAAAAAATTTCAGACATTTTCCATAGCGCCAAACACCGGTCTTCCTGCCAGCTCATCAATAGTTACGGCTATGTACCCGCCGATCCGAAAACAAACTGGATCTACGGCAAAGGCAAAATTTTAATTTTTTTTATGGTTCAATTAAAATCAGTGGCTCAATAAGTAGCGCTTTCGAAGCAGCTTTCAGATCAAATCGTTTGAACAGGAGCTACTTGCACGTATAGTCAATCCATCCCGACTTGAAACGCGAGAGAGACGGAAAAGTGTGCGGGACGCGTAGCTTGCGCGTACGCGGTTCTTGGCACGAGTTCAATTTAAGCGCCGCCGACTACTTAAAAAGCTCAGCCACCGCACTTTTCGTTTCTATCCTACTATTTCTTGATGCGAAAATGAAAAAAATCGATCATTATTAAAAAAAATCGATGAAAAAAGCGAAAAAAAGCTTTCCAAACAGTCGCTGGCGGTTAAATTAAACTAGTACCAAGAACCGCGAACGCAAACGCTACGCGTCCCGCCCCTTCCTTCGGCTTTCAAGCCGGGATGGATTGAATCATACAATTGACGATATAACGCCGCTTGAGCGCGCAAACCAGAATTCAAACTCGCCGTTAAAACACTAAAATACACTCAAAATAAGTCCATTTTTCCAGCCGAAAATCGACATTCTTCGAAAGAAAACCTTGAGAACACTTTCGGTCGATATTGGCGATGAACCGACGAGCAGCGATTTCAACAAAAATGTTCCACCTCGGAAAAAAGAAGAAATCGAAATAAAAGACATTGAAGACTATATTAAGTATGATTTCCATCGGAACGTTTCAATCATGTGATTATTTTTTCCAGCCGCAATGTGGACCGCACAAAACTGCCGGAGACGTCGTTGCTGGCAAGGCTAACTCGGCAGGGCGATCAGCCCTCTTTAGGCAGTTTACCAAACGGCTACCCTTCTTAGAACCTACTTCTTACTTTCTAAACCTTTTATGCAATTTTTGATTTGTCTGAGAGCGACAATTAGCAAAATGAAGCTTGGTGCAATTTTTTAAAGCTTTCAAATTAGATATAGTAATGGTTTGCATAGTTTATAAGGCCAGGCTTTTTTCGCTACATGTCGCAGGTTCTCTACGACTTGTGCTTCATGTGTGCGCATAGTTGAACAAGTTCAACATGGAGCACTACAATGAGCCCTCTCAAAAAGAAACATAGCACACTTTCTTACTACTGCTTGATTTGCGATCTCTCCCACCGGTCAAATCGTTATTTCCGTCATAATATCGGTTAACTTTGTTTCTCACTCACAAGTTTGTTTCTGTGGACTTTCTTTTCTCGCTTTCCCGATTTGTTTCTCACTATCCTAACTCTGAAATGTCACGCAAAGAGTTTAAGTCTTCCCGAAAAAGTGGCATACCTACCTGTAAAACATTCCTGGTTTTGTCTTTTTTTAGTTCTTTTTCACTGTTTCTATGCAATTTCCTTTCTTTCGACAAAAATCATGATTAATCTGATGATTGAATGAACTTATCTATATCGCTTATTCTTGCGATCCGTATCAAAACCATGAGCTATATTTTCGTTGTTTTTACGCCTAGTTTACCGGATTTTTTCGCTATTTTAATAAAAGTTGGTGACTTCTTTTTCAATTTTTTCCCCTTTCCTTGAAAAATTATTTTTTCGTTATGCTCATTTTATTCTTAAAAAAATTATATCCGTCAGAAGCTTCCCAAAACATTGTGGAAATCATGAATTCCGATTTCAGCCATAAAACTGGCCATTTTCACGTACGTTTAATAAGGGGTTTGATGAAAGATGGAAATTCACCGCTCTAACAATCGAAATTTTGTTCTCAGAAGACAAAAAAAAGACATATGGCTCGTGCACGTGTGTGGAGAACCGAACAATTGAATGTTTTTGAGAAGGTGCCATTTCAAACAATGGCCGCGTTTCGAAAAGTAGAGCGTCTCTAGCCTTTGTTTTTTGATCCAGTTGGAATGCAACGCAAATTTATAAAACAAAAGAAAATCTTTCGAAGCTCTGCGAGTTGCTTTTTCGTGAGTCGAAAGAAATCGGAAACCTTATATAGTTTTATTACTGGCGCCTTTTCGAGCCTTTTCGGCTTGTTTAGACATTTTTGCTTTTGAAAATTTCAGAGTTTAAGCTGAAAAGATGAGCTAAAACTCACCAAAATGCGATTTTTCAATTTCTGTAATCTTTCATTGCAAGACGATTTTCCATTAATTCTAAGCTCTTTTTTTAAAATTATAAAATTTCAAAACTCAAAATTAATAATCTAAAACCTCTTACAAATCTTGAACTCTCAGAATTAGTAGACACATTAAAAAAATCAAGAATTTCGGAGACATTTCATAAAAAGACACTTTACCTACTCAAATTAAAAGAAGAAAACTAAGAATTGTGAATTCAGACTCTTCTCATAATAAAGGAACTCATTGGGTTTGTTATTTCAAGGTAAAACAATAAAATATATTACTTCGATTCCTTCAGATAAATCCTCCATTAGATCTTTAGTGGAAATTAAAAGGCACTTCAAAACATTTGAAAACTATAACTCTCCACATTCCCACACAAGCGTCTTTATTTAGAAACCATTACCAGGAAAAATACGAACAAGTAAAATGGGAATGGTCAAAGATAAAACAATAGCAAGCAGAATCTTCAGTTGGAGTCAGTGTCAGAACCGCGAAGCGAAGTTTCCGGCGTAATTGCTTCATAAAGTCGATCCAGATTTTTCTCTATGCGCAATAACGGTGCAGCTTTATCCTCGTTTGCCTCTGGACCTATAAAACAATTATTAAAAGTCATGAACCGAAATAAAAGAATTTAAAAAAGTTCAAAAAATATATTTAAAAAATACTGAGATGAGTGACGTCAGCGAGAACTGAAGCAGCTCCGATTTGTCTTCTCAGTCCCAACAGAAATGCGTCTTTCGAGAAGCGCTAAATACGATATTTAATGTTTATGTATAAATTCTTGTAACTATTAGTCAAATATTAATAATTTATTTTTGACAATTATGAAACGAAACATACTTAGTTAACTTCTGAAATAAGAATTGTTGGATCGCAAAATATTTTTGATTATTCCAGAACACGTCTCAAACTCACCAGTGATAATAATTTTCCAAAGTTGTTATCAAAGAAAGCAAAGAGATTTAGAGGTTTTGCACACCTAATTGACGCGGAAAACATTAATTTCCTCGATGTATTAAAAAGTCGATTTAGACTTCCAACGTGTCCCGATCTATTGCACCGTATCTAAGGCATATAAATGTAAAAAAATTAAAAAGAAAAATTAAAAAAATTAAAAAAATTATATTCTCACCTTTCATTGATATAAAGACGGACGTCCCAAAAAAACGTCTGTCAAAAATCGGCAACTTTTTTTCCTAAAGTTAGATGTTCATTTAATATATAGTATACATACTGGAAAAAAATTTTTTTAGTGGCCACTATAGGGTTTTGACGTTTAGTGGCCGCTATAGTAGTCGAATTAGTGACCACTTAAGGGGTTAAAAGTTAGTGGCCACTATAGAGGTCTAAGTGCTACTAATTAACCACTAAAAATTTTAGTGGCCACTTTAGGAGTTTATGGATCAACATAACTGGTCCAATTGGCCACTTTAGTGTTCTCTCCAATTAGTCCTTGGCGAGCCTCTATAGTGGCCACTTCTATAGTACTTGGAGAGGACACTAAAGTGGCCACTAAAAAAACCCGCCTCTATAGTGGTCACTATTTTCCGTTTTAGCCAGAAGAAGAAAATCAAAGTTTAACTTACAAAAATAAACTGCCGAGCCATTTTAGAGCGGCGATTAACCTGTAAACTTATTCGATTAGTTTGAGAGAGACGGAAAGCAGTAAAAGCAATAAAAAGCTTGCATGAAAACATTAAAAAAAAGAAGAACAGTTGTCTCATTGGATAAGAAAAATGTGAAACAACTGTTTCCAGTTTCTTCCAAAAATTAATTGCCAAGCTGAACTTCTATCTTCAAGCTGAACGACAAGTTTTATTTTGTATCTATTTTATCAACTGTCCTAGTTTCCTGACTATTCATTCCTCGTTTTCTAAATTTGAATTTCGCGCCAAAAACAAAAAAAAAATGTCTGTGGGCTCCTGCAGCGATGTGCCTTTCTGCATTCACGTCGTCCCGCCTACACGCCTAGCGCGCAATCCCAAATTCAAATTCGAAAAATGTTTTTCTGTCTTGTGACGTTTTCCTGGCCTTTTCTTCTTCTATTTTTTCCATTCCTTCCGTTTCCTTTGCTTATAATTGCTTTGTGGATATTTATCATTCAGATAAAACTGCTTGTTTTTGAGGTGATTGAAATGCCTGTGGCGCCAGTTGCAAAAATCCAAGTCCCCGGAATTCCGCCGTTCCATGATCCTAATTGCGCTGAGGCGTTCGCGCTAAGAGGCCTGAACTTTCTGGAAGAACTCAAGAAGTCCTACGCTTCCCGTCCGTCCGGCTACGATGAAGTTCTTGAAATCTTCGCTTCGCATGCACTCAACAAGTGAGTTAGTCATAAGAATACTAAAATGACATATTTTCATTTTTTTTAGCCAAAACTATTAGCATTTATAATGCGCATTCAAATCAAGAGATGTTCCAGAACAAAAACTGAGTGAAAACACTATCTAAAGTTTTTCTTTTCAGTACGCCTTTTGAAGATTTCCTCAAGGAACTTGCATTGGCGCTCAAGGAGGTCCCGCGTATGATCCCGCTTCTCGAGGAGTTTCTTCCGCCGACCATCACCCTGACCGTCTCGGGGACCAATGAAGTCGACCAGCCGACCCGTCTGACGGTTACCTACCGATGCTACCTTGATGGGAAAACTTGGGTTCGTTTCGGAAAATTGTAAAAAATTAAAAAAAAAAACTTTTCAGGACGTCTGAGAGTTCTGGCATAATGGGTACCTGCAATCCAAATGCAATCTGTTAACCTTCATTTATATCCTTTTTTGTTGTACAGTTTTTTAACAGCCCTTCCTTTTTTAGAACGCTAGGAGATGCTTACACTGTACTCCCCGTCTCATTTTACTTATGGCCTAACAGTTACAAAACCAAAGTTTCGTACCATTGAAAAGATCCTTAACACCGTGCTGCTTTTCAGGGTCCAAAAACCGGTTGTATACAACGGTGTTCCTTCTTCTTGGTCTCCTGTTGGCTTTCAAATGTATCGCTTCATAATACTTCCAATCGTATCACACTCATTTTATTTGAAAGATCTGTTAATAAACTGTTACACTAAAAAAAAGTTTAATACATTTATTTACAAACACAATGGTTTTAAGAATTTTTAACTTAGAATAGGTAGATTAAATAAGCGAAGACAAGGATGAGGCTGAAGAACCCTGTGAGCAGAGCATGACCAGCTTTGAAGACTTCCGTCCAGTCCTGAGTTGGTTTGAAAGAACGGAGTTTGAGCGTCACTGACCTGATGGTATGTTCCTTCGATTGGTTGTTCTTCTACTTTCTCCATACTGATTTCTTCAGCGTTATTGATGTAAAGCACGCCAAGAGCTCCGTTGATCATCTTCGCGGTTCTGAATAGATATGGGGCTTTCTATGATTTTTTCAGAACAAAAAAGGAACGTTTCGATCGCTTAGCTGTTGCGTATGCATTTAAAATGAGCTATTTTTATCAAATTATAGGTGAAACTCGGGAAAAACAACATAATCGATAAAGACAAACTGGCTGAGCTTTCCCCAAGGCGGCAACGAGCGTTTCACACGCATCCCGACATAAACGAAGACGGAAACAGCAATAGAAGCAAGATTGAGCATCATACTCGACTCAAGGAATCGCACTAAACAACGAGGTTTGTATTTGAAAAAGAAGAGAAACTCACAAGGTTTCGGTGAAGTTGACGAGCTGGAAAGATGTTGAGCGATTCTGTTGGAGAAAATTAGAAGAGTGACAAACTGAATAAGTAGAACGAAGAGTTTGAGGTGGAGCTGAAAATTGTTTTGATTTAGGATGATCGATTTTTAAAATGAACCTGAAGACGAATGCAGCCGAAGAATGTTGGCAGCAGGAAAAGGATGGTGATGATGAACAACGGGATAGTAAATTCAATACGGAGAGATGAAGAAGCTCGTTTCAGGTTCAGGCAAAAGCCCAGCTGTAAGATTTATTAATTTGTTAAAAATTGTTACAGGAGGAAATGTACTTGGGCGATTTCGGCTGGATCGTCGAAGCTTTCTGGAACAGTTCCGGAAACGCTCCAACCATAGTCGCGGAAGTTTTTTTCGGGTCAGTGAATATAGGAAGACCGGATGAAGTAAATTCGATTACTTCCTTAAAAAAAGAGTTTATTTTTATATATAGAACTTGAAAGAGGAAAAATTCAACTGAATTCTAATAACATTCTTCCGGTTTTTATTCAATCTTGATTTGAAAAAAAGTTTTGCTAAGTTTCAACCGGATTTTGGAGGGTGTACTTACAGACAAAACACTTTTTTTTTCTAATTATCTCCGAATATATAGGGAAAAAACACGAAAAATTTCAATTCCAATCGTTATAACTTTTTCAGAAAACCCACTCGGTCGTTTTGTGGCTCGAAAGCAAAGCAGCACTTGTAAATGTCGTTTGGATAATTTTCAAAGTCAGTATCGTCACAGAAAGTTCGTAGAGAAAACGCCAACTTTGCGGTCACGTTTCCACGGTTTGTCGTTTCAACTTTGCGCATTTCAAAAGCATCGCCGTTTTTCAAGTGATTTTCCGGGCTGAAATCTTTTTTTTTTACGTTTCCAATTTACTAAAACAAACTTCTGCGATCCCAACACAGGCACCCAAACGTGATGGAAGCTGTGAATCACCAAGTTGTCTTTCTTCCATGTATCCTTGTCCCAGATTAATCTAAAAAATGGCAGTTTTTTCTTCTAAAAAGCTTTACTGTTTCACCTATCATCGTGCCAGTTGAGCTCGAGGTACCCGTGAATGGCAATGTCTTTGAGGCCCTCGTTCTGAGTTTAATTAGGAGAATAAATAAATCAGTAAACAGTGTACTAGTTCAAAGTGTTGCAGGGTGAACTGCGCAAAGTTGACGGAAACCGGGACTCGGCTGAGGTAGTTTGGCGGGACTGCCGCAATTGGATGCGCAATGTTCAACCTGGAACGCTATATATAGTTGAAAGTTTCACAGGTTTGCTTATTTTGAAATTATTCCATGAATAAGAGAAGGAAAAAAGCAGTTCTACCCTTTTGTTGGGTTTTTAAAACCAGACCTCAAAAAATCCTGCTTTTTTGCTGTGAAATATTTCCATCGAAGAAACCTAACTTAGCATTTTCAGCTTTGCAAATCTTCGCGATTCTGCGAATTTCCTCGCATTCATGGTTAGAAGAAACAGGTAAATTCAAAACTGACTATTTATATCAAACAACTGAAATATTGCAACTGTTCCTAGTTGTTTGCAAAATTGATACGAAAAGATGCGCCTTTGCTATTGAAGCTTTAATTCTTCAATTACAATCTCTCATGGCTTTTTTCCAAGCGGACTTTTCATAAAACTCGAGAAGATAGTATATCTTGGTTGGAAAACTTTCTTTGTTTTTTTTCCTAATTTTGGGTGGTTTTTAACACAGAATTAAACTTTTTGCTTTTATTCTCTCATGTTTTGTTTCAATACTAAATGCAATTTGGACAATTGCTCTGAAAAAATTTAGAGCATAGAGCCTTCAATGAAAATTTTTAACGAGGTAGTACTAGAAAGTGCTTTTTTTCAGAAAATTAATATCTAAATTGACCTTCCTCATTGGAAATATTTGACAGTTTTCCTTGGAAAATGACTTTGCCCGGATAAAATATTGCAATTTTTTGGCTTGAAGTTTGATCAATATTTCAAAGGGAAAAACGTGATTGTTCTTGTACAAAACCAATAAATAGGCTGCTTTCAACACCTCAGTAAAAAAATTGAATTGAGTTTTTTTCTTGTTTAAATCTGCGGTTTTCAAAAGCTCAGTAGTTATAAAATCACTGCAAACCTTTTTCTTCGGTTTACAAACTTTGCTTGGAAATGAATTTGTGATGAAAATAAAGCGTAAATTAGATAATTTGGAGAAGGCAATAAGAAATTTCAACTCTAGAAACTCATCCAGATTTTTTTTTGCACTTGTCAATTTAGGAAAAATCTCGATTGAATTCTTGGTGTCTAACAATTGTTCAACTTGTTGAATCCAAAGCGCCTTCATGAGACAGCATCAAAATAATATATAATAGCTTCCCGTTTTTACAAACCTCAACATTTTTTTAGCCGTTTCTCCAGCCAGATAATAGTAAAGACACTGTTCCAAGGCAACGACTTCATGCTGCATCAGATTCTCGACACCTGAGAATCAAATTATTTTTGGCTTTTTTTCCGAACGCACTGGTCAAGTTGGCAAGCATATACTGGCACGGGTCCAGCTGATCACTGGAAGTCGCTCGCGCCTGCAATATCAAACATCTTCTCTTGACCAACACTCTTGTTCCTCTGTTTGTTCAAGACCTTGTCTAGTTCTTCCGGTTTTTGTGTTTTTTTTCTTTCATGCTCAAAACGCCTTACCTGGAATAAAGCTTGAGGAGAGTTGGTTATATGCGGTCCGACTACATTTTGAGCCGCGGCTAACGGCAGGAGAAACAACGCGGCTAGCATCGGCTCCCTGAAAATATAGGCTTTTTTTGGTTGAAAACAGATCAAAGACACGAAAAGTTGTTTTAATGACGAGAAAGATATGGTTAGCAGGAATTTATCAGCTTTTTTTCATTTTTGAAATGTTCTGGTTCTTATATAATTTTAATGAATTTTGTCAGGTTCCCGGTCTGCTCTGGAAGTCCGAAAGCCAAATTACTATCACTATCTGAAATGAAAAAAGAGAGGTTAATGTTCAAAAAAGCGACCGTGAAAGCCATCTCACAAAAGCGATTTTCAAAATCCTGGAGGATAATAAATCATTTTCATATTGGAATTCATTAATTTGAAAATATTCGAAAAGGTATTTTGAAGCTCTATTGAAATTTTGAAACAGAACTTTTGGGATTTCGAACTGAATTTCCAGTTTAAAACTAGTCGTAAAGTTTTTCAAAAAGTTCAAATTGTATTTTATCAAAAGTGGGAACACCTATGAAGCATATGAGTAAAGACTGTTCTGAACAAAATCAGCTTCGAACCTCTTTTCGTCAGTTCTTGAGCGCGTTCAGGACGCTTTCTCAGCTTCCTCAAATAACACGAGACAAAAAAAAGATCTGAAGAACAAGAAAAAAGCAGATAGCAAGATTTGTCCTCAGCGAAAAGGAGATGAAAGACGAAGTGAAAAGCAACGGGCGGAGAAAAGGCAGGGCGACGTCCGGTTTCGTCATGAGAGGCACTGTAGCACCTTGGCGCGCCGTCTGTGACCGCCACTGGGAATCTGATGGCATCGTGCCCTAAGCATCTCAATGATTAAGCCAACAACTAGTTCCAAATGGGTTGAGTCCAAATGACAACGTCATGTGCTTTTGGTAGGGTATGAACTTTTTTGAGACATTTTAGTTTTCCTGTGGACTTCTGAATCGTTCACTAACTCGCTTGAAACCTCTATGCACTCAAATAATTTTTTTTAAGGGTTGATATCCTAAAAATAGGCTTCGATTTGATTAAAGACCTGGATACAGGTAGTGCTGGAAAAATTTTGCGAAAACTTATATTTTCAATTACAAGATCTCAGCTGTCAATATCTCTCCAGAAATTTACTACCTTAACTTCTAAAGTATACAAAACTTGCTAAATGATCTCTACGTGAAAGATTTTGAAAATTTTAAGATCTTCTGATTACAAAAAGTACTGAAAAAATCCTGGAAGTAACCTCCTTGACTAATATAAAATCAAATACTTGAATGAACCTCTATAAGAAGCGAAGGAAAATGGGAGAAATCAGAAACGATGGCGCCAAAAAAATGTTAACAGATGATTTGCCATGTAGACTGGATCTGCTGCCGCTTTCGTTTTATTCGGACGCTCTTTACACAATAAATCCGAATCGAAACTTTCGGTAGAACAGGATACGTTTGCTGCAAGTGGTTGATGTTCACTTTTTCTTGGAATAAACCTTTGGGATGTTTGGTTCCAAATAAAGAAGGGGTAGTTTCACTTGATAAGATTGATGGAGGAGGTCTAATCTTTGTTCTGTTGAAGTTAGGTAAAGCTTGATATAAGCTAAATTGAAATTTTTTATCAAAGTTATATAAACAAAATAAACAAAAGTCTTGAAAAACCCAAAAATACGTTCGGTGGACAACTGCTTCATAAAATTGCAGCGCTTAAAATTTTCAATTGAGGTCGTTGTTTGGAATTTGCTATTCCTTATCAATAAAAAAAGAAAAAATCAACAAGATCAATTTTAGCGGAGGTTCCAAACTTGGTGTCGTTTTTCGTTTAATGCTCCAAGGATATTAATTTAATTTTAGACCCTGCGGCGGATAAAAAAAGATCACGATCACTAGAAGGACCAGAGTACGCAACAAAAAAAGTAAAGAGGTTTTTTGTAATCATTCAAAAAAATCTCTTGATTTTCCGCAAATATGGTTCTTCTTGTTTCACCTCTTCAATGAAAAACGTTTTAATGTTTTCATTCAAAAAAATACATCCGCTCGTTGACTTCCAGTTTCCAAAAGGTCGAAAGCATTTGTCTTGTTTGTTCCAAGTCGATTCGCCGATCCTCAAACAGTTGTTCAGAGAGTTCCATTAAACAGGGAGTTAAGTTCGTCGTTGGCGGCAGCAGAACCATCTTTTTTGACCTCCCAGTTTGATACTTGACGAAATAATTTGAATCATTCTTTCTCTAGTTTGGCACCTTCACATAAAAATTCGAAAAGATCGTAAATTTCCGAGTCTTCCGCTCCTTCACGGCTCATTGGATAATCTTTGCTCAAACTTTCTCTTGGTTTACAGCCTTCAGGGAGTTTTTGGGACGGTTTTATCATGCGAACTACAGTAGTAGGCAAATATTATGATGGCGCTCGGTCAGAGGGGCATTTCGGTGGTTGCCGTTAGTCGTTGCACTTTCGAAGTTTCTTCAAGAAATTTGAGATTTTTTCCCATTTAGACAGTTAAGTAGGCTAGTCTTTCCTCTAGTGTCGATAAATCATCTTCTCCTAAACGAGATAAATTGAGCAAGTAGCTCAGCTCCTAATAACTATGAGTTGCATTTGATAATTGGCTCCGATAAGATCAAGGTGTCAGCTAAGATTTTATCTTGTAATATCTGAGTGAGATCCTCTTTCTTCAAGTTATTATTAATGACCTTGTCTAAAGTAATTATTTTTCAGTTTTTCATTATAATAGTAAGGATTCCTATTGAAAAATGGACATAAGAACTGTTTTAATGTCATTTTTTGGACACCAAATTTCGGATGAGAAAAAAATTATTAAGACATTTATTATCATCTACAATCTGAGATGAAATCTGTATTTTTCAAAAAGCCTATGCTAATAAATGTCTTACTTATTCGATTATTCCTTTTCAACCTTACATTTTTATCATTCTTCCCACTTGCCATATGGAACCAAAGTCAAGTAGCAACTACTTACTCATAATTTAACGAGAACTCTTGTTTCCTCTTCCATATAAGGAAACCAACAGTCTTGCTTCGTTTCAAACAATCTTGTAAAGTGCAACAGATTAACGAAAAGTACATACAAGTAGCCGGTCGTAAAACATGTGTTGCGAGTCAGAGATAACTATCGGCGTTGCTCCGCATCTTTCTTTTCTCACAATTGGTTTTATTATTTCTCTGAGATAATTCGAAAATTTTTTGCTTCTCGTTTTCTTCAAATCAAACCTCTATATTAATGCCATGAAATGCTTTTTCTTCTTAAAAGTACGGTAGACATCCCATATTTTGCAGAGAACTTCTTTTCTCGATGCTTCGCCGGCTGCTACTCAGCTGTGCCTTTCTCGTCTTGTTACATGCACAGCATGTTATTGACCTCAACGGAGAATGGAACTTCACAAATTCGGGCGGAGACTACGCTGGAATAGGTAACGTCTACATGAAAAAAAAATTTTCAGGATCTGAATGAGAAACTCTATGTTGATCCTGGATACTTTTTTAGTGTTTCAATAGATTAGGAAGGTTTTTATACTTTCTCCAGAAATCAAAAAAAATTTCCGCTTCAGAAAAAGAAGTATAATCTCAGCACAATTTTTGAATGCTGCATAACGGTTTACAGCCAAAATTCAAAAAGTCCTTGAAACCAGAATACACTTTGAATTTTCAAGTTGATGTGTACTTTTGCAGGAATCGTACCCGGTGACATTTACTCAGACCTCCATCGAGCAAAACTGATAGAAGACCCGCTTTTTGGTGATAACCACATCGACCTCAAATGGGTGGCGCGCGAGAGCTGGACTTATAACAAACAGTTCGACGTCGACAGGGCCATGTTGAAGGTCGGTGGCAAGACTTTAGAAATAGCTTGTTTTGAAGTCTTTCAATAAACTTTATTTTTAATTGATTAGGCTTGAAAAACTTGTATTATTTGGTCCAAAAATGTCATAACTGCAAAGAAAAAAAGGTTATAGAGGCTGTCAAGAATTCTTCATAACTTCCGCATGAAATCCCAAGTTGAATGGATAACATTTTTAGTATGAAGAATCTTAGAAAAATCCCTTTAAGTACACACTTAAAAAGAAAAATGCCGTAGCGCGCAAATCGAAAAAGGTCGGGCTCATCGGTTAGAATTGATTCGAAATAATGAAAATGAAGCAAAATTCTTCGTAAACGAGAGACCTTTTTCAGCAGTACGTCTTTTTGAACGTGGAGGGATTGGACACCGTAGCCTCTATTTATTTGAACAACCACTATATATTCGAAAACACAAATCAGTTCCGGTCGCACTTTCTCAATATCACCGGATTTTTGCAAGAGAAGGAAAACAGGCTTTTCATTCTTTTCACCAGCCCTGTGTACTACGCGTCGGACTCAGCTTATTACTACAGAGTTCGTTGCGGTTGTTTGAAGTTTTGGGAAAATTTTGGCTAATTTAGTACGAATTCCATCACGATGTCCCACCCAACTGCCCACCTACGATTTACAATGGCGAGTGTCATGTCAACTTCATAAGGTGCTTTTTTCGCAGAACTTTCATTTAAAGTATACATGTGTTTCAGAAAGGCTCAATACAGCTTTGGCTGGGATTGGGGACCGTCTTTTCCCACGATCGGAATTTGGAAACCGATTTCCATCATATCCTATGAAACTTTCCATTTTCACGACTTCAGCTTCAATGTCTACCCTCAATCAAGTTGGTCGAGTTGATGACACTTTAACTGTAATTTTCCAGCGGAATATCTTATCAACTTCGACATATTCTTACATTATTCTCGTGACGTACGGGTGAACTATACGATCGCAATCGAGGAGCTGAACTTCACTAAAACTATCGATAAGATTTTCCCTGTGTTTGGACACGACATGCTGCATGTTCATCACATAAAAAAGACGATCCCTATGAAATATGAGACCACCGTGGGAGATAAAGGTAGATCGAACCAAATTACAGACCCTACCACTTTGAAAGTTTCAGTTGTAACCAAAGAAGTGGAAAAATGGTGGCCCATCGGTTATGGCGCGCAAAAACAGTACAAAGTTTGCGTTTCTGCATCAACCGGACAGAGTGAGCTTGTCTCTAGTTTTCTCATAATGATCCTTTTCAAAACAGAGAAATGCAAGAAAATCGGTTTCAAAGAAACGTTTCTGGCGGAACCACTAGTCGATGAGAATTCGCCGGAAAAGGGCCGAGAGTTCTTCTTCAAGATCAACAATCAAACTATTTTCTTGAAAGGTTTTTTATCACTAGTGATACTTGATTCTAGTTTTTTAAGGATCGAATTGGGTTCCCGTTTCAATGTTCCCATCTCAAAACCACACTGAGAGAATGAAGTTCTTAATGGATTCTGCAGTGGAAGCAGGTTTCAAAATCTTTTTAAATTTATACATATATCCAAGTTTCAAGGAATGAACACTTTGCGTGTTTGGGGTGGAGGCTTCTATGAAACCGAAGAGTTCTACGAGTACGCTTCGGAAAAAGGCCTTCTGATTTGGCAGGTTGCTACTTTTTTTTAGATGGAAATCAAAAAAAAGTGCAGGATCTGATGTTTGCCTGCGCCTTGTATCCGGACGATAAAGATTTCCAAAGGAGCATCCACGAGGAGGTGTATGAACAGGTCCAGTTTTTGATAATTGAAAAACTTATATATTCATTTTTCATGAGAAAACATAGAACTCGCGGTTTTTGATATCCTAACTCACTGATATGTAAATAAAACAATAACAACATACTCAATGATTTCTGAAACTTTTCATCGATGTAAACTTATCTTGAACTTACTTCCTTCTTTTTAAAGTCAATTAAAGTCTCATTCATTGATTTCCAGTTGATTCGCCTCAGAAAGCACGTTTCGATATTCATTTGGGGCGTGAATAATGAGAACGAAGTTGCCATTCGAACTCATTGGTGGCATGTTGAGAACTACACCGGTGATCGCCTGAAGTGAACTTTATAAGAAGACCATTTTTCAGAAGAGCAACAAGTAAACGATTATAAAAAAATGTATCTGGAAATCGGATCGGAACTTGACAGGATGGACTCCACCAGACCTCATGTCCTGTCGAGCCCGAGCAACGGACGAGAAACCATTTTGTTCGTCTCGATTTTCCCTCATTAACTTTAAAGAGAAGTTTTCAGAGAAGGTGGGGTGGCGAAAAATCCTGGCGACGAGAAATACGGTGATATTCATTATTACAATGAACTTATAGATCTCTGGCAAGACAGTAACTTTCTGACTCCGAGATGTGCTACTGAATACGGAATTCAAAGCTATCCTTTGCGGTACGTCAGATGTACAGATTGGGCTATTCTTACAGTTGCTAATACAAATAAGCTTGAATAAAAAAATAATTTGAGTTTCTAATCCGTAAATATATAAATGCTGCGGACCATGAAAAAAAAAGTATTGCTAAGTTTTAGAGGAACGCTCGCTCGCTGGCTTGACGAATCCGAGATATTTTACACGAGCGCTCAAATGGTTCATCGGCAACATCATCCCGGTGGTTTGGCGACAAATCTCATGATGATCTTCAGTCATTTTCCGGTGAGATTTGATTTCAACGCTTCGTGAGAAAAAGACAATGTTCAGCTCCCATCACAATGCAGAAGTTGCTCTGTTGACTTTCTGAGGACTCTGATCAAATGCGACTATGCGATGTCGGAAAGCTTCATGGGAAGACTTGCGTACTACTCCCAAATCCATCAGGCGATTGCACTGAAGACGGAAACTTTGCACTATAGAAGGTCTTAGAATCGAGTATTCATTTTGAAACGTTTTAAAACAGGTACCGCGGTATTCTGAACAAAAATGGAAAAGGAAAAACAATGTGCGCGCTCTACTGGCAGCTAAACGACGTCTGGGCTGCTCCAACCTGGTCTTCGATTGATTTCGACCTCAAGTGGAAGATTGCTCACTACGAAGCCAAGCGGTTCTTTAAAAACGTGGTCGTATATTCGGTAAGCCAGAAAAACATATCTGGCAAAATGTGAACCCAGATCAATTCTAGAGCTTCTTTCAGATGGCAAACGGCTTCAGTCTGCAAACATTCATAATAAACGACCAGTTAGAGGCTTTGGATGACGTTGAAATCCGGATAATGATGTTTGCCTGGAATGAAGGATTGACACCGTTTTACGACAAAGCCTACAAAGTTGCGCTTGTGGAAGGCGGCACTGTATTCACCCTTCCAATTAAGTCAGTCCACACAAAAAAAAAATAGAAAATCGTTCATTTCAGAAAGAAAATAAATCAAATGTCTTCGGACTTTATGTATGTGACCACTTTGTCCAGAAATGGACAAATAATTGCGAGTCCAGATGTCCTGCTCCCGAATACGTTCTTCGAGGTTTTCGCGTTTCTCTTTCTGAAATGATTCGAACAAATTCTCAAAACTGTTAGACAAAGCTTCTGATAAACCTCCGAAAATACATCTCAAAGAAAACCTTGAATAAATATTATTCAATTCCAGGTTGACTTCTCACTCTTCGGCAACGTTGAGATAAGCCGCGTGAAACAGATCAACAGCACCTGCTATGAAATCAGATTGGTCTCTGACGGCCTTTCTCCGGTCACGTGGCTGGATGTCAAGCAAGACTTTCTCGGTTACTTCTCCGACAACGGGTTCACGATGTTCCAACGTTATGAGCTCGTATATCTGAACCTTTACAAGCCAGTTGAGCTCGAAGATTCCGACTTCACAGTGTGCAACCTCAAGAACTGTTACGTTTGATTATTGTATATCTTGTTTCTGTTATAAATCGTTTTCTAAGAGTTTTCAATGTTTCACAGCGGACAGAATAACAATTTCCACGCATTCACAACATTCAATAACCACGCTCCCAAGACACAATTACAGTGTCCCACGCGCAGATCTGTATTAAATTGACCTATGCGAATGTAACGCTCACAACTTATTCTGCAAAGATGCGCCTCTGGTGTCTTCTTGCTTCTTTCTGTCTGGTGAATTTCCCATTTCAACTCATTTTCAAATTATCTGTAGGTGGTCGGAGCGAAAAAGTCTGCCAAGAGAAAATGTCAAATCGGCCAGAATGATGTGAGTTTGAAATTTTTTGGAATCTCAATTTTACCAAGACCTTTTTTAGATCGAGTGTCAACAACTTCAAGACGTTTTAATTGGTAAGTTGAATTAAATTTGAGTGAAATTCTTAGAAAAGATTGTGAAAAGGGAAAAGCTTTTCTTGAGATTTCCACGAACCACTTTTCTCTGGGTCTCACTTTTAGCTTCGTGCGTAGTAAAATTTTACGACCTTTGTTCTTCAAAAAACGTTTGTGAAACATTTTTTTTTTTTGCAGCTCAACCTTCAATTTTCGAAAGGTCTGAAAGAGCCGCGGAAAGGACACTAGATGAGATTATTAATGAAGAGCGTCCAGAAAATCACAGACGTCGTAATGGCAACCATGACAAGAAGAAGACTCATCCCAAACAGAAAAAAGATCAAAAGGACCGCGAGGGTAGCTCTACGCGTTCTTTAGCGGTCCTCGACAATTTGCTTTCTGAAAACGAGAAGAAGCAGCCCGATGTTTTCGCAAGCAGCGTTTACAGCTCCAATCACAAGACTCATCAAATCAACAAAAAGATGATCCAGGCCATCGTGAAGCAATTACTTCAAGATACCTCCTTCTTGAACTTGTTGAACAACCCCAGCCGCGAAGACCTTCGCAAAATCATCGAGAAGCAAATGACTCCTCCTATCCAGCCATCGCTCAAAAAAGAAATTCTGCACGAGCTCTATGATGTCATCGACTACTACGATCGTGAATTCCAGTTTCTGCATGACGACGAAGCCAAACACGAGGTTCTCGAGTTCTTGCACGAACTCAAGTTGAAAGAAAAAACAAGCCTTCTGACTCCAACAGAAATAAACCGACTGAAACAACTCTGGAAAAAACTGGTGATTCTGCAGTCTGATGAAAGCGTCCGTTCGCTGACCCTCCAGCTTATGGATCAGATTGGACTTAGCTCAGAAGAGCTCGAAGAGTTGAAATCTGAAACTTCATTGAAGTCAAGGCCGACTTCGAGATGGCCAGTGAAATCCACTACACAGCCGACCACAACTGCGACTAGAAAACCGACCACAACTTCTCCTAGAGTACCCATGAGGACCGTTTTTCTCAAACACAGTGATAACGAAGTGGTAAATTTGCGTATCTATTTTTTTGTTATTCGAGACATTTTTTCAGGAATCCACTACCGAGAAAATAATCCTCGAACAAAAGAAGTCTCATGAAGACCAGGATAAGGAGAAAGTCGACCTCAGCGTTGAGACCGAAGAAGGAGAATATGAAGAAGAAGATCAATAATCATGAATCTTCCGGGAGATCGGTTTTATCAAAGTTCAAATAAAACTATTTTTGTTTTGCAGAACTTTTTGGAAAGATTCAAGAACTTCATATCAATTACAATAATTGAAATGACTGAGTGTCAAATTTGAAACTTCAAACAGAGAAGTATTTATTGGAATCTCTGAAAAGTTTTATTTTCAAATTTTCTTATTTCTTCCTTCCGAATGCGCCCGAAAAGAACCTGTAAATAAGTTAACGGTTGAGAGACATAGTTTCTGCCAGTACCTCGGATCTTCTACGTCCGTCGATCGTTTCTCAAATACCGCGTACCTTGAAATATTCTACTTAGGGAATATATATTAGCGCACCAAACCTGTGCAGGTTGCCTAGGAGAGGCAGCATTGAACGTTTACCGAAAGCCATGGACATGAACCTGAAAAATTTATCCCTATCTCTTCGATTCACTGCAAAAACCTTGGGTCTTCGAAGTCGTTACTTCTTTTTTGCAGACCTACGGTAATCACTCTGAGAATAAAGGATATAGTGAGAATACAATAGAGGATTCCTTTACCTGTCTTCGTCCCAGCCACCGTTGGATCTTTTACCAAATGCAGAGGAGAACATCCTTAAAAAACTTCAGTGTAAAGTTATTGATTTATGAAAAATACCTTGGATCTTCAAAATCAGAAGCTCGTTTGACGTATCTGAAAATAATCATGAGATACTTTCCAAATTTTCAAAGGCTCAGTTTTTTGGCTCTCAAAGACGTTTTTTTCTCTTTTCGAGACTTATGGCCTTTTCTAACTTCAAATATCAAATACATAAGGAATACTTTTGAGCCAGCGAAAAAGGCGCAAGCTAAGATTTTTTTGAAAAAAACGTCTGAAAAGTTAACGATTTTTTTTTGGTTCATCTTTATTTTCCAGTTATATTCTTATTCGTCGCGTGAATCTTCTGAACGGTGCAATTTTCAAACTATGCGTGACAAAGAGCAATTCTGCGACGCTTCACAGTTTTCGAAAGTTATCACTCAAAAAAAAAAGTTTCACAAACAAGAAAACTTCAAGTTTTTTTAAGGGAAAGTAATTCAGAACTAAAGCTGTTATAGGAATGTAAAAGAACTTGTCAGTTGTAGAGCAACTCACAGCGAAGAAATGAGTTGAAATTGCACAAAGACGACGAAGCCCAAAGCGAGAAATCGGATGCACATGTTTTGAAACCCTGAAGTCGTCTTATTTTATTTTAAGTAAAGACGAATAAGGTAAAAATCGGTGGAGAGAAGAGATATGTGTCGAAATGAACGGGCAGAGATGAGGGCACAAGGAAAGGGGCGCGGTTATAAATCCCCGACATTTAAACCTGGAGAGCTCTCCAACCTCTGTAATCCGGACGAGCCAGAGAGACAAAGGCCCAGACGCTTAAGGCTGATTAGGCCCAACTTATACAAAGACTGAAGGGATTCCGTCTGACGGCGTGCTTTCCTCCTGCTGATATAGCGAAACCCGTGGTGTAATTAGATTGAAATGAAGTGGGCGAGCTGTTTCTGACAGAACTAATACTTGACAGAGCTCTGCGCAAATTGAATCACCGTTGCCAAGAGATCTCAGGAAAAAAAGGCGGCTTCCTTGTTGGGACACTACTGACCTGTCCATTTATTACTCACGTCACTTGATTTTGAAACGGGAATCCTCTCAAAGGGACAGTTAGCCTAAAATTGGTGCAAAAAAAGTTCATCAGCTTGAATTGAGGTGATCCCTGAGTCATTGCAAAACTGCGAAAAAAAATTTTTTATTTGGCATTTGACAAAAATTAGGCTACTCAATTTTTTCAATGACTTCAATGAAAATTAGGTGCCTCCAGCTTTTAGAATAGATACTCAAAGTGAATCGCGAATCTTTTTCAAATCTTAAGAGGGACAACAGAATAATTTTTTTTTGGCTTCTTTAAAAATATTTCAGCTTGAATGAAATTGCAAATTTCCAGTATAACCTCTGTATTAAGAAATCGACCTCCAATTTATACCTCTTACTCGTATTTGAAAAAAATAGTACACTGAGGGTAAAAACTTACTTTTTTCTGAAAAAAAGTTCTGCCTAATAAAGAAGCTTAAAAAAACAAGGAGTCACATTTCGTAAAAATTCATTTTTGGCAAAAACAAAAAGTTTTCGAACCATTTATCAAATTTTTTTGTTTTCAAAAAAATATCACACTATGAAATCTTCCTACACATTACCGTCAAATGTGAGAAATTCATATAAACAACTTAAAGTTGATAAATACGTAGAAAAATTTTTCTGACCCTGGTGCTCTCCAGAAAAAAATCCGACTTTGAAGCCCTATGAAAACGGAAAGCCCAAAAATCAAACTTTAAGCTAATCTTTCAATTGAAGTTGGATTCTCGTATCTATAAAATTACTAATAAATTTTGTTTGTCAAGTATTTTACTGGAATGAATTAGATTTGGAAGACTCCAACTGAGATTCCACAATTAATTAAGACTGGATGTCCAACTTGTTTTCTTCAGCATCCAAGTTCATTAGCGTATGTTATGGAGACCGAATCTTTATCGAAAAAGCGAGAAAAAAAACCGTTTATTTGTCAGTTCAAATAGACAATCGGATAATTCTGAGCCAAAGAGCAGGAAGAAAAACCCTTAGGAATGATTATACAACAACGCTATGCAAATTGAGCGGACGGCATGCGTAAATGAATCCTGTTGCGCAGCCGTAATCATCTCGCCCACCGACCTGAAAAATTGTCGGCTTAGTCACTTCCGTCATCTGATTTATAGAAGTCAGGTTGATATTTCATTTGATTACTCAACAAAATCCGCGAAAAAATGGAATGAGTTGACGCTTTTTTGCCCGTCATTAATTATATCTCTGCTCTAATTAGTATTAAAACTTCCTGGTTTCAAAATCAAGTTGACTGACTTCCGTATTGCCCGCATTTCTCACAAGAATAATTTGTCCTTAGCGATTTAACCTTGTTAATATTTCATCACCTCGCCGCAATTATTTGTTAGAAATTCAGTGTTCAGTAAAAGTGCCGAGCAATTCAAGCATCCTCTTCGATAGAATCTGTTTGAGAGTAGGAAAAGTTGAATTTTAGGTGCAAGACTTTGAAAATGTTGAGATTTATGAAACCATGCTAGAAGTGCTATAGTAACCTTCTCATTGCTTTCGAAAAAAACCGTTTCGAAAAAAATGAAACCTTGTAATAACATCGGCAAGAACCGTCAAGCGAAAGTCCAGGATAAAGCATGGGGCAAGAAGAATCGTGTTCAGCAGAAGCGGCGCCGTCTTCGAACGGATTCAGAACTCGACAGTTGAAAGTTGGACCTCAAATAAATTTCTCGAAAGACAGAGATTTCTCCTTTGTGATCAAAATTTTACCGTAACAACGTTTTCTCCACTTCTTTTCGTTCAATAAAAGATTTTAACTTTCAAAAGTGTTTGAAAAAAAGGAGGCCAACCTGAATACCGCGTTTTGGGATTCTGTATAACTACAGGTTTTGGTAGTATCCTCGAAATCGGGTCAATAGTCCTAAATTGGATTATTGGTCAGCATCAAGCTGAAAAAATCCATTTTTCTAAATTCTCTCACTAACGGTTGGACAGTGGAAAGTTTGTTGAACTCATGACGACTCAGGGGTCTACGCCAATTGTGTGCGATTGATTCTTGTCGTGGTCTAAATAATAATGTTTTTCGAATATTTCGTATTTAAAGTTACCCGGCTATCCAGCGCTGACCAAACGCATTTTTCATTTTGAAAGTTAGAAAAACCGTAGTTAGAGGAAGATTTGTTGTAGTAGTTTGAGGAACTGTTGTAGTCGTGGCCCAGTTCCGATTCGACGTTTGGGTAAAAGCTCTCGTCGATGTAGTTTTATCAAAAATAACAATCCCTTTCCTCCAAACAGGTCCGCGATTTGAGAGCTGCAAACTTCATGAACTTTGACTCTCGAGACATAAAGTATTTATAGCCTTTCAATGATCGGAGCAAATGGGTTACCCCTTCATTTCGGTTAAGATTTGTCCGGAAGGCAGGCCGAGGTTGAGAAGGATGTCTTGGACGAACCCTGAAACTTGAGATTAGAACCGAGAAGCACTAAGAAATGAACGTAGTCGAGGTGATGATTTGAGTTTCTGTTGTTAGAAGTTGGGTCGTGGTGGAAGGTCGAGGTGATGATGTGGACGTTGTGGTAGTAGTTGGGGTAGAAGTCGTTGTGAAACTTGTGGTTGACTTTGAAGTAGAAGTAGACGTTGTTTGAACGTTTTGCGTGATTGGGGCTTTCGTCGTTGTGGGAACTATTTTCTGTTAGAAAAATGAATTTAGTCATGCTATGAAGTACTTTTGTAGGAATTTGAATACTTCTCAGACAATTTTTTATCTCTATTTTGTGAACACAATTCACATAAGGAAGGTCATTTTTTGCGGTTAGGAATTTCCTGAAAAAGGTCAGAACACTTCTCAATGTACCATATGAAGATTCTGAAAGTCTCAAAATGCAGAACTTTCAATTTTTGAGTAAAGGCACCTCAAAGTCCAAGAAGCCTCAAAACCCATTAAAATAAGGTATTTTAGGGCTCTGAACCCTAATTCCTCAAAAACTGGGAAGTTGTGCAAATTGCGGCATTCAGTATTTTCATAAGCTACATTTAAGAGTGCTCTGGCCAAATTTTAAAAAATTCCCGATCGCAAAGTGAAATGGCCTTCTTTGTCAGGCATAAATGAATAGAGAAAGAATTCCTAATTTTCAAATTTTCTTTTTTGTGCTTGCCCGGGTATTTTGCCAACCTTGCTTGGGCTTGGCATGGGCGTTGTGGAATACGGTAGGAAAGCCTTCTCTCGTCCCAAAGTAGAAGGAGTGAACCAAGTGTCCCAGCTGCGAGTAACAATCGGAACCTGAACTACCATCTGAGACATCTTCCAAGTTTTAGGTGACAAAACCTTCGTAAGTCCTTTATTTTGCCCAAGCTTGTACAGATTATACATAGGTAATTGAGCAATAAACTGATCGTACAAGTCTTCATTGTCGGCTGACTTTTTGAGGTCTTCATTGAAATCATAATCGAATGATTCTGGATTTGTCAAGGCCGTTTCGTCAAACAACTCAACGGCTGAAAAAAGAGTGATTCGATGTTCTGAGAAAAATGAATTCTTACGCCCTCTTTTGAATGAAGGAACGGCGTGGTCGATGGAGCAGTTTATAAAACAAATCATGGAAGCGTACACGAGTAACCTCATTCTGCGAAATATTTATCTATTTTTTTTTCCATTCTTGATCAACCAATGAAAAAATATCTACTCGAAAGAACTTTATGAATTGGAAAGAAACCAACTGTCAAAGGTATCAAAAACCATACCGCCAAAACTAAAAAAAAGGAGACAAGAATTTTAACGAAGCCATAAAAGGTTGACCCAGAGACAACAAAAACAGTCACAAAAATTTGAACAATTGTTAAGCATTTGGCCTTGAAATGATTGAGCGGCGTGGCATCACGAGAAGAATGTGCCAATGGTTTGTGGCATTCAGCCAAATTAGCACACGAAATGAAATCAATGGGTTCTTCTTTGTTAGTGGACAGCAAGGAAAAAACTTCTAATCGGGCTGTGTTTTGTTGATGGGAACCAGAAAAGGGTTTACTGTAGAATTTGATAAAATGGAAAAGAAAGCAGATTCTGAGGAAAAAATTTTGAAAAACGGGGGCAGGCAGAAACAAAATTTTCATATCTATCTAGAATGGAGAAAAAAAAATACGCAACAAGAAATCGTGAAATCATTAGAATCACAATCCATGTTATTGCTGACCCTTATGCTTTGAAGAGATAGCCAGGTGATATTAGAACAGGTTCACAGGAAAGGATCACTTCTATCGATAAATCTCGGGCTGGCGGGAGGTTTGAAGATGTGACTGATCCGTTCTCTAGAATCCAACTGTTGAACAGCAGTCAAGCGCGTGGACGGCCGTTCAAACTGTAAAGCAATTTTTTGTCGTTAGTCAGAAACAATATAACAAAACAAAATACGAACACTGCTACTTGCCCGAATCTTGACCGCGGGCTTCTTCAAAGGACTGTAGGCCTTTCTGTAGAGCTTGTTGAGCAGTGCCTAAACCCAAGATTTGACCAAAGGATGGAAAATGGATCTGAGACCTTTAGTAAAGTCACCTCTTTTTGAAGCTTTTTGACCGTTTCCTTAAGTGAATGAAACTCTTCATTTCCTGGAAAGTTTACATTTTTTCATGTAACAAAGGACTTTTTCATGGCTGCAATCACATTCAGTTTAAAACTTGCCTACTGCGAAATCGCTCTCAAGCTTTCTTGTTGGTTTTGAGCTGGAAGAAGAAATCTGGAAAAAAAACTTATAGGTATGAAAAACTATGCAAACCACTTCATTTCCTGTCTTCAACACCTGCAAGGGTGTCATTGACATCGTTATGACTGGTTCAAGATCTATATTAGCTCTTTCATGAAGCTGTCCAGGTTGTGGAAATAGTCCTGAAACGTTTTTCATAACTTATTTTGCAATAAGCAATTTTCGAAGCCTGAGTTAGAGGAAAAGTTGGTTGCTGGCACATTCCAAACCGAGGAAGATGTTGAAAGTTGAGTCGGAACATCGGCTGTCTGGAAATCTCTTGTTTTAGGACACCATTTGAAAAATCCGACGTTATATAAGTGTTGGTGTTCTTGATTCGCAGGTTGGAGTCTTCTCCTTTCTCGCAGCCGTTTTTCCGATTTTTCTTTCTCATAAAATTCCTTGAAAATAATAGACATTCATAGAATTAATACTTGCCTTTATTTGGTCAGCAGTGACGTTTTTACCTGAATCGTCCTCATATTCAATATATTCTTCATAAATGGCATTTTCTTGTTCCTGAGATTCTGGAGGAGCAACAGATACGGGAAAATAGTAGTCTCCGACAGTCAACTGCGAATGAACCTCTTGAAGTGCTGACAAGGAATTATTTGAAAATGAATCAGAAAAAAAACCTGAGTGAGCAAGAAAGAGAAAAAGCCACATTTTGGGGCACCAAGGGATGGATTGGAAACTGAAATAACGCAGTGAAAACGGTTTCCAGAATCTTTAATAAATGCAACTAGGCCAAGATATTCCTCGCGCAGCGAGTGTCTGCAGCTCAACTACGACTTTCGCTCTGAGGAAATCTGTTTGGGCTAATGAGATACAGTGGGGAACTCGCTTATCGTTAAGTGGCCGACACACTTCTTGGGTGAACGTCTACATAAATTACAGAATGGCAAAAAAATTCACCTTTTTGAATGAAATATTGGTTGTCGCTGATTTTTTTGATTCGAAACCGAGGTTTAACTTTTTTTCATTAAAAAGTTCCGAATCTTTTGAAATCGTACAAATTCTCGATTTATTTAAGCTTTCTTTTAATGAGGTTGAAGTCTAATGAAATGAAAAAAAACCGTAATGGTAATGTTTTTATTTGACTGTCTTAAAATCTCATGTTCCAGTCCTGAAGGTTTTCTCGTTATATTCATACATTTTTCCAATATTTACATGGGGGGAGGGGTCATTTTACTTTGCAGTTGGAAATTTCCTGGAAGCTGGCTGGAAAACTTCTTGATATAAACCTGCCAACTTTTTTATTTTTGAGTGAAGACGCCTCAAAATCAAAGAAAACCCTCAAAATCCATAAAAATAGGTTTGAGCCCTTATTTCTCGAAAAATAGGAAGTTGTACAGGTTGACTTTCAGGATTTTCTTCTAATCCATCAAGAAACTTTCTGGCCTTCTTTATGAAAAATCCCAATCGCAAAGTAAAATGGCTCCCCTTTTTAGTTACTTTCTGGCTCTTTACTCATAGTCCGATGCAAAAATCTCGAAATAAACTTTTTTCCTAAGATGGCATTTATTTGCGAGACTGTTTGCATTGCTGGCTCACCTGCATTGTGTCATCGATTCGTTTGAACCTTATCGTTAAAAGTCATTTCTTATCGTCGCCCGAGTGGTTTTGCTTATGCTTTTTCCTCCTTCATTTGTTGCTGGCTCCCAGTTTCATAGATTTTCTCTTTTGCCGGATAATAATGAATGTTAAAAAAGGCCTCACTTTTTTTCCAATAACGATGTAACAGGTCATATTGTGATTCACATAAAAGGAAGTTTAAGATGAGCTACTACAACCGTCGTCGTTCTCGCTCATACAGCTCAGACTCCTCATCATCAAGCTCCAGCTCAGGCTCGAGGTCGAACCGGCTGCCAATCCGTGCCGTTGCCGTCGCGCCAACGTATGCAGTTCAAGCGACTCCGTTGGGTCCATTCGCCCAACCCGTACCTGTTAACAACTTCTCGGCTGTCGGTGGCGGAGTTCAAGCGTTTCCGCCTCAGATTCCTCCACAACAATACCAAGGTTCTAATTACGGTATCAATCAACAGCCAGGATATGGTCGGCCACCTATCGGAAGCGGCGTGCAAGCCAACGTCCAGCCACCTTACCCAACTTCGCAGAACTTCAATCAGCAGTACCCTCCTCAAGGCTACAACATCAATCAACAAGCAGGCTACGGAGTAGGACAGCCTCCAGTCGGCTCTGGAGTGGGAGCTGGTTTTCAACAGCCGTACCAGAACTCTGGAAATCCCTATGGAAATAATCCTCAGATGCCGTATGGTCAAGGAAACCAATATCCTTACAATCCCAATTTTCCCAGATAAAATAACAAATGTCAATTTGTGTTGAAATAATGTGTCGTTCATTGACAAATATTTCTGTTTTTGACCAATTTGTGATAAAAATTTTGAATGTCGTTGTTTGCGTTGTTGGAAGAAAGGTTGACATTTCCAAGAATCAGTCTTATCTCTGTCCTTTATAATGACCTTTACGCGATGAACGATGAGCAAATCGATAAAACCCCATTTTTCATTTCCGAAAAAAAAAATTGGTTGCTTTTGAAAAAAACCATTTTTTTTCCAACAGTAATGAGGCAGGTATTCTTAGATTTCGAAATACCTGGACTTTTTGAAAAGCGAACTGGAAGATCGAAATAGGAGATTCAAGTGTGTCAAAATCTTATTAATTATTGAGAAAAAGTTCAAAAAAATGATTTACCATTGAATTTTTCTTTTGTAAACTTAGACAATCTTCTTGATATGATTAAAAAAACCAGATGGAGACCTCAAAAAAATTTAATCAGATAAATTTTCATGGATTAACTAATTTGAACATGTCACTAACATCTTAAAAAAATTTGAAATGATTCTGCAGATGAGCACGTGGAGCGAGTATGGTCTCCACCGGAAATCCCGATCTTGTACTCCCGATTCCGCGTGGTCGTACTCGAGCTCTGACTCATGCTCAAAATTTGAAGATGACGACGTTGTGCCGCCAAAGCCAGTACAAACGGCGTCTTCAACGTCTCCTTCTGCACAATCTGTCGCTCCCAGTTCCTCGGCTCTCAATGGCGCCGGCCAAGCGACTCCTTCTCAACAAAATCCAACCGCTCGCTATGGCGTGAATCAACAGGCGATGCCGCAGAACTACTCCAGCGGAAGACGGACGCCAGTGGAAAGCGGCGTGCAAGCCAACGTCCGGCTACCTTACACAACTTCTACTCCAGGTGACACTAATGCTCATCGACCAGGGTACCGAATAAGACAGTCTCACGCCCACCTCGGAGGTGATCCCGGCTTCCAGCAGCCACGCCGGAGATCGCGTGGAAATAATTCACAGACGCCGTACACCCAAGAAAACCAATGTTTCGATAAGAATCCTCATCATCCCAGATGAAAAATGAATAAGGGTATGCGCCGAGGATCAAAAAATATGGCCAATTTGCGATTTTGATTGAAAATAAATAAATTTGATGCATCTCGTTGTTTTCCATGAGAAGAGTTTCATATTTTCAAGAAGCTTTTGTTTGAACTTTTCATAAACCTTACATAGCTCGTTCAAGGCTGGCTTGGGACGACGAACGGGCGATTCAATGCGCGGAAAAGGTAGGCCACGACGACTAAGCCTTCCATGAAAGTCTCATTTTATGACGTATTTATTGCACTTTTGTAATTAGTCCTGAAAATATTATAACCAATGTAGTAAATGTAAAAAAGACTGAATCCAATTGGAACAGAAATAATTCACCAAATGAGGCTTTCATTAAAAGCGCATGTAGAGACGCCATGATCTGCCTTCGCCACGCAAGTTAAACCGCCCGTTTGCTGTCCCAAACCAGCCGTGAACGAGTTATAGAGGGACAATGTATAAATTGAAAGAATCTTTGCAGGTTTTGTCCAAAAACTTGTCGAGATCCCAGAGCCACAAAGATTTACAGAGCGGTCAGCAATTCTCATAAATTTCTGATGGAGAAAACCTTTTTATTCAGCATTTTTCTGTTTACAAAAGGCTAGAAAACGATGTTGATCGCTTTTTGAAAAGAATCAATAACCTGAACCATGTCTTTTTTTCAAAAACCTGCACGGGTTTTTTTTAAAGTGTGTCACGCGGCTTGCAATAAATTTTTTCCGTCAGTGTTAAATGTTGATGTTAAATTTACACGTTTCATTCAAATAAGGCAAAAGAAAAACTGGTTGAAAGTGATAAAAGTACAGCGTATTTAGGAAATAAAAAGGACACATGGAGAAAAAATAACCGAAATCCAATGATTAAGTGAAAAAGGAATGACCAATCCATGAAGTTTTACATTGTCAAGGTGCTCAGGAACTTTTCGGCCATATACTTCTGTCCTTCTGTCATTTCCATAGAAGTAACAAATTCATGAATGAGAAGTTTGGCGATTTCTGCTTTGATTTCACTTTCGTTCGTCATCCGATAGACTGGATGTTGTTGATTTTCTGCAGAAACTGTGAGGGCCATCAGAAAAAGAAGAAGCAATATCATGTCTTCTGAACATGAAACCATTATTGGAGAGAAAATTTAAACAAACCAAAGTTTTAAAAATCACCGTTGAATGAAAGGGTGGCGTACCGCGAAAGGAGCGTGAATTTCAAGGCCGTTGTCAAGGTTACTGATAGTTCCAAAAAGAAAATGGGAACTTTTTCCGCTTTTAGTCTCTGAAATTGCTGTCGGTTTTTATATTACTGCAGATTACGAATCGTTGGATTGAAAGGAAGCTTATTGATAAGCTTTGATCGATTAGTATTATAACGCGCGACTTTTCATACATTTTCGTACTTTTTTTTAGAGTAAGAAATGAATTAAAAGTAGAACTATAAATAACCGGAGATTCTCGTGATCTGATCTATCGACCGTTCTCCCAGAAATGACCTTGAAAGTTATCTTTTCTTCGCCATCACCGATTTCATGACCTGAACGCCTGAAAATGGTCTAATTCTTTACACAAAAGAAAAAACTTCATGATGTTCTAAAATAAAAAATCCCCCATTGAAAAACCCGCAAAACTTTCAAGATTCTATTTTTTGTTCTCTGATTCATTCAAATGAAAATGACACGTTTTTTTCAAACAACGTCTCACGTGCTCAGAAACTCTTTTGATTTCTTTTCTTTCTAATTTTGCCAATAAATCAGTGCGTCACGTTTCCTTGTCTTCACCCCGAAGGCTGTACCTTTTTCTCAAGAAATCAACTTTTTTTATCAAAACACATAGAAAGAAATTTTAGCCTAACAATGAAACGGGGCTAAGAATCCAGAATTTAGGCAAGAAAATAGAAATCCGATGAATTTTTTTTTGTGGCAAGGAATAATATGACAAAAGTCAAGTGATTAATGGGATCAATCAATAAAAAGCTCAAAGAAAGGGAAGAAATGCCGAGAATACACGTTTATGGTTGAGTCATTGATTCAGGAAAATTCAGCACCACACACAAATAATCTTCAATCAATTAACACATAACAAATCAAAACTAGAGCTAAGACTTGTTGAAAAAAATAAAATTCGAAATATTAAACTACTATGAAATCTATAAAATTTGTATAATCAACAGAACAAAAAATTGGAATTCAAAGTTTTTCCCTGAGAACACGACTATAAAATGATAACAATAGAATTATTCGGCCTTTTCGGTCTTTTGGCGAATCTTTGAAGCCTCGTCGAAGTCTTCACGTACATCGTCCAGAACTCCGTCATGCGCCGATTCGTAAGCGACCTGGTGAGTGAGAAAATGAGTTTGTTCATAAATTTTTCGCGTCTTGAAAAAAATTCATCTTGCTCTATGCTCATGAAAAAAATTTTCATGCTTTTTGAACGAAATAAACCGGGATCTTAGTTTAAAAAAAGTTAAATATGTAGCCCATTTATCTCTAAACTAAAATAGAAGAAGAGCTCAAGAAAATGCCAAATTAAAAATCGTATTTTTATTATTTTCAAGATGAATAACAGTATCCATTTTTTTGTAAGTTTCAAAACTTAAAAAAACTTGGCGCCAAGTGCGCTCCATCCATTAGAATATTTTGAGCCAGCCGTAATTTTACTGTTTCGGAGACTTTATACAACCTTAAACAGGATATAAGTCCAGAAGATGTGGAGAACGAGCAGAAGACTGAGAAGGACCATGATGATGCGAGGTACGACAGGCAGTTCGGTGACGTTCAACCACGAGTAATCCGCCTGGAATGTCGGTAACTTATCATACAGCTTTTTTTCAAATAAATGAAGTTGCGTGAAAACGTAAAGCTTACAAAAAAAAAATATCGAAATTAAAATGATCTCTAAAGAAAAAGCAAAATTGTGATTTTTGAATTTTTTATTGCAATCCTTATTAAGTGCTTTGAAAAGCGCCCGAGTCAACTAAATTGAAAACTTTCAATTGAAATGATTTCTTTGCAAGAGTCCGTAGTGAAAAAGAAAAATAATCAAGAAAAATGATCGATTTCATAGTTGTATGAATTCATGTGCAATTACGAAGAAACTGATGAATACATTCTTTTCCCAAATTTAGATGTATGAATCAAAAAAACCTGAATAAGCGAAGGGGCGTCGAACCAGACAGAGTTGAGTACCCAGAACGGATAGTATACCAGACGAGTCAGCACCCATACAACCAGGACGCAAATGAACGTGTACATGAGCGCCTTCTCGTTGCCAGCATAACGGAAAATTTTCGCCAAGTCACTGGAATTCGAAAATTTTGACAGTTCAGTATTGATTCCATTAAAACTAGGATTTTGGAAAAAGTATGTTGTGAAAAATGAGATTATTCACGAAGAGTTAAAATGTTAGCCAAAAATCCACGTTGTCAAGAAAGTTTCACTCAAATCTATTAGGCGCGGGCTTGTGAAAAAATTAATGAGAGATTTTTCTGACCTCTCTTTTGAATGTTAATTTATTGAAGATTCACTCATTTATTTTCTGTCTCAAAGCCAGTAGTTAATGAGTTATAGTATTCTTAAAAAAATTTTTCATTATCAAGGCAAAGATGCTTATATCAAAACTTAATAATCGCTTCACTTACAAAGATGAACCCTGGCGAAGATTCTAAAAAAATAACTTTTATGACTTTTTCTGTTTCAATAAATTTTTATGAGACGGTTTTTGATGATGATCTTCATTTCTTAGAAAAAGCTTCTTTTTTTAATTGAAAAAAATCGAACTGAAGAAACTTTTTTTCGATTTTCTATTCTATTTTTAATACGATTTTCTATATATTAAAAAGTTCATAGCATTGAATAAAAAAATTCCCACATCAAAATATCGACGGCGTCGTGGCTGAGAAGGACCAACGATCCAACGCGGACCATGTTCATCGACCAGCTGATGGTTATCAATGAGAGGGTGATGAAATGGTGAGCCAGCATCTGGTAGTGATCACTGCGGGCTGCGTCCAACCAGGTCATCCTGCAACATTTTGATGGATTGAAAATTTCAGATTAAGGCGTGTCAGTCAGCATTCAGAACCAATAAAAGCTTTGGGCAGTAAACCGCTAGTAAAAATTTTCTCTGCCCTTAAGAGAACTTTCGGGCGAATTTATGGAAACTTTCAAACTGGGCACAAAACAATCCTCCCTTGTTAGCGGGATACATTTTCTGATTACTCACGAAATAATGAGAGAGATGTAGAATCCTCCTTGAGTCATGTAGTACCAAGCGAGGGTCTGCGGCACCGGATGAAGTGGCCAATTACGCCAGCATTCTTTCAAATCGTATGCATATTCTTGTTGAGAAATGACGCAAATCCTTAAATACACTTCTTTTCGAAAAAATTCTTAATTCAAAGAAACCCATATAAAAAAGCGAGTGCGTAATACATGCAGCGGAACATACATTCCGACATCCGTCTAAATTTCTTCTCTCGTTCCATTAATTCCACTAAAAAATCTTCAAATGCTAAAACCAAGATATCGCAACAATACCGCGAGTTTCAGCAGCGGTTTTCTGCAAGAAGAACGCCAAAGGAACAAAAATGAAATTGTCGAAAATAACTCGAAGACCCTGCAAAATTAGAATTTAGTGATTAAAAAAACTAGGAAAGAAATACCGTGAGAGTAATTCCAAGAACGAGCGCCCAAGCCAAGTGAGTAGGATGTGGGAAAACTTCTGAAGACGTTCCATGTTGCCCATGAAGATCTTCCCACTGTGTGCCTCTTGGTAACCAGTATTTGGCCTCCAAAAAACCCATTTTCCAACTGAAATTTTCCGATAAAGCTATAAGAATATATCTGAGCAAAAAATAACGGACACAAATTGAAGAATTGAAGGAAATTAATTAAAATTGAAAATGTGTAGCAAAAATGTCAAAATTTGAATGCGAGAGTGCAGGTGAGCACAAATGCCCCGTTATTTGGAGTCACGTTGGTTTTTCTTTTCCTGACGGCTATCTTGCATTTTGCGGATTCACTTTGAACACGGCATGACATTTTTTTCTTTTTATTTCGAATAATTATGATTGACAAAAAACACTGTTTTGTTTATCAGATAAAATGATAATATTGAGTTTGAAAGTATTTATTGTAAATTTTTTTGTAGTTAATATATATTTCCAAAAGTGGTATCAAAAACAAAAAGGTTTTCATACCTATTTTTTTCCTAGTTTTATAAATTTTCATCCAAGACTTTTTTTAGAAACAGCAAACGCATGAAAAAAATAAGTTTTTGCGTAATTCAAAAGGTGAAAAAAAGGTAACTTTCAGTTCTTCTCGACTTTTTTTGCTCTTAGCGTATTTTTGAATTCTGAGCTCAGTTTTTTTCCTCTTGAATTCATCCTTTTTTTGAAGAGAAGAAATTTGTAGAAACCTCAATTTTTTTATGAGATTCGTTGGATTGAATGGCGGCAACATTACTTTTATGACCATCAAATTCTACTTTTTTTAAAGAAATTTTTTTCATTTGAAAAACCTTGTCTTTTTTTCTTTTAATATTCCATCTTTTGCTGGAACTCAGATATTTTTTTATTCTTCCTTTTTCTTGAATATAGAAAAATTGAGAAGCTTCTTTTAAAATGTTTGAAAATATAGAAAAAAAAACCTAAAAAATAATTTCAATGCTAAAATAGTATATGAATAAAGTAAACAGGAGAACGAAGCGAAATGAAGGGGAAAAAAACGGGATAAGGGCGAGTTTGACGGACAGGCGAGAAGATTCGTGATTTTGGTGGTGTGATGCGCGTGTTATCTGTGTAACGAAGAACTACATTCATTCAATCACAGAATAAGAAGCTTAATTCTTTTCGGTCTAACAATGGAGCGTAATATAATATCAAAGCACGTGGGGGATGGGATTCGGAGGGAGAGACTAAATTAGTATCGATTCTGGGGAGGCGCATCGAGTCGGTTTGATTCAAACATTTGGTAGCTTGGCTCGTAATGCTTCGTTTGGGCTCCGTTTGTCCTGAAAACTTTCAGAGACTTATAAAGTCTTTTCAAAAACTTTCTTGAGGCAAATTTTCCGGAAGTCCATCTCAAAAAGACATCTCTTTCAAATATTTTACATATTTTTTTGGAAAGGTAGGAAACCAAAAAAATTGAAGCAAATATTTTTTTAACGGAATATTCTATGGATAAATTCAAAATATGACAAAAAAGAGAAACTAGGGTTTCTCGAAATATCCGCAGATGTTTGTTTTTGAAACCACATTTGAACAGCTTTTCGTTCAATTTTTTTTGACCACCCTGAAAGACTCTTCATCACTTTCCAACTGCAAACCAAAATAACTTTTTCTGCTTTAACATATTTTTTTCCAAAATCGTCTTAGAAGCCCCATATTCTTGCGATGAAGAAGTTCGAACATTGAGGCGTCAAGACCTCTGAATAGAAAAGGCGCCTTTTTTTATTTGGTTGATTCGAATTAGATTGCCCTGAGTACCTCTCCGCAAAGTTTCTTCGAATTCTCAACCGGAGTTTTTTCGCACTTCCTTGTTAATGAAAAATTAGCAGTTCAGCAAATGTTGTTGTCCGACAAAATATGTAGTTTGGATGTGTGGTGTGGCTTTTTTCTCTCTCTTTTCAGTCTTCGAAATTGACTTGATTTTGCGGAATGTTTATAGTATATTCTTATTGAAGAAAATAAAAACTTTGTACCTAGAGAGAGTGTTGTCATAGCCGATCAAGACACCATCAGAACTGCGGAAAACGTCCTGTAACAAACAATTTTTTTCCTTAAAACATTCAGTTTATCGAAATGTTTCTCCTTGTTTGAAATACTCATGCGTACCAACAAAACCATGCCTTTGATTAAATTCTTATGGAAATTATCAAAAAAAAAAGTTTAGCTGAATGGATGGTTTGAAAAAATGTTGCGACTTTTTTTCCCAATTGTTTCAGGTTTATTATTTTCAAAAAAACGAAACAAAAGAAGCACAAAAATATTAACATGCAGTTGTGTGATGAATAAATGAGAATAAATCGAGAAAAATGAGAACAAACTCAAAAAACAAGAAAACTTGGCTCATAAGCCAATCAAAAAAGGCCGCAGAAAGGTAGCAAAAAGAATCCCTTGACGAGCTTTCCATTTTTTCTAGGATTTTCAAGACACAAGAAATGACGAAAAAATGAAGCGGCAGCAAAAATGGTGCGTAAAAGCCGATAAAATTATGCAAAAGGGCACCAAAAAAGGAACATTTCTATGTAGCCTTTTCCACCCTTCCGACTTTGCCTATGTAAGAAGAAGCCAAACGTATGAAAAAGGTCGCAACCAAATTATTCACAAAAAAGAGCGCGCTCCACACGTAATTGCGCTATTTACACAGAACCAAGATGAGGTTAGTATCTATTCAATCTCACTAATATGGAGGTCTACCGTTCACAGGCTTTTCCGGGTCACTCCTATGCATACATACGTGGAACATTTTGTTAACCGGATCGATCTCGAGTTTTTCGTTGAGTCCGTGAAGTCCAATAAAAAGCTTGTAGATCCAAGCTCCGATGATGGCGCCTATCAGAGGTCCGACAATCGGAATCCAGAAGTAGTAGTTGCGGTGTCTGAAAAAGAGTGTGTCGATATTCTGATAAATAAACTTTCTATGTCTCATTCCGGTTTCATAAACGTCTAACTCTCATCAGAAAATCAAAAAGGCACTGCGCCAGGAATATAGAGAAACTTTTCTCACGAGAATTACAGAAAAACCAAGACGAATGATGGGTTTATTCGTACAGAGCGATCGGAAAAAGTTCTCAGTTTCTGGTTTTGACCTCAGAAAATCAACTGATGAATTTCCTGGTTCTATCGGTCTATTTTTGAGATCTCGAGATGGTTTTCAGAAAAATGTTTCAGTGAAACGGGAAAAAATGAAAATATGGCCGCACTACCATTCAAGAAAATAGTTGACATTGGAAATTTTTGATATAAAAATTTACTGGAACACTAAGGTCTTCAGAATTCGTGGAATTTGTGATATAAAAAGTGTATAAAATGACCGTTTTTTTTCAGCTTTTCTGCAAGCCCATTTTCTCACGAACCTGAAAACTTCCCAGCCGTATCCAGCACAAAGACAGAAAAGTCGGGGCCCAAAGTCACGAGCAGGATTGATGGCGAAACCTCCATTGGCGCCATAAGTCATCGCGACCTGACAATGAAAAACTTATTCTTCTTAGTTTTTTTTCTGAGATACCATCGACATGATGCCTCCAGCCAGAGGAGGGACAAGTCCGGCAGGAATCTTATGTCGTTTGTCCGTTATCAGGCAAACCAAGCCGGAAAGCATTGCCGTTCCAATAATCTGGAAAGTGAAAAGTCTAAAAACGTTTTCTTAAACTCCCACCAGAGTTCGCATATTTCGAGCTATCAAATTTTGCAGGAAAAGCTTCAAAGCATTTTTTTTAAATTCTACTTAACTCTGTGACTAAAAACTGGAAAAAAATTTTTATTTACCACAAAAAGACTAGGAGAGTCTACCTTGAGAAACTCCTTAGTACTCAAGAAAATCGGCTCAGAGTCTGAGAATGGTCCGTTTTAACGGGCTTTGATAGTTTCCATATGACTTGAGGCGTCCTTCATTTTTGATGAATAGCTAAGCACATTAAAAAACTCTAAATTGGACCCTAAAATTCAGAAAAGGTAAACCTTAAAACTGCAATCAATTTTGCTGCTTATGGTCTCAAAACTGTGAGCTTTGAATAAAGTTCGCGTATTTACGGTTAAACTGTAGACCTTAAATTTAGGTTTAAATTAACTTTTTAATTCATCAATTTGAGTTTCGAAAAATTTTCTGCTAACTTTTTTTTCATTACATCCAAAAGTACTGAACAGCATATCAGGTTTCTGACCCAATGTCATAGTTATTTTGCATGTAAAGACTGGAAAAGTTAATTATGCACGCGTTTGACGCATTCGCTTGCTGAAACACTACAGCTCTGGTCAGAAATTCAAAATGACTCAATTCTCTGGACTTTTTCCTGTTTTAGCCGAAAGTTTTTGCCGGTATGAAAATATGCAAGTAAACTAAACAAAAAAGCCCAAGTTATAGAACCTGGTCCAAGAGGCTTCCCCAAGTTGACATATGATCAGAAGGAAACGTCGTGAAGAGTCCGGCGGTTGCTTGGGAGCCTGATACCTGTCGCAAGCCTCCATCCAACTTCCAGAGATCGTCTGAAGCAAGAAGCTGCATGAATGTAGACATTGAGGGAAGAGTACCATGATGACCAAAATAACTGAGCGCCGCTCCGAGAAAAGCTCCAATTACTTGCATAATCGCGAAAGGAATGATTTTCCATGATGGAAGGTTTCCAAGGATGCTTTGGGCGACCGAAATGGCTGGGTTCAGATGAGCTCCTGAAGTTTCATTTTTTTTTTGAGATGCTAAGAGCTCGAGCAGCGATGCATTTCAGAGTTGAAGATCGTCCATTTTAAAGAAACTTGCTGACAGGAAAGGTTATTTTACTTGGCGGTTGGAAAATTCCTGAAAGATGGCCAGAAAATTCCTTGATACAGTACATAGCTGATTAACGGCTGGCTTGAGCCATCGAAAAAATGGTCCTGACACGATAATGTACGAGACAGCGCCTGGCTCGTGGAGAGCGCAGACAGTACACGCCCCCTTAGCGTCTCAAGCTAGCCGTGAATCAGCTATACCAAATGAAAATTCCAAAAGTTTTTTTTTTTCAAAGCTTCCTGGTTTTTGAGAAAACTTGTCTCAAAGTTGAAGAAAACATCCAAATTCCGATGAAACGAGCTTTTCTGGGACTTTAAGTCTTCATTTCTCAAAAAAGACAAGGAACTCTAGCAGCATGAGACTTTCAGGCTCTTAATGTGGTGAAACTCCTAGTCTTTCGGCTAAGTTTCTGGAATTTCCCAGCCGGCCGCAAAGTAATGACCTTCCTTGTGAGCATTCATAGACATCAAACTTCCAAAAATCGAAACTTTCTTTTTAAATCTTAACAAAATGGGATATTGCTCACCAGAAACACTGGCAGCCAAGTAAACCGCAAACATGAAGCCGATGCCCCAAGCAATGTGACAGGATGTGGAATTTCCTCCAGTCGCTACTACTGATTGAATGTTGGCAGAGTTTCCTATCAACTGAAATCGAACTTCAAGTCTCAATTCACAAGGATGGAAACTTACAAGCAAAAAGAAAGTTCCGAGACATTCGGCGAGAAGTTCTCTCAAGAACTTGGCGTCTTCGATCCTCAAAGCGCTGGCAAGTTTGTCTCTCATTGTGTCCATACTGTAAGAAATAAAGATGGGATGAACTAGGAAACTGAACTGTGGAAGCAAAATGGTAATATACTCAAAAGGAATCGGATTGAGTCGCAGATTTAAATACCATTTTCAGTCATACTGCTACAGTGGGCGGGCGCAATTTCTCATGCAGAAGAAGAAAGATCGTCTCTCGAACCGGCACTTCCGCCATTTGCGATTAACCGTGTCGACGAAAGGAACTGAAAAAAACGGCTGAAAAGATCATGCTCTTTTTTTGAAAAAAATTGAATCTTTTCATTCAGTCTAATTTTTTTATGCCTAAAGTTCGCTGTCAAGGTTTGAAACCCCGCTTCTGGAGCTCTTTCCAAAATTATTGAGCTAGTCAGAAAAATAACTTGAAATCTCTGTTTCTCAACGCTGATTTATGAATATTTTTCTAGCTCGAGAAGAAAAACGCAATGAAAAATTGATCTACTCATATTCTTATTGAAGTCTCGGCGATAAAAGCTTATATTTTAGGTTTCAAAAGGTTCCATAAGCTTGCGGTTGAAAAAAGTGCAAAAATGTTTCGAATGAAAATACAGTAATCATTTATCACTGTCCAAAGTCTTGATTTGAAAACACATATCCCCTTCAAGCTCACCTCTACTTCTCGTTCTTTTTTTTTTGAAAAGATTTTTGATTTCTGTAGCCAATTAGTGTCGTTTTTTTCTCTGCTGACCCTGCAAATTGAGAACAAAAAATTGAGAGCGGAGATCGTTGACCTTTAAAAGCCAACTTGCATTGTCAATGTATTTATAGCAATCTTGATCGTCAATCAATCAATGTCATTTCGTGTGATTTTCAGGCTGTATGAAACCGGCAACTGCAGACCGAACCCAAAAATCGGCCGCTGGGAAAAAAAAATGAACGATTGGTTCCGCATATTCATATCATTGAAAAGTTGAGATGAAAAGTAGTCTGAAAAGACCAACTTTAGAAAAAATTGGTCATGTGCCATAAGTGGCCTGCGGCTGCTTTTTTTTCGTGGACCACACCCAAACAGTATTTTAGAGCAAAATACAGTACCGCTTGAAATGAAGAAGAAAATTGAGTTTCACGATCTTTGAACTTTTTTGAAATTAACTTTCATAAGTTTACAGCTAATTTCAAAAACAGAATTTTTTCAGAGGGTGGGAAAATCTGAAACTTTTCAATTTTTCTTCTGGAAAACTGATTCCTTCTTTTTAGCTTTTGTCCTCACTTTTCCCAAATATTATCTTGTGTGTAGCTTTATTCGGAAACTTTCCTTTTTGAAAAAATGAAAAAAAAGTTTTTCTTCTTCCTTGTTTTTGTAATTTTGAGAGTTGAAAAGGCTCCAATAGATATCGAAGAATGACATTTTTGCAAGATACCCTGATCTCGATTCTCTCATTTCTCCTGAAGCATTTGAACCGTTGACTCCCCAGTTGAGCAGACAAGGCCCTGATATGATTTCAGTGATAATTAGTGGGCTGGATCTAGCAAAATATCCGCCCTTATGTGGTAGCTAGGAGTTATAACGCTGAGGTTTTTCACTACTAACATTTCCTGAACCCATTGGTTGGCTTGCGACGGGGGTCGATCTTGTGACCCTGTCGACCGTAGACAGGAGCTAAACCTGTTGCTCTACGCCACGTCGTATAAATTTGATACTTAAAAAGACAAATTTGGAAAAAGAGTTAAAAAAATTTTGAAACAACCATCAAACCATAAAAAAATAATTTACCAACTGCTGGATTTTCTGGTATCAAACCAATGCATACACTGCGTTCAATAAGGACAGGACCCACCTCGATTTTGGACTTTCTGGCAAAATTAGGAAAGATACCAAAAAACTGTAAATGTCATTTGATTTAGAGTACAAAAATAACCCCCAGAGCCAAACTTTTATTATCCTAGCACTCTTCCTACGAAAATGCCATCGAAAAAACGGGTTTTCGACCGTTCAATAAGGATAGTATAATTTTAACAAAACATTGGAATTTCCTTGGCGTCTTTGTAAAAAACTTATTCTAACGGTATCTGCTTTGAAATGAGTCTGATAAACTCTGAAATCAAAAAGAAATGCTATAGAAACTGTGCTCTAATGATAATCTCAAACAGATAAACTGGCAACTCTAATATTTTCTCGAATAACAGAATTGTAGTTGATTTAGTGAATCCTGAGACAACTTCACACCTTCCTGTACCATCCTTGAAGTTTTCGCAAGATTTCACTTCCGGACCATCTTATAAAAATCCGACAAAAGCTGCATGTTACTTCGGTGCACGTGACGCATGACAGGCGCAACGCGGCTGTGAAGGAGGGAGCACGCCGTGTCCTGCGACGCACACTTGAAATTCCTTTACCGTATCTCTCCTCTTCCCTAAACGCTTGCTCAGCTTTTTGAGTTATATTTTTACTTAATTTTTTAGATTGATCTTACATTTTCGTTAAATTTGAAATTTTTCCCTACTCAATTTGTATTTTTTCAGTTTTTCCTATGGAATGGCAGACAATGCGACAAAAATGTTTGGTATTGCTGGTCCTCGTCAATTTTGCAGAAAGCCAGCTGGTTCCAGAACCAACAAGACCCATCAATTTATGGGATCCATTTGGCGAATCGACTACAGTTCCTCCCAGAGGTCAGGTGTGTTGTTTGGAATAACCTTTTTGTTTCTAACAGTCTTAAGTTTGCATTTTCTTTTTATGGATTGTTGTTATTTTTTCAATTTTGTTATTTTTTAGGGTTTTGCAAAAGATGAAGTGTTGGTTCGCTTGCCGCTGGGCGATTTGATTGGAAAAGAAATAAAGCTGTACAACCTACCATGGACCCCAACACAAGATCCGACGGAGCAGCTCCCAAGAGACGGAACGCATTTTGATCCGAATCCGCTCCATCGACACAACAACTTCTCCGTCTACACATTTCTAGGAGTCCCATATGCTGAGCCTCCTGTTTCACAAAGAAGATTCAAGGTTTTGCGGAAATTTTTTTTATTTTTGTGATTGAAAAAATTACAGCCACCACAGCAATTGCGCGTCTTTCCTGGGAAAGGTCCATATTTGGCATTACAATACGGTGCAGCTTGTGCGCAAGATGTGGAAAGTCGTCCTCAACCGATTGTAAATGAGCCTTATCCGTTCATCGTTGATGAAGACTGCCTCTATTTAAACATCTTCTCGCCAGATGTGAGTTGAATAATTTTTTCGGGCATTGTTGTTCAAATTTCTAGTTATAGTTATTTTGACATTAACGTTTCAAAAATTGCTTAACCCTCCGTAACTCCACAAATCCAATTTTTTTGTAAAATGAAAGATTATGTTTTCAGGTCTCCCGAACAGCTCCGACATCCTACCCTGTAGTGGTATTCTTTCACGGAGGCAACTTCCAATCTGGATCTGCAAATGAATGGCCTGGTCATGGTTTGGCTTCGCGTGGAATGGTTGTCGTTACTGTAAATTACCGACTTGGAGCTTTTGGTTAGATATAGTTCCAATTCTCACTTTAAACCACATTTTTCAGGCTTTATGAGCCTCGGAGACTCTGAAACAGGAAACTATGGTCTACAAGATCAACGAGTTGCCTTAGAGTTTGTGAGAGATCACATCGCTTCGTTTGGAGGAGATCCTCAGGCCGTAACTGTGATAGGTCATGACGCTGGAGCTGCTTCTATCGGGTTCCACATGCAGTCTCCCTATTCTAGAAGTGAGTTCATTGTTTTTTTCTTAATCTGAAAACATGTTTTATTAAAGATCTGTTCCGATCGGCGGCAGCAATGTCTGGAGCAGAAGTTTCATACCATTCCTATATTGGAAAACCAGCTCTTGCTTTCAACAACACTATCAAGCTAGGAAGATACCTCGGATGCTCTCAATCGGTACCGACACACGTCTGGGACTGCATTTTGACTCGTTCGACTAATGATATTGTGAGGGCGACTACAACGATACCTATCGAGTAAGTTTTGGAATTTCGGAATGTAGTCCGTTAACTTTTCACAATGGACAATGAAATCTTGAAAAGATGAAAAAACGCTCTTCAGCAAATTCGATTCAAAAAATTGATTTTGATCAAATTTGTGAAGCTTTCATATTAAAATTCAATCAAGCTTTATGTGGTCTTTTTTTAACCATTAATTAGGAGATTAACTCAAGAACTTCAGAGTGGTTCCTATAGTGGCCTTTAGAGGGTCCCCTTTAATGGCCAACTTCTATGAGGGCTGCTTTTTCCTCTAACCTCTATAGGGACCATTCAAGCTTTAGGGGCTAACCGTCAGACGCTAAAACCCTATAGGGACCACCTAAATTTTACTATTATCAGACCACTTTTTTGTCACCATCTATGGGCTGTTTTTCCTCTAACCCCTATAGGGACCACCATGTAATTTCTAAGAATGCGATTTACAAAAAAAATTTGAAAATGAAAAATGAAACCTTTATGAAATTCTTATTTCATCTCCATAAGCATCTCAATGATTACAGATACAACCGCTACCTTTTCATGCCGACTGTGGATGGAAAGTACGTACCTGGAAACCCCTTCTGGACGCTTCTAAACGCTCCCAGTGGATCGACACAAATCATGAGCCCAGTACCACTTCTGCTCGGAATGAACGCTCAGGACGGCAGCGAAGTTGTTCTGGAAGACCGCTACCTCGGAGAGTTCAACGACTTCAACAACGTCGACAACGAGTACATGAAGAGCTACACCTTGGAGTACTGCTTCCGACACAACTACTCGATGAACCGAGAAGCCTTGGCAGAAGCGATCATTGATCGCTACACTTTCTGGCCAGATCGTGCAGACGTCTGGGCAATTCGCGCTGGTTTCATTCAACTTGTGACCGACGCCTACTACACAGCTCCGATTTCTCTATCCGCCCATCTTCATTCTTCTTCTGGCTCTAGGGTCTTCATGTACGTCAACAACTACAACTTCAGCAAGGGCAGCGAGCAGTTCCGATTCATTCCTGATTGGATGGGTAATATTGACACAGTCTCTTCCCAATAACTTTCTGTTTTCAGGAGTTTGTCGAGAGTGCGATCTTTTCTTGCTCTTTGGTTATCCATGGATGCCGCCAGAACTACGTTATAAAGATTTGGCTGGGGTCACTTTCACAGAACTTGATCAAAACGCCAGCCAGACCTTTTCCAACATTTTCAGGCGCTTCACGTACTATCAGTAAGTTCTCACCAACTTCTTTTTCAACTTTTAATATTTCTTACTCACTAGTGAAAATGATTCCTTTGATTTCAGAAACCCCAACTTCCTCTACGACGGGAGCTGGGCTGCGTACGAGCCTCGACGCCACTGGTACATGAACTTCAACTACACTTGGTCAGAAGATTGGAAAATTCCTGGAAGAATCGACCGCGACTATCGATTCCAAGACGTCGCTTTTTGGAATGAGTACATCCCATCTTTGGTCAACTACATGACGACTACTTTTCCACCTTCTGAGGTGTCGGTTCGACGTCAACTAGTTGTGTTCCAATGGCTGGCTGGAGTTTTTATCATAGTTATTGCGCTTCTCATTGTTCTTGCCGGAGCCTTCGGCTATCAAGTTTTCGAGAAAAGCGCTGAAAAAGATCGGAACAAGCGCGAAGAACATCATTTGGTCGAGTATCATGAAAACTTCCATTCTGACGCTTCTGTTTCAGAACGCGCAAGATCTCGTCTCACTAATTTATAAATACTGTTTATACTTTTCTAACTCATGTAACTTTTTTTGTATATTTATTTTTTTGTGCCTTCAAAGTTCTTCCTCATCTCCTAGATGCTACGAGTCTTTGTTTTTGATCTCAAATGCCTTTCTATTGCTTTACTTCACTTAATTCTATGTCATAATAAATCTTTCTCTTTTTTTTCTGATTCGCAATATTCCTCGCGGTTTTCTTGCCGTTTTTTATATCGAATTTCGCGACTGGTCTCACGGCTAGAATGTTAATGACGAATGTTTAAGGGTACTAATGGCACCAACACAGAAGAAGGCAGTTGCCCCCGCCAAGGCTAAGGTCGCTAAGGCCGTCGACGCCAAGAAGAAGGTCGTCAAGGGCGCCAAGACGACGCGCACCAAGAAGGTCCGCACGTCGGTGCACTTCCGTCGTCCGAAGACCCTCAAGACTGCCCGCGCTCCACGGTAAATCTATCAAAAAATTATAAATGATTCCGAAAATATCTCTGCTTTCCTATGAATTATTCCGAAACTTCAGATTCCCTCGCAAGTCGGTGCCAGACCGTTGCAAGCTCGACGCTTTCTCGATCGTCAAGCACCCGCTGACCACTGAATCGGCCATGAAGAAGATCGAAGACAACAACACCCTCGTCTTCATCGTCGACGTCAGAGCCAACAAGCACCAGATCAAGCAGGCCGTCAAGAAGCTTTACAACGTCACCGTCCAGAAGGTTCGCTCTCCTTTTTTTGAACTGAGTTCATTCTTCTATTTTGCAGGTGAACACCCTCATCACTCCCCTCCAGGAAAAGAAGGCGTACGTCCGATTGACCGCCGACTACGACGCGTTGGACGTTGCTAACAAGATTGGCGTCATCTAAATATTACCTTGTTTGCTGTTGTGTTTATGGATATAAATCATTGTTATCGTTTTATCCACGATCTAATACAAGCTAAAAATTGTTAACAGCCGTGCTCAACAGTACGTATATGAAGAGCAAGATTAAGATGAATAAAAAATATATGAGACGAGATATCGCATTCCCCAATTTGAACAAAGTAACACGTTTAGATGAATTCGATGTAATCAGAGTTTTATAACGTGATAATGTAATTCCTCCACAAATTGCTTGCTGTGCTTTCAAAGGCGTCATCTCAATTAGAGTAGACCGAAGAGATTATTCCCTAGACAATCTCCACGCGCTTTTGAAAATCCCAGCAAGCGCACTGGAAACAGACTAAAAAAATAGATAGTATATAAAGATTTCTATAAATATCTGTTACTTCGTATTTATAAACAAGAATGGAATGACTAGCTAACACAAAACTCGTTTCAAACTACTAGGGGAAGTTTCAGGGGTTCCATTTATTCGGTGTAAGGCGGTGGAGGATCTCGCATCAGAGCAATTACCAGATCTTCTTCTTGATTGGGTCGAGATCTTAAAACTTCCTTTAATATTTCTTCTTAGGAGCTTTTTCCAAAAAATATTTTTGAAGCATACATAGCAGATATCATTTTTCGCAGACTGCATGCAAGCTTTATTTGCTTCTTTCGTATATAAAAGCCATTGGCTCACATTTTCCATTTTTTTTTTGCTGAGAAAAATTATTCAACGTTATTCGACTTTTTTCAGTTCTTTTTTCTGACATTCAAGATCTGATTTTTTCTTGTCGTTCAATGTATTTTTGAAACCTTTTGGACCGCAAAATGATCCTCGCAAGACTTCTTTCCAACTGTCGGTCTCTGATGACAGCTACTAGCGGATTGGCCACGCAATGTACCGAGAAAGCGACAACTTCAATCCCCATTAGGGATATATGATCCTGTATAACGCGACTAATTAGTTATCCATTTAACGTCATACAAATACCTTTCCGTCTCGATTTTCCCAAGTGACCATCATGAATATGATGACAAAGGATAAACTATTCAACAAAAGCCATATCGAAGCCGTCGCACTTTCCCTCATCAGCCTGGCGGAAGTTCCATCCACTTGTAACTGAAAAAGGACAGAAATGATGGAAAATCAAAGAATTTCTGACGTTGGCTTCTGGATCCCTTCGATTCTGCCTGATGAGCTGTACGAGGTTTATTGGATGGATGACGAGGTTGAGGACGAGGAACACGGACAAAAGAGCGAGGTGAAAAGGAACAGCAAGAACAAAAGAGTGCGATAGCCGGATGAGGAAGAAGTCTGAGAGCAGCAACATCGTTACCAGCAGCCATGAAGAACCAATCAGACGGGAGAGCTGTGACCTGAAATCTTCTTGAATGATTCTACTAGAGTTCATTAAAATCCAGGGCTTTTTTGAATAGCTTTGGATAAACTTCCTAGGGATGACTAAGTTCAATTATCAATAAGAAGTCACTCAAATTAGTTCTTCGAAAAATACTCGAAAGTTTCCCTTTCATAATTGGACCACCGTTTTTTTCCATCAAAAGTGGTTTTACTTCCTTGATAATGATATCTGTTTGCCCCTGCGAGCAACGTCGTTATCTAAATTACTCATAAATGTCATTTTCAGAAGCACTCGACGATAATTTGACTATTAACCCAAACAAAAAAGTGAGGTAGAGACAGGATCAAAGAATTTTCCTAAGAAGGCGCTCTTCTTAGATAAGAGACTGAAGGTCTTCGTTTGAAACATCAATGAAAGCTTGAAAAACTTTTAAAAAAAGTTTTTAGGCGTTTTCATCCGTATTGAAACTATTACGTCAAAATTAAGTAAATGTTCTCTTTTTTCTTCGCACCTCGAAAAGTGATAATTGTGTCGGCCAAGCATGTGCACGAAGCCAATAGTGAGCAAAGTAAGAAGGCTGATCGTCGAATTGAGTAGAATTGCCGTCGTTAACGCGGGAAAACGCTCAAGTTCAACAAAAGTCCGTCCCGTCTTGTAATCGGCAACTTGCAGCTGAAATTGTCGTAATATATGTACCGAGGAAGTTTTTGTTGGATTGAGCCACAAAATTGAGGGCAATTATGAGGGAGCCCCGAAATTTCTGAGTTCGGCATGCCTATGTTCAATCAAGCGCGACCAAATCTCTCGAGCCCAGCTTTTTTTTATGTCGGAGCTCGAGTTGCTCAGTCGTGAACGATTTTTCCTGCTTCACGTGAACTGGACTCCTTGGTGCGAAAAAAGAGACATAGCAACCTTCCGCAACAGATCGTTAATTTTTGAGCAGGAAAAAGAAGCAGTCGTGAATAGCAACACTCTTTGAAAGCTTTTTTGATTTTTTGAATCTGAAAGTTGAGCATAACATCGCTCAAAAAAAAAAGTTTACTGAGAATCTTTTCAGTCGCTAGCATATTTGAAAAAAGTTGGACTTTTTAAAACTTTAAAAGAAGTTTTTAAAAGCTCATTTTAAAGCTTTCAGAAAAATTTCTTTGTTTTTTTGGACACTTTAATTATTTTTTTCAACTAAATTTTCGTTCATTCTTTCATTTTTTTCGTTTTTTTGAAAAAAACAGCGATAGTTTCGAAAAAAAGAAGTTCACAGAACGCATTTGTAATTTTAAAAAAATCAGTGTTATCCTAGTAAAAAAATCCCACATGATTTTTTTAACTATGAGAAAAAAATCTCAAAAAAACGTAAATGTTATTCTTACTTCAGTTTTTATTCACACCCTTGTATCCTTTATTTGGAATTGAAAACCAATTTGGGGAACGGGTCCTCAATGAATTTTTTTATTTGAAAAATTCTTGCTTTTATGACTCTGTAAAATCTCATTATAGCAATTCATCGGCCATTGTTCCGAGAAAAGACAAGACGTTTCGAAGCGCAGTCATGTAGGTTATTGAATAGGATGTGAGGAAAGCTAACGAGGTGCGGCGCACTCGAAAACTCCAAAGAAGAGCACGACAAGCCCGAATTTTCTATGTCGGATGAGCTTTTTTGCTCTCCTTTTCTCGCTTTTCGGCGCTTCCTCAAGCCACCCATAAAACGGGCAACATATATGCAAACACACGAGAAACACACTACAAAAAGTAACACATCAATCAAAATATGCGCAAACTTTTCATTTTATGAGTCAGCCATTTATAATTCAGGAAAAAAATATTTAAATTTGATCTGCGTTCCGCTCAATGCAAGTTTGAGTACTTCCGTGAGTCAATATATTTTATCATTAAATTTTTTTGCTGTTAAACCTGATGCAAAAAAATTCAGAATTTTTGAGCTGAAAGAGAGGATCGCCCAAACAGAACTCAAAAACAAGAAAAAAAAAGAATTTCTAAGTGTGGAATACTCTTTTCGTGAGAAGATCGAATTTAATTTCTTCGAAGCGAAATGGGAATGGATCAGGTTTGAACTGCAAAATAACGCAAAAAAACATCTCAGTTCGCATTTCTAAATGGAAAAGGATTCTCCCAAACTCAATTACGGTAGATTTGCCCGATTACTTGAAATGTTGAAAATGAATACCAGAAAACTTTTTCAAATCCAGTGAATGTACAAATTTTCCAACTTTGACTTTTCGGAAAGAAAACCAATTTCAAAAAACGAGTTTTTTTCAATCAAGCTGATGCCCGAAAAATTGGAATTTGCAAAACGGAAGGAACAAATTTTATTTCAGTCCCAGAGCCAACAAAAACAAACTCGAGAGGGGTAAAAAGCTTTCTCGAAATTCAAAATACACTTTGATGTCAGTTTTCATAACTGTAAGATGAAAACTTTGCCCAGAATTGGGTTTTTTGTACTCGATTCTTTTTCTTTTTGGACTACGAATTTTTATTTTAGCGAGGAAATGCTTTCAAGCTTCTGTTTTATTGAAAAATGACTCGGTTTCAAAAATATAGCTAGATGGGGGCTCACCTGTTTCGTATGATAACAAGAGACTTCTAGACATTCTGTCGGGTTGAGTGAGAAGAAAATAGTGACAATGGCGGTGATACAGTTGCAGACCCACAAACTGGTAGAAAGCAAGTGAATTGGAGTATGAATACGACGGTCTGAAGCCACTGCAATGAGTACCAGGAGATTGAAGGCGAGCTGGAGGATGGCGAGGACGAAGTTCAGCGAAGAAGTCCACAGCCACATCCTCAGCTCAACACTGTCAGGCTTTTGGACCTTTTTTGGAAAGAAAAGACCCCTGCCTTCTTTTTTTTCTTTACGCACTTTTTCGCTAGGCTTTTGCCCGCCCACTTCCCATCGATTATTCACGTTTGTCCTGCCTCTTCCCCTCCATTTTTGCCTATTCTCAAGGAGCAAGCTTGTCACATTTCATATTAAGAGCAAATGTCGCAAAAGCTTCCGGAATACAACCTCAGGCTGGGCACAGATTGAGGAAGACAGCTTCGGAGCTTTTTCCTTGTCGGCTGAAAAAAAATGATATCTAAAAGAGGCGGAAGCATTTGAGAAAAAAACATGTTTTTGAAAAAGTTTCAAAACTAATGATCTGATTTAACTACACTTCAAAAAATATCTTGTTATCCTAGAAAAAGTTAGCAAAGTTCTTGAAACTTTTTTTATTATTCTACTATACGGTCAGAAAAATTTCTTCTGCTTCCTCAAGGAAATCGGAAGAAAAACAAAAAAATAAAAATGAAACAAAAAGCAATCTCTTCGCCGGAGAAACTACGGAACCCAGTTAAAAAAATAAAAAAATTTCAATTTAAGACGTAAGAAACCATAAAAAAAGACAAAATAAAGTTTTTTTGGGAGCTTTGAGATTTTGAGAGAAAAAAACGATCTTTTCAAAAAAATCCAAAAAGTAAAAAAATTTAACAATGAAGAATTTTTTTGACGCGAAACTTCTAAAAATTTTCGATAGATTCAGTCAAAATTTATTTCATTAAACTGGATGAAGTTTTCAAAGCTATCATTTGAGAAATTCAGGCGAAGACTTGTATTCAGCGTTTCAAAGAGTATTTTCAACAACTTTCAGGAGATTCTGAAATCATCAGTTGCCTATTTTGAAGTTTCATTAAATTGAAATTTTCAAAAATTTTTAGCTTTTAGTACAGCAACGTTTTCATTAAGTGCAATTTTTCCTCCATTGTAATTTGAAACGTACTTTAACTCCCAGTTCAAACAAACCAAACTTCGCAAAAGGGAAAGCTATATAGCTCATAGTTTGTTCATGTGGTGATGAACATTCGGTTCAGAAACGCTTCAGACGATTTGAAGCCTTGCATCGGCCCAACTTTGTTGATGCGAACAAAAGCTTCTCTGAAAGCCATGAGAAGGTGGCCGCGCATTAGGCCGGAAGTTGCTCACAATCTTGTTGGAAGGTCGTCCATTCGTTGGCCGGAAAGAGAAATCTCTAGGAAGAGTTTCACCTGCTCAAGGAGTGAAATGGCAAGTCTCTTGAAAGGGTGGCAACTTGAAATTGTAAGTTTCTTTGAACTATTCAAGACGTTGATTTTCAAGCTTTGCGTATTTTCTTCACAGTTAAGCCAAAAGTTATTAAAGCTTTCTAGTTCTTTTGAGACCATTTTCTTATTTCAATTTTCCATTCAATCCTAAAAAAAACACCAAAAAATTTTCTGAAGCATTTGAAGACGCATAATTCTGGCATGGAAATATCAGAATTATTCGTCTTTTTGAATATAAATATATTAAGGTTTTAGTCGAAGAAAAAAATGGTAGTGATTCAAATGAAAAAAAGTTAAAAAAATCTTATTCTTTGATTATTGAAAATATTGATTATTGTTGATTTGTGTTTCACCGAGTTGCAATAAACACTAAAAAACCGTTTTTTCTCATGATTTCTTCGTCAAATTTCCATTTTACCCAGTAGAAAAATGACGCGTTTTGTCTTCCAATGAAAAAGCTATAATAAAAAAATTATTGAAAAAAATAACGCATCCTTTTATGGAAGCAGACCTTGAGCAAAAAAATTTTTTTTCCACTTAAATGCGAAGAATTTCGAAGCTTTTTAGGTCAATTCAATAACGAGGCTTTATCATTTCTTGATTTTTACAAACTGTGATTTTCATCTGTTCTACTTCATAACTTATAAGCAAAATTTGAAAAGCCAAGTGAAGTTCAAAAAAAAAACATCTCAAAAACTTCATTACAATTTCAATTAAGCCAAAGATCGTTTCTCTTAAATGGTTGCAACCCAATTCTATAGTTCATCCAAAACTTCCAAATGTCTGGATAATTATCTTCTCTTGAGAGAAGAGCGTAAAAGAACCTACATGTCCACAGAGGGTTAATTTGAAAAGAGTGCGTTCACAAGTTGTGTCTTACTTTTTGCTCTTTCTTCTCTTTTTGCAGTTCCAGTCACATCCGGAAGTGATTTCCTTCAATTAGATTTGCCTACACATTCTTCAAAATGACATCTAATCATTTTCCATCAGGTTACGTCTTCCAAATTATCCCATTTCATTCTTGAAGCCACTCTGTGTATCAGTTTCCAGAATCCTTCCAATTAGATAAGACCATAGTTTTGAGGAAAAGACAAAGGTCTGTTCTGTTATTTGAAGTTTTCAATCGAAATTAAAAAGGCGTTTTCTAAGTTACTTCCATCCGTCTTAGTCTGGAAAACATCAATTTTTCCCCATTAATCTCAATCCCGGATCTCAAGGCGTCATGAAAAATGACGTGATTTCTTCTCAGCTTTTCCTTTTTGAGTGCAACGGTCAATAAAAAGTGAAATCAAGCTTTTACAGAGAGGATTTCAAAGCAGGAAGCAACAAAATCTCAAAGCTGTGTTCTGCGAATAGTTCGTTAGGAAAATGAAATTTTATTATCCTCTGATTTGTTCTTTGGATTATACAAATACCATGATTCGCTCCGAAAGCAGCATTAGATGGAACTAATCTACCCATAGCCCGGAAAAATAGAGAATGCCAGTTTTTGGCTTTTCTCTCCTTTTTCTTTCTAAATTTCAAAATTATTTGATGGAGTGCTGTTAAATTTATTCGAAAGTAAAGTATTGAAAATTCCTGTCAAACTTCTCGAGTCTTACATCTAGATATTTTGAAAGTCAGAGAAAAACTTTTCAATAATAAATATTACAAAGTGATCTCATGAAGACGAATTTTATTGAATTTTGGTAATTTTAAAGTTCTTGATTCTATTCGTATTCAAAGAAATCTCATCTTTTTTTATGACGTCAATCTGGCAGAGAACAGAAAATTAGAAAAATTCTGAATTTTTTTGTACTAACGAGGTATCGGTTTACTTGAAGAACGTTTGCTGAACTCAAAAAGAAGCTTCCTTTTTTTTCTCATAAATTTATTCTTTTTTTACTTTCCATGAATCAAAGTATGAGGAACCTCAGCGAAACTGTATGATAATATGGCTTCAACATTCCGAATCTAAATTTCAAAAAGTCACTTCATAGATGGTTATTTTTCACTTGCAAGAGCATCTCGTTGTTTTGGTCCTGCATTCCGAAGGCTTTGTGCATTCTTCCAACTTTTGCTTTAAAGCTCAATGAATGAGTAATCAACTTTTCTTCTTCTAAATTCTTTTTTTTTCCTGATTGAACCTTTTGTAAAACGCCACTTCATCGACGTTTGACAAGCTTGATTCATGCATGAAATTGCAACGCCAAAAAACAATTAAATGAGCCAGAATTCACAATGGCTGAAAAAAGAAAGAAAAGTGGGCCCAAAGAATAATTGGATTGCGTGTTTGTGCGCGTGTGTGTCAGACGAGAGCTGTGTGCGGTAAAATGGATAATCTCACAGAAGAAGATAATGAAATTGCGTAATTAAGTCGAGAGAAAGTCCTTTCATTGGCTACCGATCGAGTCAAGAGCTCACATTCCCTTTGATGAAAAAGCCTCTTTTGTACTACTCTAGAACTTTTTCAATTGATGAGTTTTTTTCAAAAGTCGCTTCTCCTCGCACGACTTTTTCAAATCCTCTTCACAATGACGTCTTTGGATATTCTTCCCATTCCTTCCGCGAAAATCAATCAAAGTTCTTTGTCATCTGGCAGAGAAATAAATAACTCTGATTTAAATTTCCGTTTCTTGGAAACGGAGTGAAACATTTTTAGAGAATATTTAGCCACCAAAAAACTTTTCACGTTGCCCCGAGGAAATTGAAATCAACTCTCTGCCAGTAAACTTTTTTTTGTACTCTCGTCTTCAAAAATTATTCACAAGGCTTCTCTTTGATGTACCAGAATAAGATTCTGAAAGTCTCAACTTACACAACTTTATACTTTTCGAGAAAAGACGCTTCAAATTTATTGAAAATGTCCAAAATCCATCAAAATGAGCTATTTTGTGGCTTTAGATCCTTATTTCTTAAGAACTAGAAAGTCGTGCAAGTTGAGACTTCCATTTCTGGAGGTGAATGAGTCTCAAATCTTTTCCTGGCTGGAGCTCGAAAAGTTTTCTCTCATATTTTTCTACTGCAAGGTCAAGAAAGTTAGGTATTTGAAATCGACGAAAGCTTACCAAATGGAGAGCGAACCTTGCATTTTCAATGACCATTATTTTGCTGGCGGCCAAGTAACTCGTCACTCGGCCGCCTTTTGTGGAGGCTCGAAAAATAACAAGGTTCTTCACTCAGAGCGCCAAAAAGGGTCTGGAATGCTTGATATGCTGCTGTATTTGGCGTTGACGTATCCGAGGCTCGTCGACACCCTGACTTCTCCCAGAAACGTCTTCAAGGTACCTGAACTCTACGGCTGGAGCCAGGACACCTTGATTCGGTCCGTGATTTTTGTTTTTTTTTGTTTTTGTATTTTTTTAGAATCTGGAAACATATATTTATTATGAATCATTGCACCCCTTGAAATTTTTCAAAAGTTTTTTTTTCAGTAGTTAGAAGGCACAAGGTACTGTATAGCTCTTTAGAACTTGACAAAAAACAGAAAAAAACGTGAAATTTATTTTTTTTCCTACATTCCACAGGCTCCCGTTTCTAACTAGAGAGATGAATGAGATATTTCAAATAAGGCTCAAAACATTTTTTTTTTTTTTCCTAATTTTTTTCAAATCTTCAATTTACCTTTTTCAATTTTTGGCGTCATTAAGCGAAACTACATTGTACTATGACATAAAAAGAAAGCTGCTCAAAGAGATGAAGTAACAAAAAAATCATGTCGAAATCTGAGAGAAAATCTTCATTATTTTGTCTTCTTGAATTAAAATAACTTTCGCAAAAAGTTCAATTCTTTAAGGTGTATCTTGTGTATGAACTACGACGATCGTCAGAAAATCACTATAACTGGTTGTGACCCCGAAGTTTCCTGCTTAGGCAACGCTTGTTTTATGCGTTAGTTCTACTTTCCGGAAAATTGAATTACTATTGCGGAAATTTCAGGCCAGCACAAGAGTCCATATTATTTTTCTATACACTAGTGGTTGCGTCAATCTGACAAACCGGAATGTTGAAAGGGTTTCTAAATTCCAACAGAGGTTAGTTTTTTTGATTTTTTTGTCATTATGGATGATTGATTATTACAGTATTGGTGTTGACACTGAAATCCCTGGTAAGGAAACGCTACTATGCGAGGTTTGTTATTATTTTTTAAAGTTTTAAGTAATTTTCCTTTTTCAATTCTATTCAATCATTCGATCGAATTCAGGTTTCCTTTCAAACAAACACGTGTTTATGCACAGACGGAAATATGTGCAACAATATGTCCATTCCTGCTCCATTCAGGTGAGCGAATCATTCAAATATTCATTTGTCATTTGCACTCCGATTTATTCACTTTTTCAAAGTTGTGAAACAACTTTGTGTGAAGAACCATATCATTCACAGTTTTCAGAAAGGTAGCTTTTTCCAATGATAAGATTAGGATTCTATCCATACTGCTTTTTTTGAGGCCTGGTCTTTTCTTTCTTGACAAAAAATACAGCAAAGTATTCAGCTTGAAAAAAATAAAACCTTAAATTTTATTTCGATTATTATCAGCATTCACATCAAATTGAATGAATTTTTTTGATGAAATTATTTTTTTGAAATCGCTCGGAATGGTAAATAATGGTCGCTAACAGGGAGAAGCTCAAAAAAGCCCGTAGAAAGAGTCCTTTTATCAAGCCTTCCATTTTTTTTGGGGATTTCGAAGGCTTAAGAAATGGTGGAAAAGGAGAGAGGCTGCAAAAATGAAGAATAAAGGCCGATAAATGGCAGCGAAATGGACCCTTTTTCACCCTAAACGATGCATTTCTCGAGCTTTTTCCCACCCTTTCCGACTCCATCTCTTCGAAAAACTCGAAAATATCGTCAAAAAAAAAAGCCGAGGTTACCTTTGAAAAATATTGCAATACATGATACTTTGAGCCAGAAATAATTCCATGTAATCTGATTAATTCAGTGAGTACCACACCGACGGCCTTCTCAACGACATCGAGTTCGATGAACTTCATCTTTACAGAAGTTTTCTGCCGCACAGTCCACAATCCATTATCGTTCAGCAGTATTCGTTGTGGTCGAAGTTCAGTTCCCATTCATTTCCCATTTTCTGCCACGTGATGTGGATTCTTCTTTTTTGCCTATTATGAGTCTATTGTTCATTTACGACACACTCAAGCGGGATAATTGCCTTTTACTTGGGTAACTTTTAATGATTGTTTAGCATCGTTTAACTTTTCTTTGAAGTTTCATATCATGCAAGGTTTCAAAGAACAACGATATTTGTTTTAAGGTCTGTTTAGGAGAACCGTTTGCTCAATAAAAGTCGATTATTTGAAACAGTGTTCTGTTATAGTGAGCTGCAAAATTTTTCCGCCCAATCTCAAAATGGGACGTTTGATTGAAGGAAGCTTGATCAAACTGTGAAAAAAAAACAGAAAAAAAGACTGCTGAGTTTCCACATTGTTTAATATTCTATCACATTGTCTTTTGCTGCAAACTCGAGGAATCGTTCCCAATGTAACCAGTCCGCATTTTAATCCCCCAAGCGATGTTGAGCGGCTGGACGCTTCGAATGTTCATAACAAAAGTGATGAAGATGATGATGAATAAGTTCACTTGCGTAGGAGTTTGAAGAAATCCTTCCAGACGGGTGAACAATAATTCTTCTGCTTTGCGTTCTCTTGACGACCCATTACCGGGGAGACGAAGATTGCTTGAAGACTTCGATTTTCAATTTGAAAAAGTTCACTTTTTTTTTCAAAATATCAGAATGTCGCTTTCAACTGATGGAAATAACTCTTTCAAACGCTATGTTTGGAATCAACCAGCGCGACGGCGGCATCGAAACCGACTAGACTACGAAAAACGCAGCAGCGAATATGAGAACTCATGTATGTTACTGTTTTGGACAATTATTTTAATTTAACGGGAATTGTCAGAGATTCATAAAAATATTTTTCTCAGAACCGGTCAGAATTTTGAGATTTTTTTATCATGAAAGTTGTATTGTGGAACAAAGCTGCATCAACCGGAAAACGTCAGTTTTTATCGATTTTTGATTGAGTTTTGATCCACAGTATTGATTGATCAAAGTTAGAAGCAACTCTTAATCATAACTGTGATTATTCCCATTACCCAGTTAGCCAACTCGAAACAGCTTCTGATGAAGGAAACAAGTATGGATATTTGCCCGGAGAGCTGCAACGGCAGATCGAAGCTGAAGAGGAACGCAGAAAACGAAAAAGAAAAAGCTTAGGTTCGTCGTTGTACTAGTTCAAAGTTTTAGTGAAATAAAAATTGATTTCAGAAGAAGTTAAGACGCCGCCCAGAGTCGAAACTCCTGAAATCGCAGAAATTGAAGATGAAGAAGAAGAAGGATCGAGCGGAGAGAGGACACCAAGCTCGCTCTCATCTCAATCGTATTTTTTTGTAATTGGTTTATATTCAAAAATTCAGCAGAGCATCACTGGAATCCCTGGACGAGCCGATTCCCCCACCGCCACCGCCTCGAAATGTTCGTCAACCGAAATTGGTCTTCATTCCTCCACCTGATGGAGCTTTCTTGGATGACGACCTGCCGACGCCAAGAAAATTGGGCCCAACAAGCAATTCGTTCTTTTTTGTTGGTTCTTCTCTCAGGAACAGTCAAATAGAAATTGCAAATGTACAATGAATATGCAAATTTAACTTGTATAGTTGACAATAAATCGGAAGAAAAAAATAATAATCCTTCTAAGTCCACACAATGATTACTCACTGTTTCGGGGTTTTTGTTTTTTTCTCAATCGCTTTCTATTTTTTTCAGTCTCCAGAGTTTTTTTCATTATTTATAAAATTTATTTACCATCCTATTATAAGTTTTCATTTCAAATCTGGAACAAGATAATCTTGTAGCTGGCGAGCTGAATGAAAAATTTCAGATCAAGATGATCCTACTTTCATAAGTGTCGATTTTTTTCTCAAAAAGGGTCAGTTATGAAAAAAATAATAATATGATTTCCGTTAATACCGCTTCTTGATCCTTATTCAAAAAAATTTCCCGATAAAATGAACTTAAAAAGAAATTGTTCTACCTTTATTAGTTGTGTAAATACTAGTCAAAAACGCAATGAATTTCAACACATTTTCCATCCAACTATCAGTGGGAGTTCCTAACAATTGCGTTCATTATCAGAGACAAAAATTACTAAAAATTACGAAAAACTTTGTCATTACCCAAAATTCGAAAGCGCGCCGAAGCCGATCGCGACAAGACCCATTATTGACACACCCGAAGGAGTAAAGAGAAGAGAGCGCAGACTATGCGTTGCGGTCTGCGTAACGCCTTCGCAATCCTTGCCTCCTATTACTGTATTAACTACCATATTCCCGACTAAGATCTGGCGCGCGCGTGACTCGTAATCTGTTGCGCGTTTAGAATGGTTTTTCGTCTGCGAAAAAAAATCATTATTTTTTTGGATTAACTCTCTTTTTGAGTTTGATTAGGTAGGGCGAATAGGAGTACAGAAGAATATAAAAAAAAGGCAGATAAAATGTATGAAGAGGTAGTGAAAGTGAGGGGAAAAAAGTGCAAAGAGGTGTTATCGAGCCTGCGGCATCTTATTCCGACAGGCGACGGTTTGCGTCCCCGACCACTCGGTTATCGATTACTGTGTGCCGAGCGTTCCACCCCTTTCTCCGCGCCTACAGTTCCCTTCTCCTTGCCAAAGTCTTCTCCTTACAGTAGCGCGCCTCTCTTAACCCTCTCAAATTTCTCCCTTTTTCCTTTTTTTTTTTGAGACGCTCGTATCTTTGTTCCAATTCGACAATCTTCGTTCATGAAACAATCTTTTTCATTTTCAGGGGTATCTCATTCGCTCCACTTCTATTTTCTTCATGAATCACAGGATCGATCCGGTCAGTTTCAATTTTAAAATTCAAGTTCCAGATTCCAATCACTTTGAAAACTCAGTCTTGAATATGAAAGCAGAACTGAGTAAAAAAATATCGTGAAACTTTTTTTCGGTTTTTTTCATCATCTTTTCAAAAAAAGCGGGAAAAAAAGAAAAATATTTATATCCTACAAAAACTATTATTGAAAAAAATACCGAAAAAAAGTATAAAGATATACATGTAGTGAGTTTTTTTGGTACATGCAAAAAAATTCGATTAAAAAAAGTTTATTTTTTTTGCAACTATTTTTTTCAAAAATTTTACCAAAAAAATATGCAAAAAAATTCAATTATCATCCTTTGACTTCTGATAAACATTTAATTTATATTATTACGAAATCACTTGAATTTTTTTGCTATTTTTCTTTTTGACCATCGTTCAATACTTTTGTAAGACGAAAATAAGGAAAAAATAATGAAGTTAGGTTTCAAATATTCCGAGTAAAATTTAAGATGAAGGTTTATTCAGGTGTTTCACCATGGCCACATGGATGACAGCGAAATGCTCATGGATGAGCAGGACTATATGGTATGAGAAACCCTACAAGCTCACAAAATTTGTTTTTGTTCAGCAATACCCAGAAGAAGACGAGATGACAGAAGATGGCGTGGGCGACGTTTCCATAAGATCAACCCGAGGCATTCACCAATGCAACGTCTGTAGTAAAGTTTTCGTGTCTTATAAAGGTAAAGCTATTAGCGAAGATTGTTTTTTGAAAGAAAGCTTTAGGTTTACAACAACACGCGGTCATCCACACCGACCAGAAACCTTTCACCTGCGATGTCTGTAATAAATCGTTTCGATTCAAATCGAATCTTTTCGAACATCGCTCAGTTCACACTGGGTATACTCCTCACGCATGTCCCTACTGCGGCAAAACTTGCAGGTTTTTATTGGAACCTTAGCTAAATTAATACTAATACTCTTAAAAGTTAATGGATTGCTCAGAAAATTGATTATTTCACTTCCAAAGGCTTGAAAATTGTTTCCAGTTGGATGACCTAATAATCAAATTTTTTAAAACAAGGATTCATAGACCGTTTGGCCAAAGATATATTAAAATTTCGCGAAAAATTCTGATATCAAGGCAAAAGTCTTTTGTCATCTTTAAGTGTTTTTTTACCGCTGAATAAAAAAATGATTGAAAAAAATTCAAATTTGTTTCTTGTGGATAATGAGTTATTGCAGAATTAAAAATAAAAAAATAAAATCAGAGTAAATCTTAAACTATTTTTTTAAGTCTTCATATTTTGAGTCTCCTTTTTAAATCAGTCATCATGGAAGCCTCAAAGTGAAAACAAAAAAGCTGAGAGATTTCATGTTTTTTTTTTGGGCAGTGGCTTAATTTGTTTCCAAAATGAAACACTGATTATACATACAGCACATAATACATATTTCTTTGTTTCAGATTGAAAGGAAATCTCAAAAAGCACCTGCGGACCCATGTTACCACGAAAGAAGAGTTGGAAGCTGCGTGGAGACCTTTTGCAAGGTAAACATGATTCGAATTCTTGACTAGTTGAATTTTTTCAGTAACCGAAGACCTTCCGAGTATCCCGCAACTCCACAAGGCGTTATGATACGATCTGAAAATGGCGAAGACGAGATTTATGTACCAAAACGACCAGTACATCGAAAGTGAGACTCTTTTTGAAATCTCACATTTTTATTATTTTTCATTTAGAAAAAAAGCACTTGGTTTGGGTGATGTGAACAACTGGACAGATAAAGTACGAACCGGCGAATTGGTACCTTCCTCGATTCTTCACGACAAGGTAACTTGTGAGAATGAGGAAAATTTTGAAAAATCTTTTCAGCTGCGAAAGTTTGAGAATCAAATATATGGAACTCTTAACTCGATACACCACTTAAGAATGTCGGGAAGATCAATAGCTTTCGAAAGGTACATTTTAAACACTTCAAAACTAATTGATTACATGAAAAGTTATAAAACAAGCTCTGAAAATGTTAGGAAGTCCAGAGTGGTCTCTATAGTTGCAACTTTAGGGAACTTTGGAGAGTCCCCTCTAGGGGCCACTAAAGCTTGCAAAAGTGGTTTCCGCAGAGAAAATTCTAGTTGATAATTTTTATGATCTCTATGCGAAAAAAAATTTCAATGCGAAAAACTAAAAAAAATAATATTTTTTGAACAAAATTGAACGACCCCTGTAGGGACCACTTAAGCTTTAGGGGATTAAGTGCCCTATAGGGACTACTTTTTCGAACCTTATAGGAGTTTTTTTTTCCCACAACTTCTATAGGGAACACTCTAAAATTCCTAAGGACTCTGAACATTTTTTAATTTGACAAAAAATCATAAATCACTTTGCATTTTCAAATTTCAGATTCGATTGTCCAATTTGTTGTCTTGCTTTTGATAGTCGCTACGACTGTTTGGAGCATTTGAACATGGAACACCCTGGAAGCTGTCATCAACTGAGTGAAATGTACTGCGAAGTACGTTTTTCGAAATTTAAAATTGCTCGATTTTTTCTGCTTATTTTTTTCAGAACAATAATACAAATAGTGACCTAGAAGGATTTTTTTCCATCCTTTCTAGTGAATTTGAAAAAAATTTTTAGAGCCTCGATCAAATTCATCTTAAAAAAAACTCCTCTAAAACCCTAGAAAGTCAATTCCCTTTAGAAAATTATCTGAAAAATTCGGAAAGCTTTGAACTATCGAAAAATTACAAGTTCTTCTTTGCAGAAATGCATACGTCGGTTCACGGATCAAGACAGCTACGCTCAACATTTGAGTTATCACGCCAAACTTGATTCTATCATGAAAGAAAGCAATATGAGCGTAAGCATAGCTTTTTTCTTACAAATTTACTGTTTTTCCTTTAGTTGTGCAACCATGGAATTCTTGTGCCTTCACCAGAAGACATGGCAATAATCTTGGGACCACCCGAGTTGGATTTGCATATGCACATGCCCGAAGATCCCGATTCTCTTTATACCGATCATAAGGTTAGTTTGGATAAAAGTGAGAAGAAAATGAATGAAATCTACCAAAAGAGAAGAAACTGCGAAGAATAATGTATTTGCATTTTTAGCTCTGGTGTTAAGTTTTTTTTTTATAAAATTACATTAAAATGACCTCAAATTTTCGAAAGTTGTAAATGAAGCGCAGATTTGGCTTTTTTATTTGATTCAAAAATGCGTCCAATATATTTTTTTTCTTGACTTCCCGATGTTTGTGAAGAAGCTCTTTGATTGATTTTCTAGGCAATCAAAAAAACATGCAACAAAATAATGACAAAAATTGAAATATTGAAAGTATAATAATCCATTTCCCTCAAAGTAATAATAAAAACCCAATAATTCGATTTTTTCCTGACGACTGATAATATTTGAATTTCAGTACATGTCGTTTCTATGATGATTCAAGTTCCTTTTCACTTTCAATGGATAAGGTATGATTGGGATTTTTTTTTTCATGTTTACCTTCATTTTTTTCAGTTCCACTACAACGGAGTTTGTCTTTGAAGAAGAACTTTGCCATACCAACTTCGCCATCAATTTTCTTTTCTCATTTCGGTGAAATCAATAGTATCATCCGATATCTCCAGATTTCCATATAATGCAAAAAAGCTTGAAAAGCACATAATTTATCGGGGAAAACCATAACTTGTCAAACAATCTCTTGTTCTATTTGTTGCTCTCTATCTCAGTTATCCGGGTATTTTCATTGAGTTTCAAATATTTTTTACTATACTGTATCATGTAGTCATGTCAAGGTGTGTTATTTTATTCTGTATTTTGTTTTTTTTTCGTATCTTCTTGCTAATAATTGTTATTGTTTTATGGAGGCGCCATTCCATTGTGGAATTGAGGCCGAAATTTAAAAGGGATTGTAATTTTGAATTTTTTTTTCAGTACCTTAATTATCAAAATTTTTTTTTTCAATCGCGTGTTTAATAACTAGAAACAATAAACATATAATAACAGTACGATTTTGATGAAGTTCAACAGAATCTGATAATAATTTTTCAGAACCAAGACGTGTTACAGTGTGATGCGGTGATAAGATGGTGATAAAAAGATGATAATCGGAAGTAATCAGTAAAAAAAAGTTCACCCGTCGAGGTGGCTGCAGTCGTTTGGAAGTATTACAATTTAGGGGACAAGGAATGTAAGAAAAATCGGCACAGTGAAACGGATTCAAAAAGCAGATCGAGATTCGGATAAGATTACTGCGAGAATAAAAGCCGAATGACTTGATGAGTTATGTACAGCCTATCCTAGCCTTTTTGTTCCATTTAAAGCTTTTTTTCATCATGAGAAGCTTTTTTTCAACAAAAGTAAACGCTATTTCCAACCGAAGTCTTGAAAATTTAATTTCAAAATGCTCTGTAAAGCCAAATTTTATTGGACGGTTCATTGAACTCTATATCTTTTCGGTGAAAAAAAAGCAGCTCGGCAAAAAAATTTCTTGGTGCTACCTGAATCGCCGAATCTCTTGTGAACAAAATTCTGAAATAATTTTTCTGTCATTTTTTAACTTTTCGTCTCCGGAACAACTAAACCCGGGAAGTTCAGCAAGGAATGAGCTCGAACGCGTTTCACTCGATCACATATGCCGTCATCCTGTCTGGGTGCTCCTTCTTTGTCTTGGTGAGAATCTTTCAACATGAAGAAAAAAGTCATTATCATTAGTTATCTGCAATGCCGGCTCTGTTCTACGTTGCCAACGAGATATCGACCGACTTAGAACAAGCGAGAGTTGAGTTCGAGGAAACTTCGAACGCTCTTTGGAAAACCATCACAAGCACCGGAAAATATAGCCCAAGGGCCGCTAGACAGACTTGTACGTTTTTGGTTTTCGGAAAGATCAGAGAGTCTGCCTTGCAGACAAAGAGGGCGAAGGGCCAGCTGGCGCGGCTGTATCTCCCACAGGTAAGTGTCAAGTTACGGTTAGACCAGTAAGATTAGCGCCGAAACACCTTTTTATCTAACGGTTAATCTACCAGCTGACACCGTCGACAATTCATGTCCGCCAGGACCAAAAGGAGAGCCGGGAGTACCTGGAGCACCAGGTGATAGGAACGCTTAAAATCGGCTGTGTAATCCTTTGCTGATTAAAGGTACCGACGGAGAACCAGGCCAGGCGGGAAAAGACGGCACACCTGGTGACAGCTCAGCTTCGTCTCCTGTTTCGGATTCGTACTGCAGTCCTTGTCCAGCTGGTCCACCTGGAGTGCCGGGATACAAGGGAAAACGAGGCAGCCGAGGACCAAAGGTTTTCTCAATACAGTTCGAGATTTTTAGTCTAATCATTTTACATTACTAAGCAATGAGTACGGAAAAATTCCATCGGAGTGACTAAATCTTTCAGGGAGAAAAAGGTCCTGCAGGAAATCCCGGTAGAGATGGTGCTGCAGGAGAAGAGGGACCTGAAGGAGACTATGGCCACCCCGGACCAGTGGGACCACCAGGAGAAAAAGGTTAGCAAAAATAATAACCTCATATTTCTGAAAGAGGTTTTATTTTTTCAGGACCTAATGGCGAGGACGCCATTGGATACACGAAAGGAGCTCCGGGACCCAAGGGAGAAACGGGAATGGCTGGAATGCCAGGAGACGAAGGTCTTCCAGGCGAGAGAGGGGAAGATGGAACGCCTGGAGCAGCTGGAGAGCCTGGGCCTCAGGTAAGGCTCCTAAAAAACTGGAAAGTTTGAAATCAAACATAGGATTAACTATCAAAAACATTTCCGATCATAATCATGCAGGAAAAGCTTTTCAGGGTCCTGCTGGTGAAAAAGGTCCAGACGGATTTCCAGGACTGCCTGGAGCTGCTGGAGGACAAGGTAACGTTCATTTCAATACTACCTTGTATTGATCTCCAAATTTTTCAGGTGAAGACGCTGCTTATTGCCCTTGCCCTTCAAGAAAGTCTGACGCTGCTATCGAAACTGCTGGAGAAGGTTCTTTTGCTTTTCCTCTCCAATGTTATGAACCCTGAATCAACAGGAGGCAATGAAAACTACGTTAGCGATGCCGCTGTGAACAGTCCTGCTCCTGCTTATCCCGACAAGCCGGAAGTTGCCGCAGTGGTAAGAACCCTTTTTGAAACTGTTGAGAATCAAAAAATTACAGCAAGTAGCCGCTGAAGGAGACAAATACGAAGAGAAAACCGTGAGTTCTTCTTTTGAAATTATTCATTTCGAAAATTTCCAGGAAGCGCCTGCCGTAGTTGCCGTGGCTGGAACCGCACCCGAAGCATATCCATCAAAAGACAAAGTAATGAAATTTTCAGCTTAAGAGGCTTCTGAAAACGAATTTTCAGGCTCGGCGACGTCATCGTCTCTTCCGTACCAAATTTTGATTTTTTTCTATTGTTTTTTTATAAAACGATCAGTTTTTCAAGATTTTTTTGTTCCAAGCAAAAAAAAAAGAACAAGAAGGCGATCCTTAAAAAAAGACTTCAAGTTGAACATCTAAATACGTTACCAGCCTGCACTATGAGGGTCCTTCAAAGTCTCACACCCATCCTTTTCCGGAAAGAAACTAACTTTTAAAGAAGGTGGGACAAAGCAGCTCATCGGCTTCTTCTCGAATAAAAGTCCCAGCTCAACAATGTAATTATGGGAAGGCTAAAGCCACAAGTCGGCCGTGCAGCCACCAAAACTGGATATATTCGGCAATGGAAGCCTAACTCGACGAGTGCTAATCACTTTTCGGACGTCGCTTCTTTTCTTAATTCTTGCTGCCAGTTTCTTTTCCTTGTGCCGCTGGCGTAATTTTTTTGATTTTTTTTTCGTGTTGGCTCAAAATATGCTGTTTCGCTCTGTGAGAACTTTCTTTTATTCATTTAAGATAGGTAAGGTATTCGGTTAATATTTTCAGAAAGTCAAAAGTTTTAAAAAATGGTCAGAAAAACAGCGATGTGAAGGAAGTTTTTTTTAGCTTTAAGGTGAGTTTACTGTTTCGTAGATGCAGATAAATCAACTATTTTTCACAAAATGGTATTAGACATTTTCTGAATTTTCATGTCGTACCAAATGTGATTCTTTTATTGCTGCCTGTGGTTCTCAATCTTCAAAGACTTCTGAATCTCATTTTACAGACAGGATCTACGAGCTGAAATTGACGTGAAACCATTTTACATTCTTCTCAATAAGAAAACTTTTCTTCTGAGGATCTGTGAAAAAAATGACGTCCAACAAGCATTATATGGAAGCTTTATACGTTTTTTGCGAGACTTGGATGTACACTCATTTTATTCTCACAACCGACTTGTTCGATGCAGCTGTTAGATCCCCAAAGGAATCAAGAAGATGTACTCGCCTCGGGGGCTCCGCCATTTCACTCGAGCCCTCTCTATCATTTTCCGCATTATCTACTAACATGTTGCTTTTTTTTCTACGTTCCTTCGAAGCATTTCCTGTCTGAGGATATCATAAGCTTAGAAGGGAAAGTTACTCTTATCAGATCAAATTTGAGAGGAACTGGAAGATGTAGTTTTGAACGCATACCCTCATCAATTTTGAAGTATTTTTCGTGGTTTTAATTTGAAATGAGCCTTCAACAGTTCCTAAGAAAATCCAGAATTATGGAAAAATGTCATGGTAGTAGATACAAGTCAAGCTTGATTTTAGGATGTCCTTGCTGATTTATCTTATAGCTATGACTCAGCCTTTTTTTCGAACATAATTTTGCTGTTTCAACCAATTTTCGATTGAAACCGCTTTTTATTAAAAAAATATTTCAAATTAAAAATATTCGAAAAAAATCTCTTAAATTCTCGGAGATACTGTAGCAATTCATTTTTTTTAGCCCACCGAAGTTTTCGCTAAAATATGTTCAACTAAATATTTTGCAAGCGAGCTTTTGGTGAGAAGTTGAACTGGTGGCTGCTCGTAGGTGGCCTGAACGGAAATTAACGTTTTGCGGGTTGATGGATGCGTCGCATGCATATAATCCGCACTACGCCCGGGGCCAATTGTTTTCGAAACGCTTGTTTCATCACTGAGCCACCTTCTCGGCGCACCTTCCGTTGCTTCTAAGCTTCCTTGAGCGGTTCATCTAACCAATATAACTTTTTACGCTTTCCTTTCTGCGAGGAGAAACTTTTAAATATGAACTTAGGAGCTTGGCAAGATGGTCAAATATTTCGTTGTGTTACTTTTCCTCTCAAAAATCATAATAGTAATAATTTATTCACAGATCAGTGTGAACCCCAACGAGAATCATTGAACTCCCTAATCGCCTAATAAAATTGCTTATCAATTTTTCGACGTTAGTCACATTTTTCGAATAGAAAAACACTTTATTTTCGAATATTCAGTCATAAAAAGATAAAAAATAAATTTTTTGGAATTGTAATGAATTTGAAAAGGCTTCATGAGCTACCTGATGATGTTGAAACTTCTAAATGCAAACCAAAAGCTTCTCTTGATTCTGAAACCTCTCACAAGACAAGATTTCCCGTTTTTGAACCACTTTTCTTCCAAAGAATCTTTCATTGCTTCCAAGAAGCTGGGGTTCTCATGGTTGTCGCGGCTTGACATTGGTCTAAGAGATGCTCATAAAAGTGATTATGGGAGAAGAGCGGTGGAAGTGGGCCTCCGAAGGTGGTGCTCCGAATCGGCGACTTCCGTTCGGTTTCGGGTGCTCGGGTAATGGCTGGTTGGCCACGTATCCGGCCACTCTCAACAATTCTTCTCTTCTTTCGAAAATATTTGTCACCCAAACATTTCCGATGATAATGCATTTTTTCATTAGTTCTCGACAAAAAACAGCTTCGTGAAAATGCAAATACAATTAATTGAGCAGTGACTACGAAAAAAATCCTTTGTTTATTGTTCATTTTTTAACACCATGATTTTAACTGGATAATTATTAGTTTTTCCGAATGAAAAAAAGCGTGAATTCAAACTAGGAATTTCCGCGAAACGCAGTCCATTCATCATAACACTTTGCCGTGAACATGTGCTCACAAACTGGGAGTTTTGGATGATGAATCGCTTTAAACTGATATTCCGACTGGAAAAGCCAATCCACCCAGCTTCCAGCTGGTGTTCGCTTTTTTTTCTTACCTCAAACTATCGATTGCTCATTTAATCTAAAATTCATTAATGCCGGCTTTGGTATGCACCCCTCACTGAAAGTCAACGTTTTTCATCGAAAGTGCAACATTTTTCAGTCGATTTCTAATGAATTTACTTTCATGGTGTTCAAAAGCGAAGCACTACTTGGCAAAGATGTTGACAACTTCATTTGCTCTAATCCTATCACGATCAGCTTAGCGCACATCATTCGAGACCCGTAATAGGTGGATGAGCCAAGGCATCTCCCAACACAACGACGCTTTCACCACTTTTCAATCAATTCATTTAATTCCTCGTGTAATCCGCCACGGCTCCTTTCCATGGGAAAGCCATTTTCCTTCCAAAAGCTCTTCGAGGCCCAGTCCACTCAGCTCCAACCACCCATTATAAAAGCATTACCGCCGGTTATTTTCAGCACTGCTTTTGTTTTCAAGAAAGAAAGGCTTGGTGGACGAAGCTGGGAATATTTGTGCCGATGGTGGAACTATTAGTTTTCCCTCAGTAGTTTCTCCTTCAGGTTCTTATGTTTACTGTAGCGGCACGGCAGCTTTTTTTCTTCAAAAAAATCTTCAAAAAAATTGGTAAAAAAACATAACAAAAAATGTCTCAATGCGGCTTCTAATATTTTTTTCAATTCTTGAAAGAAGAATCCTGAAAAAAACAATAAGAAAGCTGAATAATCAGAAAAGGTAGCAGTTCAAAATGAGGCTCAAAAAATCGCCGCTTTTTCAGTTCTCACCCCCACACTCTTTTGTTTTAATAGAAAAATCAGGTCAAAATTCTCCACTGACTGTGAAACTTTCGAAATCTACTGCATTATCAAATCATAGTAGAAATCAATAAAAAACCAGAAAAGTATCAATTTGTAAGTATAAACAAGATGTCGAGTGTACACTCGGAGCCTCGTAAAATGGTAGAAGATAAACGCCGAGGAAGACATATGATCCGTGTGCCCCTAGGATCACAGGACGCTTCCGCCTCCGGCCGGCAGATTCCATTTCAACGGCGGTCCCTCTTTTTCTCACGGTATTCTGCTCATTCTTCGTTCAGTTTCCTCTAGGTTCCACTTTTTCAAATTGCCTGTTGAGAATCGATTTTCTAAGTTTTGTGATTTAAATGATGTTACTATTTTGAACAAAAGTTGTAAAGAAATATTATCAGAAAGATGAAGTTATTTTCAGAGTACTAATTTGCTTAACAAAGGAGGTTTTCGAAATTTTTTGAAACGGGAATATATTTTAGCCGAAATTTTTTTTTTGGCCCTTATTTCAAAGTGGATGGGTTTTTTTTCCTGCAAGTGGATTCTTCCTGAAAGTTCCTGAAGCTCACATTTTTCTGTGAACTGAAAATTCATCAGAATGTCAAAAATGACAGCCAAAAAGCACCAAAAAGTTTCAGAAAATTGAATACCTCACAAAAACACTTTTGACCGAAAATTCGTTTTTTCGTGTTTTTTCAAAGTGTACTGTAGGTTACGGTGATCCTCTTTTTGTACCGGATCCACATCAACAAATAATTCATTCTTCTCTCTCTCAAAACCTGTAATTTCATTTTCTGAGCTCCAAATGTTGTTTCCAAAAACCCAATTTTATGACTTCAATTACACATATAGAACAATAAATCTCCAAAGACTCCATTAATTTCCAAAACAACGATGAACCAAAAACGGCTGAAAAAAAAACAGGACATTTATCTTGCGGTCTGAAGGATTATAATAAGCCCCCAGGGAATGAGGAAATACGGTGGCCGTAGAAAAGCGAAGGAAGAGCTTGGAAAGGCAGGTGAGCAGCTTGATGCAAGTTAGATATTCGGGAGAGAAAGAGGTGTCAATGAGAATGAGACGAGGTCCTCCTCGCAATTTCCGTCGCGCTCCACCGGTCCGGCCACTATGCATCAGTGCTTCTTCTAGCAGGTCCTCATGTTTCCCGACCCACGTTTCTTCTATTTTTTTGTCTTTGTTACTCACCTTTCTTCACCTTATTTGTTATTGGGCGGCACAACATGCATACCTAACTATTGCCCTTTATGGCTTCGTTTTCTTCGAATAGGTAGACTTTTTCCGACCGAATCATTTTTTTTTTCATATGAATGATCGAAAAAACTTCAAGTGTAGGTGTTAAACAAAAAATCGATTTTTTAGGATTTTTTGGAATTAGTCATTCACTTTTTGTCTACTCGGTTACGAACAGTGGTAACTTTGAAGCCGCTCAACTACAAAAAAAAAATTAAACCCAAATAAACTTCATACTTTGACCAAAGTTATCATCAGAACATTAGAAGTTGTGAAACTTTCCGGTGAAAGAATTTTTGTACGGGAAGTTCTTCCCAAGCTTATAAGCTGAATTCCGACTTTTCCAGACTTTTTCAATGATCATCTTCAAAATATATGAAGCTTCTGAAGCTGCATAAAATAGGCGGAGCTTCACCTGAGAAATTTTGAAGTCGTTCAACGGACGACCACCTGGGGTCTGATGTTTGACATTCCGACCTGAGAAGACTTTTGAACCAATTATCTTCATTCCGGGTCGAAATTTTTTACCAAACTTATGCTTTTTTTAAATTTAATTTTTGTTTGAATAACATTTCTCTCATATGAGCTTATGAGTTTTTTTGAACTCGTAAGCTTCTGATAGGTTTTTTTAAAGGACAAAAAGTTTTTTTGAACATTCCAGAAATTAAAATTCAAAAAAACTTTGTAGAAATAACAACAAAAAAAGTGCAAGAAGCTGAAAAAAATCGAAAAAAATCGAGAAAAATCGATCGTATGTGGAATATATCTTTGCGCCAAGTGTTTTTCCATAAATCTCTTTCTCGAAGTTTTTTTTTTGAAATTGTCAGGTGGAACTTCTTGCCTCAGCATTTTCATTTTCCATGAACATTATTTTCAATTCTCCCTCTTTTTTTATAGAGCACCTATTATTATATTTTTGTTCAACAACAAACTATGGAAACCTGAGCTTTTTGTAAAGTTTTTTCGAAAGTGCAAAGTCAATGACCGGCTTTTTTCACTGGAGCACACCATGCATTCGAAATGCGAATTCGCAATTATGCACAAGTTAATAAATGTATTCCAGCACTTGCATTAACTTTTCTTCCACGTTTCCTTTTACGAAGTATTCTTATTATTCCTTCAATGATATATTTTTGTTTCTGAGGCCTTTCTTTTGAGGTTTTTTCCCGATAAAATAGTTTTTCTCCAAACTTGAAGTTCATGTTTTTTTGAACTGACCACAGCTCTCCAAACGCGTTGTTAAAATTCCATGACGGCCACATTCAAATTGCTTTTCTTTGTATGATTACCTAGTTCTGAAAAAAATCTTTACCAGTTTTTGAAAAAAGTTTTTTCCAAACTTTCTGTCCTTCTTCAAGTTTTTCAAGAGCATCCAAGTCAGGTGGAATGGTATTTTGAAATTTTCAAGGCAATGGTTTTTCAGAATTCAATTTAGTACTTTTTTTTGATGGTTTTGCTCCGCTATTTTTCAAAATTTTCCTAATGCAGAGCTCTCCTCCCGAATTTCAAAGAACTACGTTCGAACTATTTTTTTTCGTTAAACCGAAATTCTGTTCAAAAAATATTGCCTCTCATGCCTTATTTCAGAATTCCGGAGCCATGATTGAAGCGAAGCTGATCCTGTTGATGCTCACCTTGTTCGTTGCCACAGAAGCTTCTCGGCCGGTGGCACGACACGATGTAGCCTTCGTTCACACGTTCGACACACGCGAGATGTGCATGGCGCGCTGTAGAACTGGCTGCACTCAACAGCATTCAGAAGATCTGATGATGCCCCGTTGGCATTGTCCTGTGCAGGTTGGTGGCATCTATTGGATATTTCGGTATTGCATAAGTTTGAAATCAAGTATGGTTAGTTCGAGACGCTAATTTTTGGCTTATTACGTCATTATTTGATAGATAACTTAACATGAAAGAGTTCTACTAGGAATATTTTTTACATTATCTGCACAGAGCATGAAAAATACAAAAATTTCTCAAATAACCCGTGATTTTGCTTGTGATAACAGAGCTTCAGGCCTAAACCGAAAAAAATTGGAATTTTTTTCGTTTTCCAATTTACCCGCATCTCTCAAAAATTGATCGGCACGAGAAAAATTTTCAAAGGTCATTTCACTCTGTGATTTGGAATTCCTTAAAAACTGACCGGAACATTTTTGACCTCCCAGAAAAACATCCTAAAACTCTCCATTTGCAGAAGTTACTAGTTTCTGAAAAAAGACTCCTAGAAGTTGAAGAAAATCCTCGAAAAATGTTAAAATGAGATTTTTGGTGGCTTTCAGACATTTCTCGAAAACAAGGAAATTGAGCAGGTTGAAATTTTCAAAATAATCTTTTGGTACATCAAGGAATTTTCCGACCGATTTTTAGGAAATTCCCAACCCCACAGTAAAATGACGTCCCTTGTGAAGTCTAACACCGAAGAAAAAATTCTATGAGGACTACAGTAATTTTATCAATTAATCTTTCAGGAAGAAGAAGAAAGCGATGTTGAGGAGGATGAAGAGACGTCATTCGGTGGCAAAGTCCTCATCATTGTTCCATGTGCCATTTTTGGATCCTTGCTTGTCCTATTTATTTGCGTTTCTGCCACACAAAGGTTTTGTCGCCAAGAATGCTGAGCTCTCCATATTCAATAATAACGAGTCTAAAAATGAGTTTACCTTTTTTCCCGCTCACTTGTTGGCTTCTATACGCGTTTCTCTCTGCATTTTCTATCTCAGTCTTTTCCTCTTTCTTTCTCAGATTGCTGTCTCCTGGTTGAGCTTTCGTTTTTTTCAATTACTCAATTAATTCATCTGTCAGTGAGACCTTAAGGTTTGGAGCTCGAACGTTGCCTGTGATCATAGTATGGGTTTTTATTGCTTGTTAATAATTTTTCAGTTTGGAAAATAAATAGTTTAATTATTTTGAGACAATGGCTTAAAGTTGAAAATGTGAAACAGAACGAATTTTTCAAAAAAACGGGTTGATAATGCTATAAATTTGAGGTTTTGAACTTATTGATGCTTATAAAACTTCAAATTTTTCGAATTTCACTTGCAGACAGGACGACTAAAAAAATAAAATTCATAAAAAAATAATTTTTTTCGTATATTGGGTTTTGTTGAAAAATTGTTGAACGTTTACAAACGCTACGAACATCATTTTTTTTATTTTGCTTCGTATAAAACGTTTGGATTATTTTCAACTGGGTTTTTCAAAACATTTCTATAAGATCATTTTTTTATTTTCCAGTCTTTTTGTTAAAATTGTTATATATATATAGCTCTTTTAAACAGTAATATACAATAGCAACAGAAAATATGTTGCTAAATTCTCCTGTTTCATTAAAAAATTGCTTGAGACGTTATTGTGGAGTATTTATTTTCAGAAGAGGTTCCGAAAATGAAATATTTTAAAGCATCTAAGTGATTTGGTGCCAAATTGGCGATACAAAGAAAAATGAATTTTAACAAAAAATAGTCTCACAACGAAGAAACGAAAAGTTTTGACCTCAAAAAGCGGCGGTCGGTCATTTTTTGTTTTGTTTTTGCGGCGCGCGGGAAAGGAATGTGTGCCCCATCCGCAGGGCTGTGGTTTGAAAGATGGCTCTCGCAGTATTTTACTTCTCCGTTCCATTCGTTCCGTTTTTTGCGTTTCTCTTGTCTTTTCTGCTTTTGAAACTAGCTCAGGGTGCTCTATTTTCTTTTTTTTAAGGATTTTTGTTTTATATTAGCCGACTGATCCTAGTTTTCGAGTTTTTTTTTGAATTTCAAGATTGAGAGGGAATAAAAAAGTTTCCCGTTTCATACGTAAATTTTCAGTGTCCATTCTATGGTTCTCTTCTTTTCGACAAAATTTTTCAAAGTAAATTATCTTTTCGCAGGTGAAATGAGCCGGATAGACAAAAAGGATCCAACTTCTTGGGATTACAAAGAAGTTGCCGAGTGGCTCACGGAGATTGGTCTCGAAGAATATGCTGCATATCTCACGCAGAAGCACAAGGTGACATTATATTCAACATTTTTCATCATTTCCTGTTTCAGATCAACGGCCGAATGCTGTTAACGATAACCGACTCCGATCTCAGAGAGCAGCCCGTTGCAATAAGATGCTTGGGAGATATCAAAAAACTGCTGGCTGCCATTTCTGCTCTTCGCAATTCGGTAAGAAAATTTAGAAAATAACCGAAATCTTCAATTTTTCCGTGTTCCCCTTCTACCATTTCTGCTATCATGCGAGCAAAGAACGATAGTGTGGACACGGTAATCGATTTTATTATTTTTTTTCTTTAAAATGGTATTTTTTTTCAGGAGGACAAATTGCTGTGTGTAGAGTACGATAAACAGCGGAAAATGTCTATTTCTGGAGAGGAAGTTTACGTTACGACTCGACAGTCCGAAGTTATGTCGTACGTTTTCAGTTTCAAAATGCAATTATTGATTTTTCCTGTTTCAGTGACAAAGAACTCATTGATACTCTGAACGAAGGCGAAGTAAAAGTTGTGCAGCTGATTTCTCGTGAGGAGGTTAGTGAGAAAAACATTGATGGAAAAAAATATTTTTGTTAGAAAAAAATCATCATCTTTTTTTTATGTTGCACGGAAAGATCGGTTTTTTTCAATTTACTGAATTTCTCGGTTTCCGAGAGAGTTTACGAAAAAAATTCAAGCAAAGATGTGCCGTTCAAGATTTATAAGAATTTCTTCAGTTTAAGGACTTTTTTTGATTGAATTTCAATCTAAAAAGAAAAAAATCATCTTCTGAAAGATGCAAGATATCAGAAAAAAAGAGGATTTATTTGCATCCTGCATTAGCGATTAAATTATGAGATTCTTTAAAAACATTTTCAAAAATTCCATCCACTTTTTTCAGCTCATCCGCCACGTCGAAAGTCCTGACACGAGTTTGAAGTCTCTGATAAAGCTAATCATCGCATTTTTCTACTGCTCGCTCTCTTTTCTGATCACGGCAATTGTCATGGTTTTTGTTCACGATCGAGTTCCAGGTAACGAGACTATTTTCTCCATTTTTTCATTTAAAAATTTGCAGATACAAAAACATACCCACCCCTGCCGGATATCGTTCTTGACAATGTTCCGCACATCCCCTGGGCCTTCGACATGTGTGAAATCATCGGCCTAACGCTGGTTATCATTTGGCTCTTCGTTCTCGCTTTCCACAGAAACAGGTAATTTTTTTTCTTTGAAAACAATAAAATTGAAGCAAGTAAGACCCTAAAAATGCGCAATTTTACAAATTGTGATACATTTTTGAAACCACAACTCTGACTCTGGTAATTTTTAAAATGCCGCTTCGTTCAATTTGTGTGGTCAGATGCACTTGGGATTATTCCAGAAGGCCCCCTCCCCGTATGTAGGAAACACCCCCCACACAGGCCCGTCCGAACTAGCCACCCGTCAGTAGGTGCAATTATTTGTCAAAGGGTCTCGAAACGATTTGAAAGGAGGCCGTTTTTTTGATCAGATTTTTATTATTGATTGCTCGGACGTGGGCTGCGACTCTGGAATTTTTCCCAAAAGATAAAATAATTTCGCACAAATGCAAAATTAGATGCGAAAATCTCCCAACCGATTAAATTTTTTACAGAATGATAATCACCCGAAGACTGTTTTCTCTCCTCGGTACGGCGTTTCTTCTTCGATGCGTCACAATGTTGATTACATCTCTCTCAGTTCCTGGGATCCACCTTCAGTGTACCGCCAGGGTAATTTCCCATCATTCATACTGCAATATCAAAATATTCAGGTCAACACTACCATGAGTGAAAAAATGAGTGAGGCGTTTATGATTTGGTCGCGTCTTGGAATGTCTCTGAGGGTGCGAAAATTGCAGAATATTTAAAATAAGAGGTTTTGAAGGGAGTACGCAGTTGTGGCGATTACATGTTCAGCGGACATACAACTGCCATCACTATCATCAATCATTTCATTACTGAATGTGCGTTTTATTATTCATTTTTCGAGATTTTGAGAACTAAAATGATTGTAGACACTCCGGAGACTTGGGCAGGATTGCACACGACGACTTGGGTTATGAATTGCTTTGCCATTTTCCTGATCCTGGCGGCTCACGAACATTACAGTATCGACGTCTTCATCGGTACAGCTTCTTCTCATTCCACGTATTAAACCTTCAGCTTTCTACATTTCTTCGAGAATGTTCTTGTACTACCACGCCTACGCCTACAATCACGCGAAAATCACTGCGACGGACGGAAGAATGCGAATTTGGTTCCCCCTTGGATGGTTCTTCGAGTACGGAAGCCTTGGAAAGGTAAAGCACTCCTTCCTTTAATTTTCCTATCCGTCTTTTTTCAGGTCCCCAACGAGTTTGAGATGCCAATCAACATACGAATCCCCAAATCGCTGCAAATCTTTTCCTTCGAAGAAGTTTTTGGCACAAAGTTACCGACTGCAGCCAACACCGAGGTCAAAAAAATCATGGACCAGCCGAAGCCGATTAATAAAAAGAACAAGAAGGTCAAAGTCAAATAAACGAAAATATTCTTTCATTGCATGCTCCGAAGCCGCTTATTCATTTTCTCGAAAACCTCTATTTAAGTATTATTTTCCCGGTGTTTTCTCTTATGACCAACGGGTGATCGATACCATTTCATGTTGTGTCCATATTATTGCCTGTCATACAAAGATCTTAGTTCATTAACGCGGTTGCAAAAACGAGTTTTACCCTTCATTGTTTTTTCATTGCCTATTTTCGCTTTTGTGAAATATATTTTATTCTGAACAACTTTCATCGAACACAGGGATCAATTTGAATTGAGGAAAATGATATATAACTCGAAGGAAGATAATTTCGGGTTCTTTACGAAAGACTTTTGCACGAAAGATCAAGGAAAGCAATAGCAACTAAGCCAAAAAAGAAAACTGACAAAAAGCCAATTTGTGGTGTACAGAATATGACACTCAAAAGCAGCTCGCAGCGTTTGAGTCCGAGGAGTTAGTCGAAAACAGTACTGCGAAATATTAGAATAAGGTATTTTGACTGAAGAAAAATTTCAGGAGCAAATAATAAGGAAACCTTGATGAAAACCAGTGGAATAAAAAAAACAGAAGAGGTACTGTTACGATGAAGACAAGAAAGATAGTAACAAGATATAGAAAATACAATAAATTACAAAATGATTAACAAACGGTTTTGTTATTTTCTTTTCTCAGAAGGCTGCGACACCGGAAAAGTAGAAATGTTAGTGATCTAGTTAAGATAGTGGTTATCGAATCGAATTGCACATGGCGATATGATTCATCACTCTTGCAAGCACTGTAAAACCTTTCAATTTGAACAAGACGTTTGTAACTAGATCTGCAAGTAAACAAGTCGGATAAGGTGGATATACTTCTGTGCAACAAATCCCAACAGTGAGTAGCGAAAGCAGTAAGAATCGTGAGAAGAAAGAAGTCAGCCCTGGACGCGTTTGTTTTCCGACTGTCGCTCGACTTTGTGCATCTTGAGGTAGTACTCTATGGTCCTCATGAGGCCTTCGCCGAAAGCCGTCGTGCATTTCCAGCCCATTGCTTTGTGGATTTTCGAAAAGTCTATGTAGTACCGGCGGTCGTGGTACGGACGATCCGGTATTGGCTTGAACTGCGGTGGGCAGGCTTCTCTGAAAAAAATAATCTATACATTTGAAAGTAGTTTTTTAATTCGATCTGATTTTTAATGAAATTTTAATAGGTGGAAATTATCCGACTCATTAGATCGAAAACTTCCTGAAGAGCTTTTTCTAACTTGCAAAGATGATAAACATAGACGCATCCTTGAAACTTTGATTTAAATTGCTGAGTTTCTTTCGTTGTCCTGACTTCAATAAAGAAACTTTCATTTTCCAGACCGCGACGGTTATAACTCAACTTAAAATATCAAACAGGAAATTCTTCCTTTGGAATGTTTCTAGCCTAGCCCGAATCCATCTGCTTTCTCTTTCGTCCTCACATTCAGCACTTTTGATTTTTCGAACTGAGATAAAATCAAATTACAGAGAAACCCGCTCCAGAGGACTAACATAGTTGACTTCAGGAACGAAGAAAACGTTTTTTATTTATTTTTGAAGGAAAAAGAGAGAAAAAAAACAGCTAAATTATTGAGATCTTTCTTTTCGAGAGCCTTTTTGATAGACCGCCATACCTGCACATCAGTTTGTTGACGATGGCATGGATCATTCTCGTGAGCTCAAGGTTGGTGATTTCGAACTCAGTACCAATGTTGTAAACTTGTCCGAGCTCTCCCTCCACAGCCACACGGAGAATAGCCTCCGAGCAATCTTCCACGTACATCCAGCTTCTAAAAAACCTTTTCATTGAATATTCACAAATTTTGACTTGAACCTGGTATGAAGCCCATCTCCCATCAACGGGTAAGGCTTGCCATCGAGAGCGAGCTTCGTGAACTTCGGAATGAGCTTCGTATAAGCCTGACGTGGTCCGTAGACGTTATTCATACGCACCATCACGTATGGCAACTTATACGAATGCTAAAACGATTATGAAAACAAATCATGTTTTCTAATCAACCCAATATGATCTGATAATCATTTCGCATGCAGCTTTACTCGCAGCATATGGATTCGTTGGATTCGGAAGTGAGTTTTCCGTTTTTGGAGTCGAATCCGCAAATGAATCTCCATAAATTTCGTCTGAAGAACTTTTTTTGAATCATAGGAGAAAGAAGGAGAGTCCGACCTGTGCTGATGTGAACTAGACGCTTCACGCCTTTGTAGTTTCTGTTGGCAATGCTCTCGAGTAGAGTCGTTGTGGAAATGATGTTGTCTTGGATTGTGCCAATACGATCAGTGTAAGATTCATCGACATGTGTGATGGCAGCAAAGTGAATTACCATGTCGACCTGAAAGTCAAAGTCCTCTGTGAAAACCCATAGACTGAAAAATGTTTGTCTGTGATAGTCCGAAAGAGTTTCACAGAATTTGCTGTTGACCAAGCTCATAACCCGTATTTGGAAGGAAAACACTCTTTTCGGTAGGGCCTTCTAGAGCTGGAGAAGACTAACCTGGTGCTCCTGAAGACAGCGGTCGAGAACGTCTTGATCTTCCAAACGAGCCTCAACAAAGTGATAGCGGCTTGACTCGCGAACTTCTCGCTCCACATGCAATGGCGATGCTCCGAACGCCAGTTTGTCGAAGTTGATGATTCTAAAAAAAATACTGCAAGTTTTTAACAGCCGAGAATATTCTAACTTGGTTTCTCCCCATCTGCTATATATGTAATTAATGAAGTTTGATCCAATGAAGCCGCATCCACCGGTAATTAAAGCACATTTCGGTTCTCCCCATTTCGAACCCATTCTAGGATCTGTAAACACGAAGAGAACATTGTTTGAGAGCTGAAAACAAATGAAGAGTGCTACGAAATAAAAAGAATGTGCCCAGGGAAAAGAGGGCCACGACTGAAAAAGGCTAGGAATCCCGAAGACACTGGAGAGCGGGCGCTGAAAACCGCCACAGCCACCAGAACTTGTTCGGTGTACTGCAGTTGGCCAGGAAAGCCATCAATGAGCGCAGACCCGATCGAGATTTGGTATGGGAGGAGAGAAGCAAAGGCGACGTGAAGCACGAGACCGGATCCGCATGGCCAACGTCGTCGGCGCAAGGCCCAAGTATGAACAAGTTGCAATCCCGAAATGGAAAGTCGTCAGATTGTTATTTAGTTTGACCAGCGAAAACATTGGAGTCTTTTTAGGAGATCAAGAGCCAAAAAAGGTTAGCGAAAAGACAGAAGTAATGCTCGCTTGCTTCAAGTTTTGCTCGGCGTGCCGCGGCAAAAAAATTATTTTTTTTTCTGGTGATTGGAAAGAGCAAATTTAAAATTTTACAGTTTCTAGGATTCAAGAAGATTACCATCCGAGCTGATGAAAATTCTAAAAATTCCTGAGAAGATGAAGCCTTTGAAAAAAACTTTAAAAAAACAATTTTTTTGTTGATGTTTAAAAAAAGAAAAAAATGAAGTTTGACAACTGAATGAAATAGTTAAGTAGTCGAAACTTGAATAACAAGCTTTTTTCGAAGAAGAATTACGAAAATATTCCACCTGGAATCCTCTCAAAAAAAAAGACTTAGAATGAAAATCAACCAGTTTCCGAAATCGCGGGAAAATATATTTGAAAGTTGTAACCAAGGCAAGGATTTAAATTTTGACTTGAAATTTTTCAATTTTCTGTCTACAGCTCAAAAATCAAAACAAACATTGAATGGGCTCAAAAACAAGGAAACGAATGTGATACTCTATATTTGAAAGAGATATGGCATAACCATTGAATGAAAAAGATAAATTAAGATGAAGCTCAGCAAATAGAATATTCAAGAAAAGTACCCGCGCAGAAATAAGAAAAAAAAAAATCAAATATTCCAATTCAAAAAAGCTGGAACTTGTTGGAAGCAACAAAACGAATAAAAAGAGAGCTCCACCATATTGTAAGCGCAAGATCAGAAACTAATTATAGTGGATAAGCGATCAATAGCGATACGAGACGCGCAGTTAGGATTTCAACGAGGCCACAGGGCATGCGGCGCCAGGCGCCTAGTCACTTTTTCATTACTCCTTTCACCTCCGCCTAACCATTAATATAACAGTTAGTGAAAGTTTGGAGAAAAAAAGAAAAAGTTTAACGACGTTAACAGAGTTTTGCGTTCTCTCGATAAGAAGCGCTATGAAAAAAAAGGCCGAGAAGTCCAAAATACGGGCCGTCAGCCGCGAAAATCCTTTGGCAATATTCGCCGACGCGTAACGTCAATCTCTTCTTCTGCGGGAGGCGTCAAACCGGATTGATCAGTAGCTGGAGATACGCGAAAAGAACCAGGCTAAGTCCGACCTGATTGCGCATTTTCTATACCGGTGACCGGCATCAACATAACAACCATCGAGCAACATCTTGTTTCAGTGGACAGTGAAATAACAAAAGCAGTGAGGTAATAATTTATAAAAAAAAGGTGCAAAGACCACTATAACTGCGGGTGACGCGTCGTGAATTGAATCAGTCGTGAAGCGTCGAGCGGCAAATCCATCGGCAGACGATAACGAGATCTGAGGACGGCGGCTATCACTAAAGCAGGCTTCCGCCTATTCCTGCAAGGGATCACCGACAAAATTCGCAAAGACCACTCTTATATAATTTTATCGAACCACGAGACCCTCGCAATCAGTGTAAGCGACGCTTCATATCGATTTCAATCACGAGTAAACCATCATGAATGGATTTACTAGAGCCTTTTGTCACTTTCTTCAGATTCATTTTGACAATTCTTTTGGTTAGAAAAAGTCTATTAAGTGATGAAAAAAGACAAAGTGGACAAAAAATTTGAAAATGCCAATTATGCCGAACTTAGATTTTTTCGTAAAGACGTCATTTGTATACCCTTGCCACAACGAATTTCACTCGGAATTTTCTGCGCTTTTTTTTCTATTTTCATACTTCAATAACTTTGCCAATAGGAGAGGAAATACACAAATAGCTCTCAAGTCGTGGTAAACAAACTATTTTCTTTACTCAATAATTTTCGAAAATTTTCTTCAAAAAACTGATGAAATCCTAATTCAAACGTGAGCAAACGAAACAAAAATATTCATTATATATTCTGGAAAATATCAGAAGCAATTTATTTTAGATTGTAAAAAAATCAATGACATTTGAGGGAATTTTTGACAATTGAGGTAACGGGGAACGCAGGTCCATGTCCTGGGACGATCCAATCGGAAATGCACCCGAACTTGCGACGAGCTTCTTTTTGCGCTGCGACGTCGCTGGACAGCGGTTGCCACATCATCGGATGATCCAAGTCTTCTGACCGCATGAAAATGTCCCCTCAAACCGGTTTTATTGTTTGCCACTGGCTTTTTTGGCAACCAGAAACGAAGACAGTTCCCAGAGTAGGCTCATTCCGCACGATCACCGCAACATCTTCAGAGGTGTGGCCTCGCACTTTCACTAAGGACACGTTTTCCGTCAAGTTCAAATATTCGTTCTTCAAATTTTGCAATGAATATTTTTCCGGTTTTTTGAAATGAGACCTCGAACAGTGCGGTGAGGTTGAAGCGCGTTCTGTGATGGGAGAACCAACTGTGGTAATGAACGGCGTCTGGGAAGTCGTGAACTCCGCCCGCGTGGTCGGGATGGCCATGAGTTGTGACAACTACGTTGATGGAAGGAGGAGACAAGTCGAAAGCTTTCAAACCGGAAAAAATTTTTTATTATTACCATACTGTAATCCTCCTGTTTCTTTTCAGTGGCGCCCACCACAAGGGTCAATCTTGATTGAAACTAACTTTCTAATAGGGCGGTCCGAGCGTTGATGTTTGTTCCAAGACCGGTGTCTACGAGAATGTTGACGTCACGATCGCGAATTAGCGTTACGGAAGCGATAAAGATGTATTCTCCTGTGTTGATTTGCTCAGCCGATCCCTGATAATCTGATTTTTCCTTTTTGTTTTCCGGTTATTCCTTACATTCCTCAAAATATGAACTCGTGGGGAGTCGTTTTTAGAAGCCTCTTCGATCTTTTTCATTATTTTTGAGAGTTCAGCGCTCAGCTCTTCCATTCTTTTTTCGTAGAGTTCTCGGGTCCCCGCAGAAGTTTCTTAATCACTGTTTCAATACTTCGAACTTGTGTTAAGTTTAAAAACGCCTTTTTTGGGATGACTTCAGATGACTTCAGATTTTTAAAAATCATCCGTACACTTTTCGATAAACCAGAGAAGGTTCCTGAAAGGCTCAAAGAGGTCAGCTTTTCAACATTCAAGGGCCGTCTCTTTGAAGTAAAAAAAAAAATCTAAAGTAAGTAAATCAAGTTGAAGTCTTTCCGAAAGCTTAGAAAATAAAGGATTGAAGTGGAATATCAAAAAAAAATTCTGATCAGTTTTCAAACAGTTAGACTTTATTTTTTTTCTGACATTCAGCTGTTTAAAGTTTGAATCTGAACGCCTAGAATGACGCGGATTTTCAGAAGAATCCTGTCAGAATTCCTGGAACGCCGAGCAATGTGACACGCGTCAGCCTGCCCAAATATTCGACGCCATCAGGAACGAGTGGGAAAGGGTCTCGACTACCGTCTCTCCGACGTAAGAAGCCTGTCTAGTTGTACACATCCCACTGCCTCTTTCTCTCCTTTCCGAACATCTTGTCCAATTGTCTAGAGAAGCGGATACTGGGTTCGGAGGGGAAAAGAGAATTCAGAGATGGATGGCCGCCGCCGCCGTCAAGCGGTCGGCGCGAGAGACGCGCGTGTCTGCACAAATCTGCCGGTACCGGCAGAGAATGTTGTTCTTTCTGGCAAACGGCACTCACCGGCGGTTTTAGGAGGAGTGAATCGCTGCATAGGCTTCCAGAGCTTCGCTTCGTTCTGAGAAATTTCAAATCGTTCCTCAATAAGAAAGGAGCTCACATTGGCTGGAAATTCAGACCTCGGCGATAGTTCATCTTCTGGTGGTGCAGTTATTATTGCATTTGGTAGTGGCTCTGCTGAAGTTAGGTATTTTTTGTTATTCTGGTGAGCATTGTTTTTATGAAGAAAATTCCTAAAATTGCCTCACTTCTGGAGCGAATAGGTTTCACAGACGGAAGCCGAACTTCTTTGGGACGTGTCCGAGGCTTGCTTGTCCTTCTATCTATGAACATCTGAATCAAAATATGAATTTCAAAAAATAAAGAAACTTGCCTGTATGACACTTGCAAGTTGTTTGTAATCATCAACAGAAGGCCTGGGAGCATTTGACTTCGGCTTCGGTGTTAGCAATCTTGGCTCAGGCTGCACTTTCTGCGGAATTCATCAAATGAAATATTATTAGTTTTAAAAAACCATCATCATCCCGCCTTGAGGGACAAGCATGGGATTTGTGAGGTCGAGCAAAGACTCCATACCGTCGTCGCTGACGTCAAGAGGAATTCTTTCTAGAATTGGTCTTCCCTTCCCACGGACGAAATCTCGGAGTACACGAAGCTCCCAGTCATCCAGTTGTTGTACTGATTCGCGTGACAATACTGAAACGAGTGGAACACTTTCTTCTATGAAAACAGGCTTCTTGTGCGCCGTGGCATTCAGAAGCATCGGTAAATTCTTGGATTCATCAAAAAAAAAAAAAAATCAAAAAAATTTTTTTGATTGATTTTGAAAGAGGTCAAACTTGAGTTGAGAGTTTTTTTTTGATCATAACGTCGCTTACTTTAAAACTAAAAAAACCTTACAGATGGTTGAGGATGTGAAAATGTCTTATCGTTTGAGTTTAAGAAAAAGTTTGTCGGAACAATTAAACTCAGTTAACACCTCAGTGATGAAAAATCAACAAATGTAAGCTTTTACTAGCGTTTCATTAGCTAAAGAAAAAAAGAGTTCAAAAACAACTTACTGTAATCATCTTGACACGCAACAGTACAAATAAGGAATATCAGAATTACTATCGGCATTTCATGATACGAAAACAAGAATCTCGGGCATAACTTTCCGATTCAGTCGAAACGGAGGGATGAGGATATAAGAAGGACGCAACGGTGTGCCTGACCCACATACTCGGAGAGTGCGGAAGACGATTTTCCAAACTTCCTCATTTTGTCTGAATCTTTGAGTTCGAGATTCCTTTGATGATGAAAAAACGGGGTGATGGTTTTATTGGAATCAATAATAGTTATAAAATACATGGGTAATTATGAAGAAGAAAGTGCTGGAAAAAGATAGACAATGGATATATATAAAGACAGTGAAAATGTAAACTCAAGAGGACACGAAAAAAATACTACGAAAAGGGATGACCTTGCTAGCTCCGGAAGTAACTATGAACATATGCGATTCGAAAAAAATAATGAATATTTGAATTTATGATAAATAAAACTGAACGGAAAAACATATGAGAATCAGAAAAAAATGAGAACATTGGAGATGAGAAAAATGGTTTTTTTGAAGGAAAAAAACAGATTTTTTTACAAAAAAATTTCAAAAACCTTTAAAGATTACGATAAACTTTCACATTCAATTCGGTTCAAGTTGTCAAAAAAAAGCGCTTCTTAAAATAAAAATGTTCATCAACTGTAGAAGATTCCGGAGTCCACTTCAATTCAAGTTAGCTGAGTATTATTGAGGTTGCCCTGCAGGACGATGTCACAAGCCGTCGTGAAGACATACTCGACGTTGTTCTTTTCGATGGCCACTGTGAAATGAGTGTAGAGAAGCATTGGGTTAGAGTACTCCTAAAAAAAAACCGTTTTTTAAACAAAAAATTGGCGGTTTACCTTTCGGAACATGCTTTCGATGTATTCAGAGGCAGATTCGTAGTCGTTGTTACCTGAAAAAATTTTCAAAGTTCTTTTTCTTCAAGCTGCTATGCTTAACTAATGAGAAACAAGTGTTTACGTCTAGGCAAAGTCGGGAGGAATTTTTAGGGCCCTTTTAGGGTTAGTTATGGGTTCCAAAGATTTTTTTTTTCTCTGCCGGGTGGCAATTTTTACTGTCTTTTCTTGTTTTTTCATCGGCCTTCATCGACCCTTTTTGGACCCCTTTAAGAAACAAAAAAATTTTCAGGTTCAAAAAGGGTCCCAAAGCGGAACCCTTTTTCCCCCATTTTCCGCACTTCTGGCTTTGGCAGTGTATCATCTTTGAAAAATTAAAAGCCAAAAGACGAAACTGTTTTTCAATACACTGTCGTATTTAAAACTTATTTTCAGATAGCTTTTGTAGTCCAAAACTCATGACAAAATGCTATAAAATGTGTTTTCAAGCTTCTTCTCAAGCTTGTAGAAGATCTCTAACTAAAACTCCAATTATAGTCTTACTAACTCGAGAACCAACCCGCGTAGGACCGGAAATGATCCGCAAGCCGTACGTTCTTCAGCTTCTCGCGGAACACGTCGCACTTGTTGAGAAAGAGCAAAAAAGCGGATTTATGAAGGAAGTTGTTGCGTTGGATGGAGACGAAAAGCTCGAGGCTTTCATCCATTCTGTTTTGCATCATTTGGAGAGTTTCGGCACGGCTGAATTTGTGGGGATTGTCGATAGGAACCGGCAGAGAGTTTCTGTGTTCGGTGCTCCTCGAAGCCTCCCGCACAAGCATCGCAGAGCTCTTTTTCGGCGGCATTCCAACATCCCACTAAAAAGATCTTTTGAAACAGGTGAACCTTGAAAAATCGAAGGTATGGTTGATAGGAGTGACCAAGTTATTCTTTATTCTTTGATTTCTGTGTCAATTCTCAGAAGTCATCAAAATGTGTTCATTCGTGCTTTATTTCTAATAAGCTGGTCCAAGATTTTCGTGGTTTATTCCTCATGCTTAAAAAAAAGGTGGAAAACTTTCCATTACTCATTTTTATGCGCTCGCTTTGCAGCCATAAATATCTCGATAGACATCCATATGAGTCACTATCCGACCGTCTCTTTTCGAGCGTGAAATAGGAAGAAAATTAAAGATATTTTCCATTCCCTGTCTGGTTTTTGACGCAAAAAGTTGTTATGAACGCTATTCCATAAAGGTTAAATAACAATTTTCGTAAAAACTCACTGAAGCGAAACTCATAATTAAAAGATTAAGTCGGTTGCCTAGGGATATAAAAAAAAGACTAGTGGAATACTTTCTGATCAACCAAAAAAGCCAGGGCAACCATCAAACGCCAAACCAACAGTTCTTATGTACTGAGAAAGGGCATGACATTTATCTGGGAAATGTTTCCCTCTGAAAACGCCTACAGTAAGCCTGGGTCTTCCTTACGTGACACTATAGATTCCACAATCTGAGCGGGAAACCAACCCCTGTAGGAGGTTTTATCTCTTCTTCGAAGTACTGATCAAAGCACGCCAGAGAAACGACGAACATGACGGCCGTGACGCCTTCAAAGAAGTGAATCCACTTCCTGCGTTCGGTTTTCTGGCCACCCACGTCGATCAGTCTGAAGCATTCACTGCATACCTATAATACACGATTTTCTCACCTAATCGTGTACTTTTTGTAATCGAACGAAATCTCATGAACTCCCAGAGATGCGACTCTCATGTTGATGACGTCTAGGTTAGTGGGCATGTAATTGGGAAGAAGAATCCTTGGTAGTTCGGGAAAGAAGCTGAAATGGTTTATTTGAACTCTGTCGGGGAAGATTTACAGAAACTAACTAGTGGATATTGTCTGGAACTCCAGGATGGGTTTTGTAAACGCGGAAGAATTCCTTCATGCAAGAGTAGAACCTAGCAAAGATTTAACTTTTCATTTAAAAGTTTTCTCAAACCGGACAGTGTTGAGAACGTTAAGCTCTTCAGTTTCCGGCATGAGCTCGATTTTCGCAGAGCTGTACGCAAAAAGCTCAATCACAGCCTGTTGAAAAATACTGTTTTTTGAACTTATATCTGGTCTTACTCTCTCCCCATCAGGTATTTCCGCGTTAGTCGAAAGCAGAATGATGGATATAGCCTTGAAAGCTTCCACAATGTTAAGTCTGATTTGAAAGATCGCATTGATCATCTCCGTATCATTGAAGCCGTCTTGGTAGAGGATTCTGAGAATGAATAGGAATAAAATTCTGTTTTCCAATTGCAAACAACCTCAATTGTTTCACGATTGTGCTTTTACCAGCATCAGAAGCTCCTAAATCAATAACTTGTCTCGCAAATTGAAAATTTCAAAAAATATACCGAGCACGAGTATTTTGACTTTTTTCTGGAGCTCTTCTCCAGCTTGTCTGAGTTCGAGGTCGATTCGCTTCGAGTTGTTCTGAGCCCCGTCAGGCTTACACAGCCGTATCCCCATTTGCGCTTGAAAAAATATTCAGAAATTATTTTTAATAGCTGAATTATGAAACAAAGACGCAAAACTTCTTGCGAAAGATTGTACTAGGAAATTAAAAAAGCTCAAAAAGACAGCTTTCAAACAAACGCTCGGATTCTGATTAGTAGAAGTTTCAATTAGAGGAAAAACTATTGTACGGTGAGTTATTCAATTACCAATTATGAATCTGATTGGCTGAAGCTTTTAATCATTGCCTGACGCAAAAAATAAGTTTTTTTTTAGCTTTGGTTTTTGTACTATGACTTTCTCAGTTTCAAGCTAATGAACTTAAATTAATCAAAAACATTTCCAATGCTCTACCTTCAGGGTCTGCACATAGAAATTAATAAAGTTTTTTCCTCCAACTACGCTTTGAGAACTCAAAGTTATTACGCAATCTTTAAAGGAAGAAGGTTGAGCGAAGTTTGATTACTGAACAGAAAACGAGAGGAGAACACAGCTGCAGCACTGTGAAACAAAACGTTTGGGAGCTGTTAGAAATGAAGATTTGTAGGTGTCGGAGTACAAATTTCCTTCATCTTTTTTTATTCGGAGAGATAGAGAGATTCAGTGATACATCAATATTTTCTGCAGTCCTGGGCGAGAATTTTGAGATGCGGGAAAAATTATAGATTCGTAAGTAAGTTATTTTATGCCCCGATAAAATATTTCACCGTCTAAAAATATGAGAATTGTTTTATTGTGCTACTGACGGTCTCTACAAGGCCATTTTACTTTGTGTTCGGGAATCCGCTGAAAACTTCAAAGAACATCTCGTGAAGTACGAATTTGAGGTTCTGAAAGTTTCGACTTGCACAACTTCCTAGTTTTCAAGGAATAAGGGCTCAAATCTTCAAAAATGGCTCTTTTGAAGGTTAAAGTCGACTTAGAGGTCTACTCCCTGAAATACTAGGAAGTTATGCAGGTTGAGACTTTCAGAATCCATTTTTGATATTCCAAAGAATGTTTTGACCAATTTACAGCCACAAAGTAAAATGACCATCCTTGTTAGAAGAGAAAGAATTCGAATATGAAAAAAGAAGAGTAAGAGCTGTTTGCCCAAAGGAAGAAATCGCGAATAATGATAACAGATTTCTGCTCAGGTTCCCCCTAAACGACCGCCCCTACGTCGAATTACTTGAGAACGCGGCTTGCAGGACGACCTTTTTATGAGGAACTAATTGAAGGAAAATTGTAGCTGAACTAGACAAAGCCTTTGTCCTTTTCCTTGAGGAACATTTTTTGTTTCGCTTGCTCTGTTTTTCGAACTGATACAGCTACAATTTAGCTTTTTTTGATTTTTTCGGGTATTCAAACGATATCTCACATTTAAATATTTATTCTCCAGAAAACCATTCACAACAAAGCTTAAAAGCCACCGGTAAAACACCGCTGTGTAAAGAAGAGGGGATCACGGTATCTCTAAAAAGCAGATTGAAACTTTCCGATGATATGAAGTGATTTGAAATGACTCAAGCAAGAAGATAATGCCCGCTCACAAAGTTGATTTCCTACGGTTTCCGTACGTTTTTTTTGAATCTGTAATAAAAAAAGAATTTTATCATAAATGACAGACAGTTCAAAGCCAAATCGTCGAATCTGCCGTCTGCACATTTCCAATTTTCAAACTTTTACGTGCTCAAATTTTTTCCAGCAGGAAACCCGGAAATTTCCCTACGAAGTACAAGCTAAATCTCAGAAACTTTCGAAAGCACCCAAAAAAGTAAATAGAGAAGAAGTTTATCATGCCTTTGTGAATGAGGAAAAAAATTATGCAGTCATTTGAGCACTTTCTCCGGATCTACATAACAGTAATGAATACCGATACTGATAATCACTCGGAAAGAAAAGGAAGGCGAATGACTAAAATGTCTAGAGGACTTTAATAAAGACTACAAAACGCTGAGAAAAGGACCGACAAGGAAAGAAAGGAATCGTCATGTTAGAACCCTTAAAGAATGATGGGAAATCAAAGGAGAACAGATTTGTGACAGAGCCCATCCCCGTAAAGAATGCGAAATGTAGCAGAAAACAAGCCTATTTCAACATCAATAATCTTAGAAATTGCGAAGTGAGAATAGTACTTTTGCATAGAAGCAACCGGAAAAAGGGTACAGTAAGAAAGAAAAGGAAACTCGATGGGAAATCATGGAGAAAGACACGTGTTCGTTGTTCATCACCGTTGGAGAGACACCACGAAAAATGAGAGAGGGCAAGCGAATGGCTAAATAATTTGGCAGAAAGAACTTATATATATATGAGTCCTAACAATCACTGGACCAAAGGCTTGGTAGCTGGTTTCCCGATGTAATCTTTTTCAACAAGTCCAACAGCTTCCGGGTTGTCGATCTGAAACAGAAAAATCAGCTACCTGTAGTTTTGGACTTCTTACTTGCTGAAGTTGAACATCGTTTCCGAACGGGTCGTCGTAAAGAGAAGAACCGTAGATACACAAGACGAAGATCAGGATACCCATAGCAACTCCCTGAGTTCACAGTTGAGGTTAAGTCAATAAATTCAGAAGTAACCTGTCCAAGTAAGGAGAAGAGCATGAAAAGGTGCGCAAGCAACTTGTTTGAGTAGACCAAACAGCTTCCAGTCTACAGAAGGCATTTTATAAGAACAAAAATATTTTTGTATTAAACCTGTCCATCTTGCCCACAAGAGCTCGACTGATAGCGAATGCAAGAAACGTCGAACATCCAGCCGAAAAGTACGGGAGCTGGAATTGTTCCGATCACACGAATCAGAATCCACTGGATTCCCAGAGCAAAAGACCTTTCATTGTAGTCGACGGTTCTGAAAAAATTCTGGTTTAGAAAAATTCTGCATAGGTATAACCTTGAGCAGCTAACTGCGAAAATTTCCCAAAAAATTTTTATTGTTGTCTTGTTAAAAAATAAGTTTTTAGAAAGCCTTGAAACAGGTTGAAAAGTCAAACACTCCTTTGCTCTTCAGACGCTCTCCCTAGCTTTTTTGTTTCTATACCCAATTTCCGCAGGAAGCATTTGGTCGAGTACAAACCTCAAAATTACAGAGATGACAGGGACGGCGACGGCGAAAGTGCAGAAGGACAAAGGAGCGAAAAGGATCAAAAATCCTAGAAGTCCAGTGCACTTGGACTCGCATTGGCCGCTGCGAACCCTGCGCGGTTTTCCACGTGTGTTTTTCGGAACGCAGCCGCACTCCGTGTATTCCTGAAAATCTTTGTTCCATGAAATATTTAGACAGTTTGGAGTTCATGAATAATTTACTGAAAACATTTTTATTTTCGATGTTATTCTATTGATTTTCTCCTTGAGAAAAATAGCCAACCTTTCTAGTTGGAGAATACGGTTCGGCACAGGCAGCGAAACAAGGCGAGTAGTACGTTATTTGAGTTCCATCGTCCAGTTCGGCACAAACAGGCCTATAACTTCCTCAACTTCAACATATTCCTGTCCATTCTCACCTGTATTCTCCTTCGTCACAAGTGCAATGGGCGTTGCAAGAAGAGATCAAAGTTGGTTCAGCCAAGACGCTGGATTCATTGTAGCTGTTTTTCTCGTTTCTGAAAGCTTTTCTAGAAAAATGTTCGAGTACTAGATTTGAAAAGTTTTGCTCTTCAAAGCTGAATTTGTCGACGAAAATAGTCTGATATGAAAATTTATTTTTTCAAAACTTATTTTTTCGTCTTTAAAATATTCCGCTTCGGAGCCTTTGATTGATGTTTCACATGGTTAGGAGCTTCAACTCACCCAACAGGATATTCGCTGTCGACTCCGATCAACGAGTCATGTGGGCAGTAGATCATATACATTGGCGTGAGCAGCAGCGAAAGAACCAGGAGCCCAATTGCAAAGCGCAACATCTTCACGCAGTTCAGCTTGAACTTGTTAACCACGTAGCCAGCAAACATGCATCCGCAACCCGCCATGGGAACCATCACGCAACCTGGAAATTATCGACAAGGTTCTTCTATGATTTTGGGGTGGGATCGACGGTTTTATATTCTCCATAGTCTTGTAGCCTTGCAAGACCCCTTCCGTTTCGGATATTTTTCTTCAAAGTTGCAGCCTAATCAACCTGTCGTTTAGAATGAAAACTTGAAGTTCTCATAAAAATTGTAGACTAACCAATCAACATATTAGCCTTGCTTGAAGCTACGCTGAACTGTCTTTCCAAGTACTTCGACATGAACGAAGAAGCTCCAGTGACCGCGAGACCTAACAAATATCAATTTACTTCCCAAGTGATTCCACGGATCTTACTGTCGACCGCCATTGCGAAAGTGATAATCATGAAAAGTCCGTTTGTCAGGATACGATAGATTGCGATGGGAATGTGTCGAACATCCAGCCAGATCTTGTACCAAAGAGGACCTCTTCCCCGAGCCGGAATCGAAGAATACAAAAGCGAAGCTTGTTCTTGGACTGTAAAGAAGGAAGATTGTTATGATACATGAGTTCGTTAATACCTGGAAAAGGAGGGTCGTTGTGAAGAGCTGCAGTTTTGTTGGATCCAGGGATTCCGCAACACTCAGGGGTTCTTTTTCGGTTTGACATTGCTGCATCACGAAGGCGAGTTCTACAAGAAAGAATTGTGAATTTATTGCTAAATTTTTATTTTTTTTACAGAGGATTCTCGAAAGAAAGAGGTATCACTTGTAAAACCAAACTGGAAATTCATTTTTCTTGCAAAAATCATAGAAGGGCGGGGGAGCATAAAGGTCTTCAAAAAAAGCATCATTAAATCTTCTAAAAAAACTCAAAAAAATTCAGGATCAAACAAAAAAAATTTCACGCCACAGTAATCTTATAGCTTGTCTATGCTCCGTTGAAGATTTCAAAAAGCTTTGGGTAAAATTCGAATGCCTTTCTGAGATGCAAAAAAGATTTGAGCCATTTCAAATGCTACCAAATAAATGATATTTTCTGTTATCAGAATTTTCCTCTCACCTATGCCATTTCAATGACTCTGGAAGGACTTTAGGAAGGCAGAGAAGAGGAAAAACGGCAAGTGCGGCGATGAACGACGCGGCGATGAAGCCCAGCCACCACGCTCCAACCCACGAAGGATCGGTTTCTCCAGAACTCACCCTGAAACGATTTTCTTGATGAAAGCTTCTCATTTTTTTTTCGAACTTCAAGATTTGTTCAGGTGGAAGATGCCAGAAGTCTGTGTGGTAACGCAACAATGTCCCCGCAGTGAGAAACCCGAGAGCTGGTCCAAAGACCGCAAACGAGTAAAAAATTCCTGGATTTATTTTTTATCTCAATTTTTCCGGTTTCTACGTACCAACAAAAAATGAAGACAACGCTGGACTGACGTTCTCATCAATGTAGGAGACACCGATGGTGAAGATGGGAGTAGCACCAACTCCGTGAAGGAAATGGGCCAAGCAGAACAGGAACATGTACTTCATTGGGGCTGGCTGCAAAATTTTCGTCAGAATAGGCTATTAAAGTTTCTTAATCTTTATTTTGCTAACGATTCAGTGCCGTTGAACATTTTTCACACTCAAGTCTTTCATATTCCAAATTTCAAGATCTCAACTTTCAGTTAAAAGTTTATCTTGCACATTTTTTGATTCCAGAAAAAGTTCCCCACAGCAAAATTTTTTCTTTTCCCAAAAACTATTTTCCTTTTTTCTCTGGGAATCGATTTCCCAACTTTTTCCTTTTCAATAATCTTTGATATACATTCTTTAAATTATTGAAAAAAAGCTAAAATAAAAATTTCTCCCCAACTTTTTATACATCCTACGAATTTGAAAACTTTTGCGATTTCCCTCATTTTCAACGAAATATTCGAAAAAAATCAGCTTTCATTAAGTTAATCGAGATTTCTTCCCTTTTATTACTTCCGACAAAGTGCAAGTTTTTTAGATCTTCAAAAAGTTTTCCAATTTTCTATATTACTGGCAGAAATGAAAATGGGCTCTGTAGAGCGTGAAATCGCGACGTACTTGGTGCTGCTGCTCCACTTTGCAAGATGAGCTCGTCATGGCCTCAGAGATGAAGCCGACGTCCGATTCGTTGTTGAGCACTGAAATGCGATTTCGTGTGTCTTGTGCGTTCAATTAGTAGCCGACTTGAGATGTTTCTCTAGTTTTTGCACTTCAAGAGAGCAAAGAATCACGAAAGTTGCTTGAAAAAGAATTAGAACCTTGAATCATCAATAATGTTGATTCATAATTTGCATAGCGAAACGGTGAGTAGTCACTATTCTTTTTTTTTCTTCATGACGCATCGTCAACCACTATTATATAAACATTCAGACATTTGCGATACAAACACTTTGCATCGAATTCTGAATTTCTTACGCGTTGGGAAAAGTCATTGCGGAATTGGAAAAGGGTCAAATGTGGCCATTTAACGACTAAAGATATTCAGAAGTTTCATGTACACAGTTTATAAGAAGACGTCGAAGTTTAAATAGCCCGAATAACAGTAATTCCTAAGATAGAAGCTCTTCGAGTTCAGCTACTTCTAGTGCTACTTTCTAGCGTCAAAATTAAAAAAACTCACTATTAGCGATAGAGCAAGTTCCGAACGAAGTATTGGACTGCGATGCTGAATAACTGTCGGACAGCATGTGAGGCATCGAGAAGAGCAACGATCCAAAGGCCATCAGCGCAAGTCCCGCAGCCAGAACTGCTGGTTTGCTGTGTCGACCTCCGAAGTAGGACACCGGGATGCAGAAGAGTACGTATCCGAAGTCGTAGAACTGAATTTTCGACTTCTTGAAAATCCAGAAGTTTCAATAACAAGTACCTGGACAATCCGACCCATAGAGCTTGTACTAAACTTGAACCTCCGTTCGATAGAGGAGATTGAAGACGGCACAAGTCCATTGACAATCAAACCCTGAAAACGAGGACATTCAAAAATCAGAATTATCAAAATTACCTGTACTGTACAGTACCAGCAAAGCAGAATGAGCATCCACCCACGAGTTGCAAGAAATTGAAGCCATTTCGGCCTGAAATACACAGAAAAGTAAGATTTTTCAACAGATTTCTGTTACCTCCATTTTCCTATCCCACAAAGGGACTCCTCAATAAGGACTGTCATTTCGCGCTCAATGATTTCGTGATGTTGAACCTGTAATATTCAAATTTTTAATCAAAATGCGTAGGCAAACAAAAAAAAAATCGAAAATTGAGAGCCTAGAAACTTTTAGAAGGACTATCAAAGAATGATTCATATTTCGAATAAAACACAATAAACAAGAAAAACATCAAAATATATTTCCTAATCGTCGTTTTTGATCAACGGGATCTGCATATGGAATGACTCAGAGGGCTGCGATACTTTTGTGTTCGGATTCAAGATTTTCGGAAAATTGTAAAAAGTTTTCACACTTTCTTGTAGAGGAAAAACGCCATGCAGCACGTTTAAGTATTTCAAGTTCGACAGAAGTTTTTTAAACTGAAGTTCCTTTAATTATACAAAAAAAGATGATATATAAAGAGCAACCTAAGATTTTTTATTTCTATGAATGGCGAAGGAAACAGTGAAACCGAACAAACTTGTATCAAGGCTCAAAAAAGCTTTTTTCCAAAAGTTCTGAATCATCTCAATTGTGCGAAAAAGATCTTAAACCATCAAAAACCCCCATCCCCCAAAAAATAAGACAAATTTTTTAGTTCGAAAAAGTTTTGATGCGGAAAAGTTAAGCGGATGGGTTTTCAAGTAAGCTCGCGGAACTTGTCGCTCTCGGGAAAATAACGGCAACAGCTGGACTCGGAAAAAACTCTGCCGATCGCAAGAGAACCACAACACAGCAACGAAATCTCAGAGAGTGCGATCTACGCCCACGACAATCTCCTCCAGCTCTTTGACCCGAAACGAAGCCGCACTTGGAGGCTCAAAAGCTGGAGCAAAAAGAAGGAGCCGGGAGGTCTGAAGGAAGACGAAAGGAAAATGAGATGAGACGTTTTGCATAATATTGCAGGTGTGGATTCTTAGACATGTCTTTTTTCCGGAAAGTGCGCCTTGTCAAAAAAAAAAACGTTGGTTGACTCACCGGCAGTTGAGTTTCCTTGTGCCTTCTCGGTGGTCGCTCCGTTCTTCTGGGAGGGACGCCTTGCGAGGCCTGTCGCGAATGACTCCTAAACGCCACGTTTCAATGTTATCACAACACCAATCCATGAAAAAACTGATTTTTTTTTTCCGAAGATTTTCTGAAATTTGTGACTTGAGGTCGTTTCACTACACCAAATGGAATTATTAGAAAAATTACAAGTATGAGCAATTTTTATCACTTTACATCGATAAAACTGAAAAAAGACGTTTTCGAGTGGAAAATAAATCTTCTTGACACGATTCGGCACCGAAGACCCCACAAAACTATTAAAAATGGGAATGTGAAAGAAGAAATGCAAAATTCTTTTTTCAGCAAGAGAAAAAGAGCGAGAGAGACAGAGAAATGGGAATAAAAAAATATTTAGAAAAAAATTAAATTCTTAGTTTGAAGCGAAGGCCTTTTTTTCTAGTTTTTTTAGAATACCAAAAAAATAGCCAATGAACTTAGGGCTCCACTGCGTCGAAAAAAACTTTGAAACTCCATTTTTTTCTGATCGCTTTAATATTTTCTTTAGTTCTGATTTCATATGGGATCGTTAAAGCCCGTTATAAATTTAAATTTGCCGAACTGAGATTATGGCCTACTGAATAAAAGGTTGCCAAATTTACTTTTTGAACAAAAATTCATGAAATAATCATTTCTACCTTGATTTTGTTCTGGTCCTTTTTTTCTGCAAATCATGAGGAGAAATTAAATAATTCTAAGATATTTGTAAAAATGTTCTGTTTTCTACTAAATTTTTCCTTCTGGATAGTTTTGCTCTAAACGAAACAGTTTGTGACGCAATAAAAGAAGCTTCTGAACGCCTCGAAAGCAGAAAGACGAAAAGCGTCGCATGCGAGCCACAAGGGAGTTACATCAAAAAAGTTCCGAGAAAGAAATCGTTATTAAATTTTGGACTGGTCTTGGGCTTTGGACTCGCTCAAAAACCAAACGAAATCCGAAAAGAAAAGACGTTTGCAAAAGTCAAGAAGCCAACTCTTGCTGGTTTATATACCCTGTAGAATCTGATTAGGTGAGTCAAAGCTTTCAGTCCTTTCTGTGAAAATTCGATTAAGTCTATTCAAACTATATGAGTCAGAAATACAACGATTCCATACATTATGGATCCATCAGAAACATTATTTTTAATCTATTTACGATTTTTTTTCGTATCAGAAAGCAAGGAAAAATGTCAGAACAGTCCGATTTCTTGAACTGTTTTGGAACTATTTTCCTTATTCCTTTCCTTTAGAATATTTCTTGTTAGACCCTCAAAGAAATTCATGAAGTTCTTCATCTGAGCTTGACATATAAATCTGTAGAAGGCGTGCGGTGGAGAAGCGGTTATATTCTTACTAATTGCGATTTTGCAGCTTCTAGGCTTCAGTACCGTCAGAAAAGATACTAAAAAACGCGACTTTGGCTACAAGTTTCTTGTAAAGAATTTGATCTTCCTAAAAGTTTCTGAAGTCGCGTTTTTTTTCTGTCGATTTCAACGTCATGAAACTTTTGAAAATCACAGTCATCAAAATTTCAGAAAGTTTCAGGAAGATTGAATTCCTTACAAGAAAGTTGTGACCGTAACCCCGTTTTTCGTGTCTTTTCTGACGATTCTGTATTGCAGTATTCTTGATTTTCTCTTCATTTGTTTCGAATTTTTCCAAACTCTGAAAACCTTCCCAATTTTTCGAGGTTTCCACTTTTTTGAGAAGGTTTCATAACGAGAATGCTACGCCACCGCACTCGGCGAAAACCCCAAAAAATCATGAATTTAACCATTTTCCATTCACTATATTAGCATAAGATTTTGTATACTGTACAAAAAGGGCTTTTCAGAACGGACCATTTGAAACGAGCCGCTTGCGCAGAATCCGTCGAGCAAAGGTCGCCGGGACACGAGCGCGTTTCTGCGTCTTCCGCCGTAGGATCTGTACTTTCTGATGTGGCCATTCTCACCACATGCCTGAAAAAAACGCTGGTCAGTTATTATTGTTCGTAGAGGCAGAAACTACGAGGACGAACAAATGGATCGACAAGGTTAAACAGAATTTCTACATATTGTATATGTTTTGAGACAAATTTGATTGAAGATTTATAAATCACATTTGATTCTCGTGAGCAAAAAAAAAATCAACCATAAATACAATGAAATAAATTTTTTAATTCTAAATTTCGAAAAAAATGAATGAGGAACTGGAAAGAAAAAATATTATAGTTCAACGATTTTTACGCAGATAAAATCATTTAGCATCAAAATTTGTTGAATTCAAAATGATCTCTTTCAAAGTCCAATCAGAAAAAAATTTATGGAATTTTTATTCCGTGCTAAGAAATAAGTATGAATAATTCAATTTGAGGTTTTGTCAGCCCATCATTGCAAGGCGAAGGAAGCGAATGAGAGACGCGTAGCGTGCGCGTACGCGGTTCTTGGCGCGTGTTCCATTCAAACGCTACCGATCATTTGAAAAGCTTTTTCATTGCCTTTTTTGTGTCTATTCGACTAATTTTCGAAGCACACATTAAAAAAAGAAATAATTAAATAATTAAAAAAATAGATAAAAAAAGAGCGATAAACAAGCTTTCCAAATAATCGCTGTCGGTTGAATTGAACTCGTGCTGAGAACCGCGAACGCACACGCTACGCGTCCTGCCCCTTGCCTTTCAAGTCGGGATGGATTGACTATAATATATAAGCCAAAAATGCTTAGTAAAAAAGCAGTTTCGAAGCTTTTATAGCTTTTTCGCTGGCTTCAAGAAATAGCCTATTAAAAAAAATTATTCATTACTGGTATTTGAATAAACAGTTACATCCGAAAACACATAAAAAACTGCAATGGGTTTTTTAGAGTATTTCACGAAAAAATTTTTCTTCAAAGACACCTGCGCTCCAAAGCGACGAATTTAATTAGGAGGCACTTTTGAACAGGTGGCTTACTTATTGGAAAGCGCGAGTAGTTTTCGTAGAAATCTGCAAAATAATGAGAAAGCTGCGGGGAAAAAATGAGAAAAGCTGAGTTCGGGAGAGCAAGAAAGTCCTTTTTTATGACTGAAAATAAAGTTTTCTCACCAGACACCTGCGCTCCAAGGCAACGTATGTTTCTTATGAAAGCTCAAACAACTTTCGAGCAGATTTCTAACTCGCATTCCGAACTTTGAAACAATTCAAAAGAGAAAAAAAAACTCCCACAAATGAACGGAAACGAGGTCCAGCTACGTGTTTCTGATTGGCGTGTCGGAGACTGCTGAGCAGAGTGCAGAAAATTAGGAGAGAGGAAAGTTGCTCGGAGGTTTCTGAGCTCTCGCGAAGAACCTTGAAACGGTCAAGTTATCTCGGTTCTGCTTAGGTGCGTTTGGTCTGGCAATGTTTACATAAACAGTGGGTGTCCGCGGTCAAATCGGAGTTTTTTTTTCGCGCAAACTCGTTCTGTACTCATTTTTCATACCGCAGTCTAGATGAAAAGCAATTCATAAAAGTTTTTCTGATTGAAAAGACTAGATGATTCCAAAAAAACTTCTTTTTATAACTGTAAAAAAACTTAGGGAATTTTAGAAAAAAATTTCTGGTTTGTTCAAAAAAAGCAGAACACGCTTTGAAAAAAATCGTTTGAAAAACAAAAATCATTTTATTACTGAACTAACAAAAATGATTGAATTTTTTTCACTCCGGATCAGTTGAACGTCCGTTCCTGAAGCTGCAGCGAGATCAGATTGTTAAATAATCAGTGAAATAAAATTTCTAAAAAAATTCTGGTACTGTTGAAATTGCCGTTCGATCCGATTTTTTTCTGACTTCTGCAAAAAAATTAATCATACTATTTTTTTGAAAAATTGCGCTTCTAAGCTTTTTTTCAAGAGGCTCCTCTGTAAAGATAATAATTTAGGAGTGAGTATAAATGTGAAAAATATTCAGTTGAAAAAAAGACCACCCATCAGTATAATATTCCATGATTTTTTTATTTCCTGGCAGGAAGCTATGTTTTTTTGAAAAAAAGATAATAGAGTATTAAAAATAATTATTTATATCTTTTAAAAATTGAAGAAGACTTGCTGCCGTGGCGAAAAGCATTTTGAAAAAAGCTGTTAAATTTTTTTTAAGTACCGTTCTTCCCAAAAAAAAATCCAATAAAAGCTTCGCGGCACAATTTTCCTACAAAATCATAAAATAACGTGAAAGCTCTTTTTGAGGCCGATATGGGCGAACATTCGTCAGCCACAAGGCTTGGAATTGCCGTCGAAGAGAAGGGAAAAAAGAAATAAAAAGTATGATTTCATTTTGGGAAAAAGGGCGTTTGCACGAAAAAGGAAAAGAGTCGCTGTTAGGGGTCGCAAAAGGTTGCGTATACGAAGAGAGAATGAGCAAGGCCGAATTGAATATTGGGCCAAGCAAGCACGGAGCAGGCGCCTGTTTTAACAGCGGCTCAATCTACGGAACAAAACGGGTATGTGGTGACGGCAAACGGAAACTTGGCCTTTTATGGTTGAACGCTTTCTCGAGAGTACGGACAGTACGGACTTCAATGATTGAAGGCGTTTGATGGACTTTTTTTGTGTCTAGGGAAGCTTTGAGTTTGTCAGAATAAAAAAAAGCCAATAGGAAAGTTTGCATTTTGAGTTTTTTTCTTTCCTAGATAAGTTGGAAAGTTGTGAAAAAAAGTTAATCAGAGAGATTAATTTCTGAGAATTGTGGAAAGTTGAAAAGATGAGACCTTGGGAACTTTAGAAAGCTATTTCTCATGGTTCAAACGCAGACTTTTGGTATATTTCCTGAGAAAATTGCTCCTTCAATTAACCTACGGCAGTATAGTTGATGAAAAACTGACGAGATAAGAAGGTTAGCCTTTTGTTGCTTGAGAAATTTCTTGTTTTGCAAAACAGCTGAGCACAAAAACGAAAAATACGATGCTCAAACAATGGACAAAGTGAAAAAAGAGGGGTGGTAAAAATGTAAAAAAAAGCGGTTTTTTCCTCTGGATAACAGTGCAAAGTGTTAAAAGAGAGGTGCGAAAAAGTGCCAAACGATTAGAGTCATGAAAAATGCATGAGTCGATTTGTGCGTATTGGTCATTTATCATGATCATGTATACTTCAGTATTTTTAGCAACGTTAGTACATCGTAGTTCAATCTGTGACATTTCCCTATACATCATGAATAACGAAAATCGAACTTCCTTATTTTACGACCAAGATAAAAATCGCGCCCGCAATGATAAATTACAGGTCAAACTGCCAGAAAAAAACCCTTCATAGAAGATATCGTAAGTTTTGGAGGTTGAAAAAATGGAAATTCTAGAAAAAAGAACCTCATGGGAGAAAAATAAAGCTTTTTGAGAAATGCATGGTTTTTACCAAACTGAAAATGAAACTACTTTTTAATAAAACATAGAAGTTTCATATTGTAAAAACGGTATGGCAAATAATAATTTCTATAAACTAACAGAACGAAAGATTTCGAATCTCTCTGCAAATCTAGAAGGTGAAAAATTTTTCTCAAGTGATGTTTTTTTAAATATTAATGCTGTTTCAAATATTTGATGAAAGAACCTTACTAAAAAGGCCAAAAGTTTACCCTCTTACTTTCAGGACAAAATTTTTTTCTGTGGAAAAACCTTTTCCAACATGGATTTAAAAAAATGCAGAAACGGGAATGTGTTTTCGAAGTAACTGAATTGAAATTTTTAAGAAGTTTCGAAGTTGAAAAAAATCAAAAAAACCTATAAACATCTGACAAGGGCAAGAATCATCTTCCCACTTTAGGATTCGGAATCAAAAGGCTGCTGTAAATAGACCACGCTGCGTTTTTAGGTGGCAACAAGGCTAGACAATAATAGGGGAGTGTTATGACAAGCGAAAGACAACAAAAAACACACTGTCGATTGATCGGACACGTCCTCTTTGGGGCATTGTATGCAAAAGTTGACATTTCCTAGCTCCGAAAAATCGCCAAAATCAGAAATGCCACTGAGCACACTTGTGCAGATTGAAGCAAAAAAACGAGACGAAAGTGCAAATGGGCTCGGAGGGTGAACCAAGGACCGCGGAGCAGATTCAAGAAGAAGAGCTCCGCAAAAAGCTCACACGTGTGAGTGATCTGTGAGTGGTCTGTGAGTGGGGGATCGGTGGTCTAGCGGTTGAGCCGATGTTTTCTGCGCCTCTCGCGCCTTCCACACCACTCATCGATCGGCCGCCTGTGGCATCCATCTTTCCCGTGGCTTTTCCGACTCTCTCGTCGACCTTCTTCTTTTCTACGTCAACTTTTTTCTTCTCTTTGCATACGCAAAATGACACAAATCCAGTAATAGGACACCGCCTTGAAGGACAAAAACGACTGACAATCAAATTTTTTTTTATCTCTCACATTTGCGTTTCAAGGCCAATATGAAGGAAGAATACTCATGGGACAGGGAAATCTCTTCTTGGCTGGACTTTTCAGAATTTTTCATTGAAAACTCCTCATATTTTCAACTTATTCTTAAAATGTACCACTCTCTGGAATCCTTTTCAACTTTATTTATCTCACTTTCTTTAAAAAAAGGCTCCTACAGTAACTCGTTTTGTTATATCAAGAAAGAAACCGGGAAAAATTCTAATCCATTCACGCCGATGATCAATTAATATGACAGTTCTCAAAAAATTCATTTAAAGCTGGAATGCATGAAAAACTATTTTCAAACTATTTTCAAAAAAGTTTTCCAGAAAAAAACCTCAAAAAAAGCAAAAACTGTAGAGTTGGAAGACTCAATGGATTGCTTTCACGTTGACACTTGGTAAACGAGGAAATAGAAACGAGAAGTGCCGAAAAAAATCTTTGTTTGTTTTAAAAACGTCTTGAGCGAACTTATTGCTTGTTGGACATCTACGTCAGCCAGTCATACTATCATTCCATTGTCCGAAGTTTGCATTGCTACTCACCTCAAAAACATCCATTCAGTACAGTATCCAATCTAATGAATCGAAAAGATTAACATCCCATTCTAAGAGTTAGTCACTATTAATGTTTCTTGAGGGGTATAATATGGTCCTGAAAAACACGTCTTCTTTTTTTTTGAGTCCTGAGTCATTGATTCATGAGAAAGTTGCAGGAAAAGGTTAGAGAAGAAATAAGCTTTGTTTTAAGTGTAAGACTTTTTTTTTCGGTCCGAAAGCTGATTCATCGAAGGCATACGCCGTTTATTACCACTTAGAAAAAAAAATTGCCGCGACCAGTTTTGACATTTTCAAACCTTGTTCACGATATTTCTTCTCGAAAAAAGTTTTTAGGATTTTTCACGATTATACAGTACCGACAGAAAAACCCGACTTTGGTCACAAATGTGAAGAATTCCTGAAATTTTCTGGAGCTGCGTTTTTTTTTTTCTGTGAACTGAAACTTCATCGGTGTGTTGTAAAAAACAGTCATCACAACTCCAGGAAGTTTCAGAAAGATTTATTTCCTTACAAAAAAGTTGACTGAACCCCGTTTTTTCGTATCTTTTCTGACTGTATGAGTGAATATTCAAACTTCTGCACAAAATACCCATCATCGAAATTTTTGAGAAGACTGAGGAATTACCCTTGAATTTTGAATTCCTTCCAAGAAAGTTGTGACCGAAACTCCGTTTTTTCGTATTTTTCTGGCGGCCCTGGAAGTAGGATGAACTACGCAAAATTTGTGTTTTTTTTTGGGAAATTATCAATTTTTTTAAATAATCGCAATGAACACAAGCTCTCCTAGAAGTTAGGTAAGTATTTGATACAATGACTCGACTCTTTTTTTAGTGATTTCGGCTGAGATTTCTACATATTACCTTCTACAGTAATAGAAACGTATGCTCTTCAAGAATTAAAAAAAATATAAGCATATTGCAGCAAGGAATATCCAGAGAAAAAGCAAGTTTCAAAGAGAAAGAAAGCCCAGATATCCCGAATCCTGGCCCAAAATAGAACAAGAGATCGCAAGTGGTGCGGCAGAGCGTTGTCCATTCTGCCAAATTGGGTGCTCGTTTTCAAATTATTCGCGTGCCGCCGTGCCTTCTTACGCCTTCCAATGGAAAACCCCCATTCTCTTTCCTGTCATTTGCCCTCTCAGGCCTCATTGTCGTTTTCCGTTCTCCATTTTCATTCTGGTCGTTCAACGACCACGCAAAAGACTGGATGAAATGATATATTTATTCGCAGCAGCAATTATTGTCTTTTTAACGGAGGCGAGCGTAGCCTGGCCCGGTGCGCGGAGGTGGGCAGTGGTCGCAAGATCCTGAAAAATCATGTTTTCATAAGTTTTTCTTCGCAAACTGATCTTATCAGGCCAAAATAAATGAAAAAAACACGCACCTGGCTGTCCAGGTGGTCCTCGTGGTCCTGGTCCTCCGTGAGGTCCAGGCAGTCCATCGGCTCCCTTCTCTCCGGAATCTCCTGGTGGTCCTGGTGGTCCGGGCTTTCCTGGTTGTCCGTCCTTTCCAGGTGGCCCGGGGGGACCTTGGGGTCCTGGTGGTCCTGGCGGTCCGGGAGGTCCTGGTGGAGCTCCATTGATGACTTTTCCAGGTTCACCAGTTGGTCCTTTCTCTCCTGGAACTCCTGGAGGTCCTTGGGGTCCTGGAGGTCCTGGCGGTCCAGGAAGACCGGGTACGCCGTCTTGACCAGGATTTCCAGAATCTCCTTGAGAGCCAGGAAGACCTTTAGGTCCAGGTGGTCCTAAAAAATTAGTGAATAGAAAAGTATTCCACTTTCAATGCTTTGAAAATTTTTTTTACTTTCCAGGCGCCGTTTTTTATGGAATTGCAAGGAAAATTTCAATTGAAGTTCAGGAATCGGCCAAAAAACAAATCTTGATACGAAATTCTTTGAGATACTAAAACTTCACTACTCAAGTTTAGTTATATGAAAAATCCTCACCGGCTGGTCCTGGCGGTCCTGGTGGGCATTTTTGGCATGGTGGTTTAGGTGGTGGTCCGGGAAGCAAAGTACCATCTCTTCCAGGCGGTCCAGGATTACCAGGTCTTCCAGGAGCTCCGGGACGACCATCACGTCCTGGAGGACCAGGCGGTCCGGGTGGACCAACTTGGCAGGTACAGCAGGAGCCGGCCATAGAAGACGGCGGACTGGCGGATTCAATAGGCTGAGCTCCGTAAGCGTCTCGTTTGGTCTTGCGAGCGATGCGAGCTTCTCCTGCGACAGTTGCCGATTGTACGGTGACCATCTCTCGCCACATGTCACGAGAACGAATCTGTAAATAAAACCTGGTTTGGCTTGGAAGATTGGCTGAATGAGAAACAGAGAACAACTTTTATTTCGAGTTTTGTTGTGAACGAAAAAATTTTTTTAAATTTCCCTTTCAACGATTTTTTGTAGCATCAATAAAATATGAAAAGCTTCGCACTTTGTCCGATACAGTACAAATTTTGCTATTTTAGTTCAGTTTTCATTATGGACTCCATTCAAAACCACACACAAACCTTGCAAAATTCGACTTCGTTGGTCATGACGGACTGAAGCTGCTGGACGTGTCGGTACACCAAAGGAACCGTAATCACTGTAGCGACTACGGAGATAGTCGCCAGAGCAATCGACGCCAGTGCGACGGAGCGCAACGAGCGTTTCTTCACGCACGGCGACTCCATAGGCCCACTAAAAATATTTTTGTTTTCATTTTTTCTTCAGAAGTCATGAAATTACACTAACAGCACACTACGGCACATTATTTCAAAATCTGGTTTAGGTTAGGATAAATATGCTATTTAACATTTTACAGTTTCAATCGAAGAATAAGTTGATGTTTTGAATGAAATAAACTAATAGGTATCTACAAACGAAAAGGAGAAAAAAGAAAATGAGCTGATTTCCTTGCCCAGTCCGTTATATCAGAAGACTTGCGTGACCGGGTGACCCAATTTTCCATTTCCTTTATCTATTCCGCCCATCTTTGGCCTGGATGATTGTACGTCTTCGAAGACCTTTCACGTTTTGAATATTGTTTATTTTGAATTCCATTTTGCAACGAAATATATAGAATGACAATATATGCAGAAAGGGCAAAAAAAAAGTAAAATGGTGTAATTGATGATTTTGATTGGACAAGCTCCAACTTCGGGCCATGAAAGACAAATTACCAGTGTAGTTTCATGAAAGTATGATATTTTTGCAAATTATCACAGCTGAGATCTATTTTCAATATGAAAGACAGATTTTAATGCATCCTAGAAATATGATGAAAATTACGATAAAGAGAAAAATCGCTAATTTGAAGTTTACAAAATGAGATTCGGACATGTCATCGGAAAAACGGAAGAAAGGCACTCGAGGAAAAAAACCAAAGCTCTAGTGAAAAATTAATGAAAAATATATTATTTGAATTAAGAAAAAAACTAATTTAAGAGGAATTCTGAATTAAAGCTGTGATGAGGCAACTAAACAAAAAAATTATGTTAATGACTAAACATGGAAGATTCTTATTATAGTGGTTTTGAGAGCATTCATAACTAATATAGGATTCATATCACTGGCTTGAGACAACATCAAATGGGGATTTGGAAGAAAGTCAACCAAAAAAGTTAGTCCTCTGATATGAATTTTTCAAATTATATTAATTTACACCGTTGAAAAAATAAAAAAAATGAAGAAAAAAAGCTTTTCTCGTAGACCCGCAATAAAATCATCACTTCTGACAAGGAAGGTCATTTTACTTTGAGAGTTGGGATTTTCTGCCCAGAATATTTCTTGAAGTACCAGATGAAGTTGCTGCATGTCCCAAAATGCACAACTTCCCAGTTTCAGGAAGATAGGGCACCAAAGTCGAAGAAAACCAAGGGAATGCGTGAAATTTTTCAATTTCCGAACTTTGAACCCTCGTTTTTCAAAAACAAGGAAGCTGGGTTTACACGATGCGTATTTGGTACATCAAGAAAAATTTTGGTCAATTTTGAGAAAGTTTCTAAATGCTAAGAAAAATTATCTTTCTAGTGAGACTTTTTGAATTGAAACTATGTTTGCAACGAGAAAAGGTGCTTTTTCGAAATTTTAAAAATAAAATGAAGTCAGAAATTATCTTAAAAAAAGGTTTGTTTCTCGCTTGGTCAGGACAGTGGACATTATCCAGTCGCAAGTTTTTTTTTCCATTCGCCGCTCAGTTCGCCTTTCTCCGACGTTTGATATCAAGCTTCGTTCGCAATATGCTGAAAATGGTTCAATTTCGTAGTTTTTGCACAATTCATCGCGTCTCATTTTCTCGCAAGTGGAAGAAATGAAAGAACACACTGATTGATGCTGCTTCTCGATGGCGCGTTTTCTCGCGTGCACACGCCGTCCCGAATCAGCTGCTCTCGGATTTCGCTCTGCCGACACATGCCAAGTCGCGACCTGACAATTTTGTTCTTCTAGATTGAGGGGTCACGAAGAGTTTTTTTAATTTGATTCGGAAATAAATAGTCAGGCTTCAAGGCTTCTAAACGCTCAAAAGAACTTTTCAGGACCGAAAAGCTACTCGAAACGATATTCTACCCGAAACGACTAACGTTAATTAATCAAAAAAGCTCATGTATGTGAAAGACTTCTGTGGTAGATAATTGCTTCGAAAGGGACAAAAATAACTTTTCTTTAGAAAATTAATTGAAGTAAAAATCTAGCGTCTCCAGCAAAAAAAAAATTAATAGTTCTTAACAACTTCATGTTAAACCAGAAAAATTCAAACTTCAGACTTTTCAAAAAGGTGAAATTAAATCGAATTTGTGTCTTTTCCCGCTTTTTTGAAAGCTTGAAAAACCTGAGCAACGTCTGAATTTTTAACATTCACGCAACTTTTCTCTCAGTTTTATTTTTTTTACTTTTTTTATCAAAAAAATTCAAGAATCTTATGATCAATAGTTGAAATCCGCCGTGAATCAAGTTGACCTCATTCACAAGTCTTAACTTCCTTTCCACAGAATTTTCGAAACTGGTCTCTTTCCCAGAGTGTTAAAAAAACAGTCATTTCAATTTCAGAAACTTTCAAAAAGATTCAATTTCTTCCAAAAAATTGTGGCCGGAATTCCGTTTTTTTATGGATTTTCTGGCGGTCCTGTAGAAGTTGAAGTAATCGATGTTAAAAATTGAAGAAAAAAACATAATTCGTAAAAAGCTATGATGTAGTCGTACTGAGCTCATCAAAGAGGATTTCTGACAAAAAAACATCAATTTCTGCACCAATTTAATTTTGTCAACAAGCTTTTTCCTGATTCTGCGGTGCAATTTTTCTTCAGGAATTTATTTTGGCGACAATCAGATTTTCAAATAATCAGTTCATGAGAAAAAACGCTTACATGCATTGGTTCCCGGCCTAATTTGTCGTCACTTTTTTAATTTTTGAAGTTTTCAGAATAACTTACCTGTAGTCTCGAACAGCTAAAACTAGAGGTGACTCCATTCTGCCTTCTTTTGCATCTTTCGGCTTTACTGATCCGGTTTGTCGAAATCTGAATCACATTACCTAGTTTCATTTTCAGTTTCCAAAATTTTCTATTTCTTTAAGTATCCAAATCCGATCACTTTACGAACCCTGAAAGGGATAGTTGAGAATTGTGTTCTCAATAAATTAGCCTAAACATACGATGTCTTGAGAACCGGAAATTGGAGGGAAAAAAATGAGTCGATTCCACGCAACATTATGAATACGAGGGAAAACAACGAACCTGTTCAAAATTTTGCTGACACAACTGTGCGTGACGCAAAGCCGTTTCGAAATGTCGCAGATCTTCCACCCGGCCTGTGTAAAGCAGAAATTCTCATAATTTTTGATGGTAATTGGGCTGAGAATTTCGAAATCGGTTTGGTTTAGTATCAAGCGGCAGGAGAACAAAAAAAAATTCTTTTTTTTTCGATTCTTATATTTTTTTTATCGAAACCGGTTGATAAAAGGAATCGAAAAATTCAGATTTTTAGGCCAAAAAAGCAGTTACAAAATTCCAATGACTCACGAAAAAAATTACTATTTATAAGTGTTTTATTGATTATTAGAAAGCGGAAAATCTGAAAAGTCATCTTACCGTTTCAACTAAATATTTTTTTATAAATTGATCAAACACTATTTGATGGACGAGGAATCGATTCCGCACCAAAGAAAAATTCAAAAATTCATGTCTCCAAAACTGAAAATTCGCGCAGATAACCATTCTGCGAAATCGATTCCTGAATTTTTAATCGAATTTTATAATAAATTCCAGTAGAAACGGTAAAATGATATTTTTTTCAAGAGTCAGGAAAATAGCCAGTATGACGCTATAACGCCCAAAAATCGTGAACCAAAAAAATAGAGGTCTGGATTTAGAGAGAAGAAGTGAAAATACACGACAAACCTGAAACAATTTGACGATTTCTTCCCGTTCAAACATGGAGAGAGGAAGTCCAGGACTGTAGGTCCTTCCAAGTTGATTACGGCCTGAACCGCCTGGATGAGACAATTGAATAATGAAAAGTCTCCTGATCACCGGAACTCCGGGCGACGTCTCTCTCGTGCTGCGGCGGCGGCGGCACGTCGTACTCCATGGAAGAACAGGAGAGCGAAGACGGCGAACCGCTTTCGGATGACTCAATGTAGGTGCAGTATTGTTGTTGATAGACCTTCAAACATTCTTTCAGGCTAATTTGCCTTGTGTTCTCGTTACATCGCTGTAGTCCGTTACGTATGGAACCGTCGGACAGCTGATGGTCTCCAAAGATGGCAGGGATGATCTTTGATAGTCTGATAACGGTTCCTCGCTTTTCTGAAAAAAACGCACTCAAGATGGGATGGCAGGAAATAGAATGGGATGTTTCTTGGTTTTTTATTGTTAAGATACTAATGAAGCTTGCTTGAAAACGAGAAATCATGTAGAAATAAATCTTCAGAATTTTCATCAAGGATACTTTCAACAAGTTCAAAATGAATCGTAAATGATCTTTACTCAATTTTTGCCAGTACTAGTTTTAGAATCTACCGCATTTTTTTCTTATCTCAGTACTCACTATATATGTTATATACAGTGAATAAATCTGTTATTATAAAATTTCTCCAAAAGGCGAAAGTTCAAGATTTCAAAAACTAACATCTTTTACAAACAATGAAAAACAAAACATGCGAAACTTACTACAGAAAAGCTCTCAAATTTGTTGCAAACATTCAGCGGGTTTCCCTAAAAACTCCATCTTCAAATAAATCATGAAAAAGAACTCACATTCAACCAAGCGTAAAAATCCCTTTCAAGCGTCTCCGGAGTTGATAAATCAATAACCGGTATATCCATGAGAGTTCCAGTCAATTTCACTGCAATTTCATAATTTTCACAAAAATAGATCAGATACAAGGGAAGAAAAACGAAAAACAGAGAAAACGGCAGCAATTATGCGAGGATTCCCAATCAGCCGCCAAAGAGTTACACGGTTGGAGGTGTTTTCGCCCGGATAGGCAAGCGTCCGGTTCTGTCTAATTGTAGGTTTTGGGAGAAATGGAGGAATCCAGCAGAAATAAATAGATCCAAGCTTCCTCACACTGTAAAGAATGGATGAAGAACAGTTGACGGGTTTGTAACCAAGGATGAAGGCCGAAAATGGATGAACTGCTGAGAAAATTTGATCATTTTGCTAGAGATTTCTGTGACACGCATTCAGAAAATTCAACAGGATGAAAGATAACTTTTGGAATCAATAAGTAAGGTTTTACTACATTGCCCTTGGAAACTTCAGAAATTCGCTTAGGATACTTTATAACTACCAAAAAAACTGAAGTTCATTTTTTGGTAGTAAACTTCTTGAAGTCCGTGAAAAACATCTTAACCGTTCAATTATGAAATTTTTAGGCTTTTTCTGTAACAAAAAAATGTTTATTATCTCCATTCATCTACTTTTTTTGGCCCAATTTTAAAGAATTTGATACCCTGAAATCGATCCTTTCTGTTTTTTTCACAGTACTAAAATAAAAAAATGGACTTTTTCTCGATCTCATTGGAAAACTAAACTTAGTGAGAACGAACAAAAAAATAATTCCAACTCAATTAATAGACAGATGACTAACATAAAAGGTTGCGGAACAGGGCTATGATAGCCTTGGAAGACGGAATTGTAAGCAATTCGGGCAGCGGATGGAGATAAAATGATAAAACATGGCTAGCCGAGTGAAGCACAAAAAACGGTTAGCCCGGGTCTCGAATCGGCTTGCCTGGAAGCAATCGTCTTGAAGGATCACCGCACGCAAAAAGTGGCAACCTCCCAACGACAAATCTTCTCAAACACCACAGCTTAACAGAAAACCGCCGATATCATTGGCTTGAACTTTCTGTATGAAAACATGATTTTTTTGAAAAAGTGGGATGAATAGGAAATTTTCGGACACTTCTAGGGAAAATTCTTGGTTATTCTTTTCAGATTTTTGATTCAATGTAAGTCTCCTTGGGCAGGAAAATTGAAAAATGTTGTAATTGGGAAACTTTACGAAAAAGTTTTTTCAAACGAAGAAGTCGTTGAAATGTGATATATAAAATTCATGGCTAGAAATATTTCTCAAACCAGTTTCGTATCACGTTGAACAAAAAAAAATTGAACTTCACTATGGCTGAAACAGAGATGTTGCGAAGATAAAAATTTCAACATACTCTGAGAATTTTGAAGTTTCTGGGAGATCATGTCATCAAAATTAATAGTTCATTTTTTCACTGTGTTGCAGAGTTGAACCGTAACTGACCGGAATATAATACTAAAAAAATTAGGTTATACTGTCGAGAAGAAGAAAAAAACAAAATGACACTTTGCAAAAAAATCATTTTTTAATTTTTTGAATTGGAATTTCAGAAGGTGGTCTCATATTTTTTCATTCTTAACAAATTGCCAAATTGGAGTGAAAAATAGAAAAGATACATTTTAAAAAAATTACGAAATGTATAATGATTTTTTTAATCTTACGTAAGTAGTTAAGTTGACACATTTTTCAAATAGCAGATAGAAAATTTTCCAGATAATCAAACACAAAAGACTTTGAGAAATAAGCCAAAAAAAAAGCTACAAAAATGATGAATACCAGAAAAATGCTTGGAATGTCGAACTGAGGACATTACCGTGGTTAAAGTAGAAGTCAATGGTGGATTATGCAAAGATGACGGGTCCAATCTAATGCAGTCCAAAGGAGGAAGGAGAAAAAAAAAGCATGGACTGATTAAGAGACAAAACTGCCCCTTCCTGGGGTCTAATACTTTAGCAACTGGTCAAAACAATCGGCTAATATACTTGTTATTCAAACCCGCCCTTCACCTTTTGTTCACAACGCTGTAGAAGCATGCCAAAAAATATATATACAAGCATGTTCACAATAAAACCAACAACACAAAAAAAAACCCGATGCATTGCTATTTGGGCAAACTGCGTAAACAGTTGGAACAATCAAATAACTGTTTTTTCGCATGCACAACCATACTTGTCAGGCGAGGTGCAGTTTTTGGACGGTTTGCAAAAGTTTAGTGGTGGGGTGAGATATTCTTTAAGGTCTAAAGTTCATTCGAAATTGGCTTGAGAGAAAAAATTCGTGTATATCTTCACAAGAATTGCAGATTTTGAGCTTAAAATGGGTAATTATTGCTGCAATAGTAATGAAAAACAGGTTAGCTTGGAATAAAGATTGGAAGCATTTAAAAAATCAAATCTTCCAAACTTTGAAAACCTTCAAAACCTTGATATAATGAATAAAAAAAATATCGAACCCGAGTTTTTGAGCACATTCAAGGCTTTTTTTGAACCGAGTGCTCGAAAAAGTTTTCTGAATATACTTTTTTCTCAAACCACAAAAAAGTTGGACCTCTGAGAATTTGAAAATGTAATGTGGCTGGATACGAACTATAGTCTTCTCACCAAGCTATTCAGCCTATGCCTGCAACATTTTGAGAATCGCCGCTGTCTTCTGAAGCATTCTTGAGATTTCTGAACACAAAAGGTCAAAAAAGCCTCGATTCATAGCCATATCCATTTACTTTGAAGAAAAAAACTGCAAAATACACTCCTAGGGGTCATTTTCTGAATGGAACGCTTTAATCGTTCTACTTTTCGTTCCGTAACGCATTCCTACTGTAAACTAATGATCTGCAGGAAGATAAATCTCACAGAAGATCTTCCCGTCGATCGAATGGAACGTTATCAAAGCGCTATAAAAAAGGAGATAAAACACGGGGCCTCCGATCAACATAAATGTGTTCCTAAAAAGTAGATCAAAACAGGGCAACCGCGTAGTTATAGACTTCTGTGGTGGGGCGCCGTGCAGCCAAACACGCAACGATTCTGAGAAGGCGATAAATTCTGCCGAAAACGGCCAACCACGTCGAAACAAACCCGCAGGCATGGCAGAAGATCGCGCCCCTGCCATCGGCGCTAATATGAAGAATATACAAAGATAACCATCACTCACACATCGACCAAACCTTGCCACCTGTGCTTCCGCAGCTACTGCGAATCAATGAACCGTGCAATGTTTTCATGAATAAGTTCAGCAATGATACAGCTGATTTACCGAAGTCTTGAAAAAAAAAGAAGGAATGGATGTCGATTTGCGCGCCGCGATGTCCTTTGACTTGTGGCCAATGTCCAGCTGACTCGGACTTTTTTTTTTCTTTAATTGGGCTTTTATTTTACTTTTGTTAATTTTCGTGTATCATGCTCATCATAGGGTAGGAAATATTAAAAAAAAACTATCCGAAAGCTGGAAATTTCTTTCTGATCGATGGTACGAAGAGTTCTTGAAATTCCAAACCCTCTGGTTTTCAAAAAATACCGCTTCAAAGTCTGAGAGAACCGTTGTAAGCAAATGATATAGGCACTTAGAGACGTTGAACACTTGTTTCTTTCAAGTTAAAAATTATCCAAATAAGAGGTTCCAGAATTAACCGTGAACTTTTAACATGCGTGTACGAAATATCAGCTTTCAAAAAAACGTGGAAAACTTTTCGTCTCAACTTGAAAGAGCCTGACCCTTAAATGTGCGAAACAGAAGATTGAGCTTTACCACCGTGATCTGTCGCTCATTTTGACTACCTAAGTGAGAAAAAGTGAGCTAGCGGCCGAACAACTAATATTTGAAAGCTCTACTAACACAGCTAGGCTGCTTTTATACAGTACACTGAAGAAGAATACGGATTAACTAAGGAAAAAAAAAAACAGGATAACTTAAAAATTGAGTTCTAAACACGTACAAAATACTATTGAAAAAAGCCTTTAACTCGAAAAATTTGAGCTTATTCGTTTATTGCACAAAAACCAAAGCTTATGTTTTTAATTCACATCAGTTTGATGATTCTGCTTGTAACTGGTTGAACAGTACAAGGAAAAATCAAAATAAACTAGGAAAAAAAACAGTCTCTCAGAAGAGAACATTTTTCGGAGTGGAGAAAAGCGTGAAGGATCGAGGGACTGTCTTGCTGGAGGGACTGATCCGGGGCGAATGAGCGCCTCAAAGAGATTAGAATGCAAATCCAGCTCGAGCCCTTATTTCGCCAGTTACAGCGGGTCGGATCGTCTCAAATGCCCTCGCGTTGTGTTGAGCGCTTCGGACAGTTGTTTAAAAAAGTTTGACAAGTATGCTATCGGAAAAAGGTTAAGCCTCTCAAGAAGTACGTGGAGAACCTGAAATAAATAGAAAAAAGGAATTTTCACGCCATATTTTTTTTGAAAAAAATCGGCTGGAAAATTGGAAAAAAACAGTGAAAATGAAATTTTTTATAAGGATTTAGAAAAAAAGCAACAGTTAAAAATTTCGGATTTTTTTAATTATAAAAACTGGTCCAAGTGCTCGAATTTTCGTAGTCAAAGACCTAAACTATTAAAAATGAATGAAATAAAGTTGCACCATTAGGTTCTCAAGGCTCGAACTGCTGAGAAACTAAACGGAGGATTATGCAAAATAAATTTTTTCGATCTGAGATGCAGAAAAATCGTCAATCAAGGTGAATCACATATTTTATAGAAATTTCGAGAACCCTTCTCAACAAGGAAAAATATACTATGATGAAATCAAGTCCAGTTCTCAGTTGAAGGGAAACCATGCTCTACTTGACACAGCGTTAAAAAAACTTGAAAGGAAAAAAACAATCACGGAAAAGGAAAAGTGCGATCGAGGAAATGGAGCCAGATATGTGTGAATGGATGAGTAGACGACCAGTTTTCCCTTACCGGCGGCCTTGCGATCTTCAATTCGGCATCCTTGAATCTAATGCAACAAGCAATTGCGCAACATAACCAATAATAATTACCGGCAATTGGGGAAGTAGTGAAA